GTGCATTGTATGTTGCTATGTTGCGTACATGAGGGCATGGTCATAAACAATGTGCATGATGCACATTATAATGCACCGTACTTGAGTTACGTCTGGTTTGAGCGTGAACGTGAGCTTTCACATTATTAATGGATGTATACACATACACATGTAATGACAATCATGTATTGTAGTGTGTATATGTTCACTATATAAATATACGTACCGGTACATGTACTTGTTCACGCAAACATGTATTTCATGTACATGTGTCGGCAGTATGTAAATATTCTAATATGTACATGTGTACTCTAACTAAGATGCACAGGTCATGTATAACACAGACAGGTACAGGAACATACATTTGTATGGTACATGTACAGCATGTACTGCGTCCTATACATGTAATAATATTGTCTTATACACTGTACATGTAGAACCGGTGCATGTACATGTACATGTACATTGTACATGTACAAAATTACAAAATGCGCATGTACACGTACATGTAATTTGAATACATCGTTCAGTTGTAATTGTGAAAAAATGTAAACATAGAAATAACTTTGAAATCATATGAACATCCCCCATCCAATAAAACTAAATCTTTAGTTAAACAACGTTCTTCAAAATTCTAGCTCCCTCAAGGAATTCAAGCCCACCCAGCCTCTACACATAAGAAAAACCATACGTCTTCCCATGATAAGGAAATGGAGGCCTGCATATCATTACCTGCTTACTGCGTATGCTCAACAGCGTACAATACATGTATATGATTTTCTAGTAGCTGTGGCTCGCCGTATGTGTCTACGATACGACTGTATGACTCAATCACTCAGTTAATATTAGAAGAAATCTACGGGAGAATAGCCCACAGCTGGGCTAGTGGGCTGCTTGAATGTCGGTAAAAATAAAGAACAGTTTGACATGTACAGCTATGTGTGTTCAACTGTTATCCAGATATCCCTCGATAATTTTGCAGGAGATTTTCATGACTGACTCAATGTTGACAACCGAACGTTGCAGTTTGCACAGGAGACGATGGAAAGGACCAACTGTGACATCTTGATTTGTCACCGTCATTATCCCAGTCCTTAACGAGTATTGCCTTGAACTTGGCAGCTCCAACGAGGCAAAAGAATCGCAAGCACGCACGCCGAATTAAATGTAGATACCAATGCATGCACCACCACATCGGTCAGCCTCCATATTAATGCACAAGTATTGTTGACGTTGTGCATGTAGCTGAACTAATCAAGAGTTATTTGACTGCTCACGATTCTGTGTAATGTCATTAATCATTACATACTGGTAATATATGAACGTGGATTCTAAACAGCTTATGTGACAACCGTACATGTACCGGTACCTCTTGACATTAAAGCGGTTACTACATGTACATGTCTGATTAAAATCCTTTTATCATTAATTCTCTGCTGAATTCAAAAATACTGACCCTTCAGAAAAATGAAGTCTGTCATATTTATAAACAAAAACCGTTAAAATAAATCCAACAAGCAAGTTAAATAAAGCTTCTCAATGAAAATAATCTGCAATTCTGAATGAAAATAAAGAGCCTGATGTCTTGCATGTAACCACGGAGCAATGACTGACTCCTGCAGGATGCAATTCATATATCTTGAGTCTTATGAAACAAGACAAAAAATTACATGTACATGTACATGAACGTTGTCCTGTCAAAATCAACATGTACATGTACATGTATACAGTATACATGTACATCTACAGTATACATGTACATTTACATGTACATTTACATGTACATTTACATACATTTACATGTACAGTACATGTACATGTACAGTACATGTACACAAAATAAAGGTTAAAGGTCAGATTGTGCCATTTGCTTTTTTATCAAACAACACAACATCTTCAATATTCAAACAAAAGAAGAACATTATGGATGTATAGTTATGAAACTGCGCAATTTGTTCACTGGATTAATTCCTACGTAAAATGAAAAAAACGGCATTGTGTATTTTTTTTGGCAGAATGGAGCACATGTTGTGAAGGAACTGGCTCCAGGAATAGCTGAGTCAAAGCAAACACCTTGCTGGCCATTGTAAAGGATCTCTCACCCCCCCCCCCCCCCCAAGGGAGCTTTAGCTATGATCCCAACAATGTAACACACCTTACATATTGCATATGTCTCGCAGGCTCGTTAAGATGTTCACATTTACACGCTACATTGAGAGCAGGTGCTGCCTATACTGAATGCGATTTACGTACATGTACAGTATTTGAATTGTATGGGCCGCATACATTGTACAAATGTACCGTGCATGTACAATGCACTGTACAGTATGTACATGTACATTTTATACCGAGGCTTTACTATGCATACATACATGTACACGTACAAGGCAAACAGGTAGATTTTACCCACTTTAATTTTATCATCATCTGGGTAAAATCTCACAAAAAATTAGCCCAATGCAAACACGGCTTTACAGGAAGAAATAACCACAAATGTTTGCTTTGGTAATCTGCGGAGTACCGGTAGAAGGGCAGAGGAATATAATCCAATAATGGATTTAATATTCATTGTTTACTTCTGATGTGCTTGATGAGAATGGTGCACATAAATTGGGGGGGGGGGCAGAATTGAGAGCTTTATACCAAGATGGACAAAGATTTTTTCAGTCAGACTTAATGAAAGGAGTCAGTTAAATTTAGTGATATGCAAATTGATGGTTACAATTCGTTTTCATGCAAATAACATGACTGAAAAAAACCCACAGGATATAATTATAAACCAAAATTTGTGATAATCCGGCACTTCATGTAGGACATCCTTTTTTAGTCATGCCATGTCTGATGTGTAGTCACATGTGTTCTACTACGTGACAACACATGTACATGTACCGGTACATGTTTTTGCCATCTTAACAGACTCGCATACAATTACCCAAGACTCAAATGGCTAACTGCAAATCCTGGTGCACCAAGAACCCATGTTTTTTTTCCCACTGAAGTTGACAAAACTGACAGTTGTCTGATCACTCCATTATGACTGGGTCTTAATCCGTGTTGACGGTAATCGGATTTACAACTGTACCGTGCAGACAAAGCTCTGTTACATGGAACGGAAAATTCATCAAACATCTTTAGCCGTCTCAGAGCCTTCAAAATACACAGAGAGTTCGGACGATTTTGCCGGATGGGGAAGGTAGAGCCCAGCACACTAAATTGAATGGGGCTTGGCATCTAATGAAAAGTTAAGAAGGCAAAGAACGTACCATTGGGTTCCTGTAATGAGTTTTTTTTTTTTGGGGGGGGGGGGGTGTTTCCGGTAGGTTACAGATTCAATAAGTGGCAAACAACAACAACAACAACAAAACACACCCAAAACATAACAAAAAGCACAAAGGATATGGCTTAACATACATTGAATCACGATAGTTATTTCTATTGGGAAAAATGTTATTGACTTTTTCAGTCAATAATGAAACCACAACGACTTCCAGTTATTAGTCAACATGAAACCAGTTCGTTCTGTTCTCCTTTTTTTTACAATTTTTTTTTTTCAACGAACAATGTCAAGCAAAGTCGGGCTATAGGCCTACCCTTCAAAACCTGGTGATTGTTAACACCACTTTCAACCTGCAGAGTGCGCACTGAATAGCCTGAATAGCGACCCACGGACAGGTCGAATTATGTACATGACTTCACATCTTTAGCATTAGTGGTTTCAAGGCGCGGGCATCAACAAAGGGAGTAGGCACCCTAAAGCAATGGGCACAAAAAGGCATTGTACTTCCAGACAACACATGCAGTGGCTGTTAAAGGTCCCGACGACAACACCTCCCCCCCCCCCTTTTTTTTACTCATTTTTTCTTTACGCAGGTAGGGGTACACGTATCAACAAGTGCAAGAGGATTTTGTCAACCATTTCAGTTAATCCAAGTTATGACGGATTTTTTTTTTTTTTTTTACTTTGGTTCGCAATGTGTGCTTGAAATAGAAGAAAAAATGGTCTCAAATCACAAGTTTGATGTATCAAGAGCATCTCTCTTGGCAGAGCAATAATCAACGAGTTGCATGCTGAGTGAGGCTTAAGGTATTCCCTTCAAATTAGATGTGACCATTTTGAACGACATCACATAATGAAATTGCACAAAAGACTCCCGGTCTCCAAGACCGAAACTTGAACTGTTTCAAACCATTTTGGCCATATCATTTTGGCCATACAAAGGAATCCCATCAAACTGACAAAACAAACCAGACAAAACTTAGAAGAACTTTCAAAAACAAAAGGAAGTTGATGAAACCAAACACAGACCGGTTAAAAAAAAAAATTTACACCAAAGAGCCATCGAGAGGACGATCAAAGCTCTGTAGGCAGTACACCGGTTTGACACTTTCCAAATCTCCAATGAGCGTTCATGATGGTTTTAATCAGCTTGGACTCCATGGGCGCGTGCGCGTTCCTTCACTAACCCCTGGCCGTGAGAACACGTAAACGACGCTGACCGGCTATTCAGAGCGTACTGCGCGCGCATTTCGAAGACTGCACGCCCTATAATGCGCTCAAGTGCTATGCACGTCACGTCACATACGAACATTTTTTTCTTCAAAACTGCGCGATGCCTGTACGATATGGATTATGGTAGCCTCGTTTTTCGCCCCAAAACACCTGTATCTTTGGTTGTAAAGGGACGAAAGAGGTACATTTAATACAAATCCTTGCTAAATAACGCAAAGTCGAAACCTTATGTTTGAAAGGATTGATTCTTCAAAAAAACAACTTTGAACATTTGAAACATGGCATCACGTTAGATACATGTACATCGACTGCAGTCCTAATTTAAATGTGCCAATATTTGACACATTTAAATGAGACAACTCCAGGGGTTAAGATCGCGCAAGGCATGATGGGAAACAACATGGCGCAGCAAGATCGTACCCATGGAAACGAGGTTGGGCTTTAATTAAAATTTTAAACTGAACCTGGAACATTTTCGATTTGGGGGAAGAAAAAAAATTCAAGAACTCACCACCTCCCTGCATCATACGGTAGAACTTGCTCTCTATATGGAGCTGGGGATGCTTGGACTTGACACATTCTAATTTGATGGCAACTTCCTCGGCAGTCCCAATATTAGTCCCTGTAGAATTCACAAGAAAAAAAAAAGTCAGTAATTGCATTATGGTTTGGAACCATCCCTGATCTGACCAATCAAAACGTGTAAAAGTTGAGGCATTACGCAATCGGCTTTTGTACCAAATGGTACGCGTCTGCTGGTTGGTTGTAATCGGAAGGACAAATCCTTCACAAAATATATGTGATGGGATCAAGCTACATGAGTCGTTTGTCGGGAATTTTCATTTGGAGGTACAGGCCAAAATAGGGCCACTTCATCACATCACTTCATCACATCTCATGGTGTTCTGATTTCTATAATTTTTGAAATAAAGATGGTATCAGCATGCGGTTTTCACAGTAGTAATGCCGAGATTGTGCTCTTTTCAAATCTGAAATAAAAAAAATTTGGACCGGGGTCAACAAACGACTCATTTAGCTTGATCGCATCACGTGTACATACATATGTAAAACAACCATACAAACCATACATTTACATTTTAAATGTTTGAAAGGGTTCAACTTTAAAGACCCTAAAATACCAAAGCAATAACCAATTTGCTTTGTGTTCACTGGCAAACAAAATCTGAGGTTCACCAGATTTAAAGGTTTATTTGTCTATAAATCCAGTAATTTGTCCCTCTTGCCCCAGGCTGTCAATAACCACAGAAGCAATCACTGAGGTCACTGGCCTTTTACTGTCAACAAAAGATAGACCTCCCTAAAGCATTTGGCTTGACCTTGCCAACAAAAAGGCATCAACTTATTACTTTAAAAGTAATAAGCTTCGATGTACTTGTATACAATGTGACATTTGCCTCGTTCTTGGTGGTTCAACAATAGCAGGGTTAACCTTAAATTGTAAGTCAAGGGATATTTTTTTTGTAAAAAAACTTCTTGAATCCTCCAAAATTCTCCATTGTACCGGTACAGGAACTCAATGAATTTCCACGGCCGGGCAATTTTTGGATTTTGGTCATTTTGGTTATTTTGGTCATCCCCCTCCCCCCCCCCCCCCCCCACTCGCCGCAGGACAGATTTACGCCACTGCTATGTACATGTATATTTTGAAGGATTTGGAAGGGGCTGCAGTTATTGTATTCAATAACAATTATGGATATCCTTGACTAATATGTTTGGAATGCATTTCTTATGTTGGTATTATACAATACAATGGAATTTTGATTAGTGGATAAACTGACTGCATTGGATATGTACATGATACATCTCATTATTTTGTGAGGGCATTGTGCATAATATTCATCACTTCATGGCAGCCATGTACGCAAGTGTATATGTACAGACGTGTACATGAAGCACCATCAAAACATCTCAAACCAAATTTATCGGGTGTGCAATGTACATTGTACATGTACACGTACACGTGTACATGCAGTCATCATAAAATGTGAAGTATTCGGTTTACATACATGTATGTAAATTTTACAAAAATGCATTGTATTTGTTTACAAGTGAAATTAAAAAAATCTGTATTGTATTTAACAAGTGAAATAAAAAAAAATATGTATTGTATTTGTTTACAAGTGCATGCTTTTTCAATGAAGAATTATGTGAATTGTGTACTACAAAGGGGATTTCCAAAGACCTTCAGTTTGGGAGATGGAAACCCATTCTGAAAACCATATTTTTTTGATTTTATTGCCAAGCCATTGTCAATTCATCTCCAATAATCTTTCGGAAGTTGTAACACAAAACAGCTGTTTCATTGTCAGAACAAGATGAACAATAAACCACCAGCTGTGATATAATTTAACATGTACGGGTATACATGTACATGGGCACCAGGAGAGTATAGTACAAGGACCTCAGGTTACAATTGCTGTGATACCAGGAAATACGTATCATCCCTTGCTAGACATTTCTTAGTAAGTGCATAGAGAAAGGACACAAGGGGACGTACATGATGTACATGTAAATTATGGAAATATACATGTACGTACATGTATATACCTAATCCAGTACATGTACATGTAGGTCACTCAATGGTGATACTGATACTAGGCTATTTAGGCTGAACTTACAGTACATGTACTACAAAATTTACAAATGTATGTATGCACTTGCGTGCAAGCCAGCCAGGTTCAAACCATGATTATGTACAGCATACTCAATTGTACATTTGAAATGTGTGTGTTATCCCTGCCTTGTTTAGGGAAAAACAAACATGAATGTTCATGATTCAGTGCGGAATTTTCATCATTACTCACTGGCATTTAAACAATACGACTTCAGTACACAGGCATGACTCATTGTACATACCTGTACTTGTGTATTTGGTTTTGAAGAGTAACAGGTATAAATGTGCAAGATAGACGACGCAGTTTAAAAATTGATCGAATTGTTGAAAAATATGCTTAAGTACAGTGTAGCATAAATTATAAATTAAATTAAAGAAATTCATTAAAATCGTATGTGCAATGTATACATCATTGTACATAAATCAATGATGGTATTAAAGACCCTTGATACATGTAGCTTTGCGTGAGAACAAAAAATTAAAATCCTAACCGATAATTCATTGTGTGCTGTTTTTATCATCCATATAATTTATAGACAATTGTACATGTTCAGAACTTAAATGATGTGGCAACAACTGTCCACAACCTTATGATGTGGCAAAAAGCTGTACTGACCTAGCAATTCAACAACGAACGTGTATGACTGTACATGTCACACATGTAAAACTCATTAAGATTTCAATTTCACCATGAAAGTACAGACTGAATTTACACTTTCAATTTCACCAATAATATTATGATGATGAGGCAGCCCAACACAGTACACTATGGCCAGCACAACATAATGGTATTGCATTTGGTACAGTCTAGCCATCTGTGTGCTCACTGACCAGTGATGGAGGCCTTGAGGAAATTGGCCAAATTACCAATGATGGGCCTCTCTGGCCACGGGATTTAATGCACCTTAATGCTAGGGTAATCTTGTTTCTGGATGGACTTAGCTGGTTTAGGCTTGGGAAAAGCAGGAGAAAAATTAATTAAATCTGCGTCTTCGTGGTCTTGCTTCCCTTAGTCATATATGTTAATGATTTGTTGATTTAATTAATCAAAATACAAGGGACTTGTCGTGTTCTTGTTTGTCCTGCTTCACATAATGAGAATCACTGACAGAGCTGCAAAACATCTGAAAGACAATGCTAGCAGTATCACTTTACTGAACATCTTTTAGATTCCTTAAAAAATCCCGGCAAATTTCATGACTGTGCTAAGCATAGAAATTATCAGCTCAGCAAAAACAGCTTCCCAGCCAAATGTACTAGTACACGTTACACGTACACATTGCAATTCATTGAATGCTATGCACACGCTGCTAGTATCCGCTCAAAAGCTCCAAGAAATTGGGTCCCTCTCACACGAACATGTACAAGTATGTCAAAGAGTTGAGTTCAAAGTTCATAATTGAAGACGTGTGCATGCATATTTTTGACAAATAATACATGTACCTGTGCCTTTTAATCCACATTTGTGCAAGCAGTTTGGTATTTTATGTATATATACATTACATTACTGTACGTGCAGAGAAAATATGAATCAGTCCATGTTCGCTTTCAGGGTTTCCTTCATAAACATGTACCTGTGCATGTACAGGAAAATGTATTTTGAGAAATTTATGTATACGTATCTCATATATTTGATGCCCAATTCGAAATGCTACCAAAGAACACAAACAATATTTATGATTTATCATTTATTTGGAAAATTGGAATGTCTGTAGTTTGACTAACTTCCTGTGTATGTGATGTTTGCGCTGCCCAACAGATAATCTTGACAATTTACTGCACATTTAGGGAATGCCAATTGACATGATTTGTGAGGGCCATGACTTTTTTGTAGGAAAACTTTCACAGGTTTACTGCATAATTGGCCAAAGAAAAGTTTTAACCTTCAGTGCTGAAAATGTGACTTTTGTATACGTGTATCAACCAGACTTAATGTTCCTGAGTAAAAGATGCATCATTGGTGGAGACGGAAAAAAGCATGAATTAAAGAGAACATTTGAAAACATAAGCCTGTCACATGCCACAAAATTGTATCAAGTAGCAGAATAGCACACGGCATAAGAAATTACTTTAAATACAGAATCACACCTGTATACTAGATCCTCCATCACAAAGAATCTACAACACAGGCTTTTCCGCGTCTGGTTTTTGTTATGAAATTCTTTTTGTTTCATTTGGAGGCATGCAACTGGGAATTTAGAAAAAAAACGAGGAAGTTCCAAATCACACAAGACTTTGTACTGTGTTTTTCAATTTGTAATGGCATTCATGAGAAGTAAAAAAAAAGGAGAGGAAATCAGCCGTTCCGAGGAAAAGTTGCATGCCTGCATTTTTTTTGGCTAAAATGTTTAGTCTCAAATGTTTCAGTCGCAAGTTTAAAAAAATCTCCACAGCCAAGCCACACATTTGTTTTTTTTAGACCAGAACAAAAAAAAATTATATGGCACATCAAGTGGAGTATTTTTTTTAACGAAAAACTGCATATGGGGCAACCGCAGGGTTTGATGCGAACCAAGTAAACGTTCAGCTTAATCCAAAAATTGCTCTACCATATTCTTCAAAACCCAGAAGTGGATTTTTGAAGATATTGCTGGATGGAGTCCGTGTAGGGTGGCACCGAACTGCTGGATGTATTACTTTACATGTAACATGGGGCTTGATGCCCCTTCTGAAATACTCGTAAACATGGCGAATTGGAAGGATTTGTGAGGATTCGGATGTTTCCTTGCAAATAAGGGTTAATGAGTTGCTTCAAGATACTACATGTACATGTACACTGTATGTAGTCCCACCTTCAGATCTTGCACCACTGTACTTTAGACAGCACTGGACACAATCTGCCTTATAATTCACTGTATGCATTCTACACGTAGTTATGAGTGATTCAGCACTATTTACCAAACAAACATTTACGGTTTTAGAAAGAAATTTTGGAAAGACATTTATTAGGGAGACACTGTCTTCTAAGCAAAAACAAAAATTGAAATTGAAAACGTCTGATTCTAAATGATGGGCCTCAATCTGATCCGTCTGTACAAATTAACATCATTGTGAATCTTAACCAAACGGCTGAGCTCAACCATTTAATTAAGATGTGTATGCGGCTTAGCCTAGTCGTGATCAACTCCACACATGCTCATGCCAATGACAATGTACATGTACAACGCTATCAGTTGACCATTCCAATTAACATGTATTGTACATATTTTGCTCCACCATTCAGCACACCTACCATATCATGCCAGTTTTATAATAAAATAACAGGGAGGCTTGAGTTAGGTTGGCATAGTGCCAGCTTCCTCGCCTTCCACCGCTGTGACCTAGGTTCGATTCATGCCTGGCCCATTAAGTGGATTGGGTTTTCAGACCCTGCCTGATTCCATGGGTTTTCCTCAGAACATTCTTCTGGGGTTTTCCTCCCAATTTCCCATGTCTAAAACTGTAATTTCTTCATTATTGTCTTCTCTCTACTGGGCCCCATGGGAGACCAGTGGATTCCACTGAATGGGCTATACCCAGATAAAATAAGGGAAAAAATGTTGCAACCTGACGCATCTTCCGCGATTGTGTACAAAGTCTATGGAGAGTCAAGAATTTTTTTAAAGTATTTCCTAACAAAATTGGAAATATTTCTCAGTCCCAAATTCATGTCTTATCATCATTTTTGCAATGAATGACCGTCATTGAGATGATATATGAAGAAGATAGTGGCGTCAGGTCGCAACATTTTTTACAAAATAAGAATTAAATAAAACAAATAAATAAAATTGATTTGTTTTGTCGAGACACACAACCAGCTTGATTGGGACATAAATTTAAGAAGTCAACGGAACATTAGCCCTTACTCTCTGAGGGTAGTTTACTGCATGTCAGTTGGTTATGCCAATGCCCTCCAGCTGCAGTTTATTGGCAGATAGTTTGTCTTAACAGTGAAGGCTCCAATTGGCAGGAGTTGGAGGCCCTGGAGGGTGCCTGATACTGACCAGCTGGGGGCACTCACTTTGTTATCAGAGGACTCTCATTGTTCTCTGTGGCATGTATTGGAGTGCCTGTCCAGTTACCCTTGAAATGACATGGCAGATATTGGAGGGCCATGCAAAAAACATAGGAGATTTTCTTGAGGCACATATTGGCATGCGTTGGAGGGTCTAGTAGGGTAAGGGTTAGAACAGGCCTTTGTGGTACATATCAATTATGGTAAAAACACAAATGGAAAGTAAAATGAGAATATTTTACTTGATATCCCATCGAAGAAGATTGAAATGAAATCGATGTGAATCTCCTTGCCTTTCAACATGTTCACACTAGAGAGGTAAACTTGAACAATTAAGCGACACGGCATCAGTTTGGTAAAAAAAAACGAAGTGGCTATCGTTACGGCACTCGTTGTTTAGCGCCCTCTACGATATTTTTTTGATACGCACGCAGGTATATAATTATTTGTTTCCACACATTTTATCGAGCAGTGCGCCAGCTCAGCCGAGTGAGGGTAGGATTTTGTACCGCGAGGTTGCGGGTTCGAATCTCAGTTTTGCACTCGAATTTTTTCCCTTTTCTAACCTGAGGCTTTGGAGGATTTTTTTTTAAAGGGAAATAAAGTCCGAATTTCATAAAGTTCAAATTCACTTTTTTCCTTCTAATTTTATATTTTCTTGTCGTGTTTTTTTATAAAAGTTGCCAGGTTGCAGTCTACCGTAACGATAGAAAATGGGAAATGCGTTACGGCTGCCGTAACAATAGCCACTGCGAAAAAAAAAATGGTATTCCTAATATGTAATTTTAGGGATGTAATTAATTTTAAAATCTCTCAGCTCATGAATTTGCGATGAGAATGATGACATAACACTGACAAACATGACAAAGTGACAATGACAGTCCTTTTCATGTTTTTTGAAATTATAGTTTTTATACTTTCACAGCTGTCAAAATGTGTCTTTGCACAGTCGGTCTTCATGGTCTTGGAAACAAAACACAAAAATGGTGAAAATATATTAACAAGAATAATGACAAAAGTTTGATGTCATCAGTCTTTGTTCAGGTCATGTTTAATTGTCAAAATTGAATTGGCATTTTGTCAATTCATTATTTAAAAATCACAATAATCAATCACAAAAATGTAGATGAATGAAAATCAACCAACCTAAATAAATATCCCCAAAAGATCCACTTCCAATCTTTCGTCCTAGTCGGTACTTGTTACCAACTCGGAGCTCCATTCCTGTGAACAAAGAGAAAGAAAACACGGATCAAAATTTCTTGCGTCAGAGAGAGTGAGTGATTCATCGTGGGTGTTCACTCCAACAGCTGTAAATTAATAAACATAGAATTCATACAGGATACCAAAACACTAAAAAAAATAAGGCCGACTGTAAAGTGAAATCTTGCCAACTCACCTGCCTCAAATCACGCCAAAATACTCTGGACGATCTAAGCAACCATCTAGGTATCCCCACATGGGAAAATTATCGCTATATGGAGCTTCATAAAGCAAGGATGAAATGGATTCCAGAGAGAAGCTCTTCACCTTCCCAGTTTATTCGACGCCATATTTATTTACGTTGTCTTCGTTGCTGCCGAATGTGCGCAGTCTCAGTGTTGGAGGGTTTTCCCTGTCTTGTGATTGGATCACAGATCGCATAATCATACCTGCGATCCAACATGGCGCTGCCCATGGGCACAGCTCGTGTGTTCTTGAAGTTGAGTTTTTCTGAGGCCAATTACGGCGTCTGGATCCCAGGGTAAGATGTTATCCGTGAGGAAAATTACTTTCCCCCGGAAATTATAATCTTTTCCCCAATAATTAATTAAGAATAGTGAAATAAAAAGGCCCTGGAAAGCAGTCCGCTGCTGCCCAGTTTCCGGACAGCACTTTCATATTAGGCTAGTTTACTCATCATGCTCCTTGACCTTAGTCATCGAATAGCAAAACTGTGCTTATACTTTTTAGGCCTACCGAGTAGTTATTCCCATTTTTTCGGACATTTGTATTTCTTTGTCGTCCAAATGAATGTGTGGAATTAGAAGCAAAACAAAAACCAAACGTAAACTGAATCAAAGAAAAAGGCATTGTCATAATTTTGACTTAAATTTGAGATGTTGAACAAGATAAATCAGCTAGGCTAGGCCTACCAACTGCCGATTAGTTCTTTGTATTTGATTTTTAAATTGAATTATCATTAGTACTGTTATTAATAAGTTAATTAACATGGTTAATAAGTTCTAGCCTATAATGGGTCTCAAGTATTGCTTGGACGACTTCTGTAGTTAAACATGTTAAATTTGGAGGAAGCAATTGAAATTCATTTATGCCTAGGAACTTAAAAGTTACGGAACTTAATTTAAAGTTTAAGTGATATTTTTGTAAACACAATTGAATTATCACTATAAAATAATTATAATTTAACTTTCTAATTATCAACAATTTAATTGGGCATTATTTCAATTTGATTAAATCATGCACAATTGTGCAACAATCCCCCCCCCCCCAAATCAGATACTTCATTCATTATTTTTTTGTTAAACCATTTGTTATTTATTTTGCAGTTTTTACCCTTTAATACATGTAAACCCCATTCCCTCCAAAAATATATGAAGAGATATATGTGTAACCAAGCGTTTTAGAAGGCAAATATTGTCCAAAAAAAGAATGATCACCAACTGATCTTTTCATAGAGGTGTGTTTCTATAAATCTGCACAAATTTTAACCATGTTTTAATTTCAGATTGGTCCAAGTCAGACACAGTCGGTATCCACGACACCATGCGAGGGCGGTAGTGAACCTGAAAGCTTACCAAGATGACAAGCTACCAATCGACATCAGCACACCAGTCAGAGCAGCCAAGTGCGATAAATCATCGTCCGCTCTCTTCTACGATCCGCTCGTAAAGTGAGTTCAGGGTTCCCATAGTCATGGAAAAAATCATTGAATTTAAGGCTATATCATGGAAAGTCATAGAAAAGTCATGGAATAGGACTCTCTCAAATGATGTCATTTCCTACAGACCAGCCACGTGCATCGGCATTTTTGAGCGTCAACTTGCATAACGCGCATCGGCTGCGTCGTATTTCGAACACATTTCGAGCAACAAGCGCGCATGTTTGGAACATTTTCAACACTGTGCAATGCGTGCTTGATTGCGTAAAATACGCAGGTGCAGTTCTCCTACAGGGATGGCCGTCTTTGAGAGAGACCTATCCCGCATATGTGATGATGCGTAAAATAATGGCTGTGGCAGTCTTCCAGTTTGCATTCCAGTTTACTATACTTCCTCTTGATGCATGCATGCTCTATACTTGTTGCATATTCAGTGCACCACTGTGATGCTTTTGTGGTGCTCAGTGGTCTCATGCCAAACTGGAAGGCTGAAAGGGAGTGGTGTCCCTTGCCTCAGTGTGATGACTGGCCACTGTATTGAAATAGGCTCCTATAAAAGATGCCAAAACAACGTAGGAATTGGTCATGGCTACTTTTGTTATGGAAAAATCATGGAAAAAATCATGGACTTTCATTTTAGGATTTCTGTGGGAACCTTATGAGTTACTCCATCCCTTTGCTTGTCAGAACACAGCCTCCAAATCTCTCATGGTAGATTTAGAGGCCCAAGATTTAAATGCCCAGCATGTCATTGGCCAATTGACAAGTGATGAAAGGGTCAACCTAATTTAAATATGTTAATTGTAGGAAATAGGCCAATCAGATTAGAGGGAAGGCAGCATCATCAAGGTGCATGGCAACCAATAAGATTGCAGAAGCACAGAGGGTGCTGCCTTTCCTCGTGTATGTTTGATAGAAAATCAGGTCTCCGGTTTATCCCTCTCCTCCCCCCTCCAAAAAATCTTTCTCCTCCCCCCTCCAAAAAATCTTATTTAACTCCACCTCCTTAGTGATTTGCCAAAATAAACAGAATCAAGTGGAAAATTGTGGTGATACTCTCGGGCCCTTTCCACTAAGATGGCTCCAAAGTCCAAATACCCTCTGATTTTTGTTTTTTAAAGCTTTTAGAAAAAAAATTGAATTTCTCAATTGTTTCAATGCACAATTTCTCACTCTGCCAGTTTAAAATTGAATACCGGTTCCTAATTTCCTTTTGTTGCATTGACTTTTTTTTTTCTTCATTTTTCAGCAAATTTGTCAACGTTATGAATAAGAGAGGAAAGAAACAAACTTTCCAGAAGATTATGGATCGGGTAAGTAATATGAAATCAGCCTTTCTTTGAACAGACAATTGGCTCATGAATTTAAAAAAAATCGGAAATCTATATTACTTTTATGATAGTGTGACAGAACGTGTTTGTTTCATGATGTGAGAAGGCCCAATAATTTGAACCTCACCTGTGAAAAATTACTGCTACCAACATACACAAGCATTGGTTTTATGCTTTTATTTCTTTTTCGTGAGAGTTTAACCCTAACCTTCCCAAATCCTGCAAAATCCTTTTTGCAAAATGGAGGCTTTTGCAGGATTGAGGCTAATATGGCAAATATGTTTGGAGGATGCGCTGTGTCAAGGTCTTAGACCGGACCTTGTGTTACTTATGCTCAGCCGTGCATAAATTTAGGCATATATATACTTGAAATCCTCCGCTTTGCTCCAGGATGTCACTGGCTCTGCCTCAACATATTGACAGTGATTGCTGGAGGATTTTGCAGGATTTGAGGCAGTGGTAACCCCTCCCAGGCCCACATTGAAGAAATAACGGATGATTTTGGAGGATTGAGGCTGTATGCAATTTTTACATGGAGGAAGTTGGAGGATGAGGTTGCATCCTAGTAAAAATGCCCAGGGAGCTAGGGTTAAACAGTGAACCTTTTTTTCTGTTTGCATCAGAAAGTTTATGAAACTCATGAAAGCACTCGATGTTCTGTGATGAATTTCCTTATGTTTGTACCTCCAATTTATAAGCAAACATACTTTTCTTCTCTTTTCCAAACACAGACAATGGAGAATGTTAAAAGAGAACAGATACTGAAGTACAACAAAGCCCCTGAGGTGGAGAAGTCAAGTATTGAGACCGACCCGCGAGTCATCTTCTACAAGGCTATCGAGAACTGCAAGCCTTTGATGGGACTAGCTGTCGTCAAGAAGGGCGGCAAAAACTACCAGGTCAGATGAACAGACCTCTTTTTGTTTCAAAACCTGTGTCTATCACTTGTCTGCTTTTGTCTCAGCAGGCATGCAACTTTTCCTCTGATCCGCTGATTCCTTGTTATTTCTCTTCACACTTATGCCATTAAAAATTGAAAAACACAATTTGTATGAAAAACAAATACTTGAGCTTATTAACGAGCATCACAAGCGGACTGGCTGGTCACACAAAACCGCTGGACTGGCACTTTATTCAGTGGGTGCAGACCAGTGGGTTTCTTGCGCCTTGTTAAACTCTCAAATGATTTCCATGTTGGTTTCCCACTACATGTCTGAACGGTTTCAACCACGATTAGATTTCATGAAGCTACTGATAAATTTGCAAAACACAGAAAATATTTGCAAAAACAAAAAAAAGGTGACCAGCCCAAATGTCAGGCTATGCATATTGTTTGCATTTTGTTCTATATTTTTTGCCTTTAACAGAAATTTGCTAATAATTTTCGGCTTCATTTTCGGATCATTAAATTTCGCCTTATCTTTTCCCACAGGTGCCTACTCCATTAGACGCACCCAGACAGCGTTTCCTGGCTATGAAGTGGATCCTGGACGAATGCAGCACCAAACCACTCAAAGTTCACATGCCCGAAAAACTGTCCAGCGAGCTACTGGATGCTTACAACAACACGGTGAGTTCAAGACCAAATAAAAATTCAACTGATTTTTGCCTAACAACATAAATTTGCTAAGCTGTATTCTCTGGTCAGCACCTCCACGAAGTGAATGCCAAGGTTCAGTCATCTTTATTTGAGTGCAGCCTTGCGTCCGTTGCAGTATGGCAGTACTATGCAAAGAGAGAATTTCCATCAAATTTGAAGTTCACATCTTCGTCTCACTTTTTCCTTGTCAGGGTAAAGTTGTCAAGAGGAAGCATGATCTACACAAGCAGTGTGAAGCCAACAGAGCCTATGCACATTTCAGATGGTGGTAGGGGAGTGGATGACATCACATTGTATTATAGACGGTGTACTATTCATCATGGAGAAAAGAAACTCCCTGAACAGACAAGGTGGAGTCTTTGCATGGACTCTGTGCGCAAGTACCCCATCAACAGTTGGAGTTGGGGGAGACCACTGATATCTTAATGGGAGCGACACCTGTTTCAACTGGTGCCATAAGCTTACTGCTCGTAGGAAGATGCTACAAGCTTGCAATGTGCACAATTAAGAAAATATTTGTGCGTACCTCACACCATGCCCACATGAAACAGTGGTCTTGTGTGCACACATGCGATGTGTCCCTCCCAAGGAACTCTTGTAGGCAGTCCAAAGTGTCGTCCACTCTTCACGCGCCGAGTCCATTGAAAGCCACTTGTTTTAACCGAGGTGCATGCAACTGCCTGAAAAGATGGTTTAAACACAGATCCTCTACACAAGGATAAGCGAGCTCCCCAAATTTCTAATTAGAGGCGTGATGATATGGCACTCGTGCGTCGTGTGTGCGCGAGACTCTACGCACAACTGCAGTCTTCCAGTGATCAAATTCTGTCAGGACGCCAGCTGTCGGCAATCATGGCGCACGCATTGTTCGTGTTCTATGTGTTGTTCTTTGCGCGGACGCGGCATATCAACCCCCTAGACGAACCGTTCAATACATTTTGTACACAAGCTCAGATGAGTCGTTTATACTTGTTTAGAGGATCTGTGGTTTAAACAAGTGTTCTGTAGATTTCAACAGATTCCAATTGCACTTTTGATAGCCCCTGAACAAAAACCGTTGTCAAAATGGTGGCGTTCTAACGGCTTCATCTAGTTTTGGAAATTATTACCTTTTACATATTTTTGCATGTTTCTAGGATCCTTAAATCAATGTATCCTTTGTAAATCTTGAATAGGAATAAGTTGTAATAAAGTAATGATGTACAATAAAATAATGATGTACAATAAAATGACAGATGATGAAAAAAAGAGTTCTTTTTCCAACATAAATAATGGCAATTTATTTTCAAATTTTGGTGGGCACAGTTTATACGTTACAATCATAACAACGGACACTTTAAAGTCTCGGCATAAAATTCCAATCAAAAAAATGGAAATTACTTGTTGGAAAGTTTTATCATTCACTAAAAATGTGTTGCAAGATTTTGACGGTGTACATCAAGTTAGTTGTACTTGTACTGAAACAAATTATTTCTAGGCAGTAAGAAACCAGTGTATTAAACCCTCTGTTGCACAAAGTTAATCTACAAATCTTAGAGTAATTAATGGATACAGGTATGTCAATATTTGGGGAAATTCCTATCATTTTTCAAAGTTTTTATGAAGATGAATTGCATTTTAAGACATTAAGACAAATAAATACTTTTTGGATAACAAGTCATATAAACCATTTACACAATATTAATTGATGTATTGTACAGCCTTTTGTAAATGCAAGTAGTCGTCGGTTTTAAAATAAATACTTTTTATTTCAACAGAGCCACATGAAACACTCTGATTTCTGTTTTCGTCTATTTGTTTCTATTGACAACTTTACATAATAAAAACTTCGCTATTGAACAACACAATAGACTTTATGCATGGCAACCATCTTAGAGGGGCTTTGGATTTTTAAATTCTGTAACAAATGCCTACACAAATGCTCCCTAAGATGGCCACTGTGCACAAGGTTTATTAACATAACATTACATTTGAACATCAACCAATTGTGCAACGACAAATGCCAGTACAATGTGAAAAGGTCACATAAAAGTAAGTTACAAAATGTTTATAAATCAGATATTTTGAAGCACTTCTTACTAGCTAAAGGGAAGATACAACATTTGCAAACATCAAAAAACCGAAATGATCAAATTATCAGGAAATATCTTACTTGATTGTTAGGGAATGCAGTCTAAAGCATCCTGTAAAGTTGTGGCTGCCGGTGTGCTGACATTTTCAAGAAAAACTATTTTTGCGTTGGGGAAAACTGGCTTTTTTTCAAAAAGTGCTCCTAGTTTTTCATATTTAGTTCGTCTGCATTTTCTTTCCAATGATTACACATCTGTGAAGACTACAAGCCTGCTAGACTGATTCTCTGATCGTACAATTCCCCAAAGTCTATAAATGAAACAAGTCAGTGTAACAATATTTGCTATAACATACTAATCCTCCAAATCCATTTATTTCTGAAAATTGCAGCAAAAGCAAATGTTGTACATTCCCTTTAAGAATTCCTACATTTTTCTATTCGGTTTCTATTTGGTCCTATCACTACGCAGCTGTTGATTCTCAGAATCATGTATCAGCGAAGCCGTCTTCAAAAACATTTTTTTATAAAGGGCACAATGCTTGTGCTATCAATATCTATCTCAAATATATATAAATTTTCTTTTAACATCAAAATGTACATAGATCCAATTTCATCTCTAGCACTGTGTGGTTAAAAGTACTGTGCATGCAAACAATGCAATACATTTTAAGCCATATCTAAACTCACAACGTCATACCACCAACTGCCTGCTGTTACGAATAGTGAGCGCTAACTTTGGACAAATTTGGGCACAAATTTGCTCAGCATGACAGAATTCTGCTAAGCAGACACAGGATTACCAGCAGCGAAATGTTACACAATCTACACAGCTTTGTGTAGTCTTTGGTCAACAAGTCGTCGTATATTGGATATCCCTATCACCAACACGACCTGCTATCACAACAACGTCTTGGGAATCTTGTAGCAGTCGTGTCATGTGCGCGCACCTGTTTTGCCTAATGTATGCAGCAGTGTTGTAGTACTCGTACCCGTACTCGAATGTCAAAGTACTCGTACTCGAAATGACGGTACTCATACTTGGGCAGCAAAGTACTCGTACTCGACATGTCAAAATTTTACTCGATCATCAAAGTACTCGAATAGCAGTACTCGGGAGGAAAAAATGGTATAGCTTGACTTACACCACAGCCTTATTTTATCGATACTTTCAGTTTGAAATGGTTGATTGGCTTGCGGAGATATTGAAGTTTCCTGATCCCGACAAACACATTTAACAGCTAGCCGTGAGTGGGTCTGTATATCGGTCTGACTGGGCCGGCCTGGGCCAATTACGCACAATGAATCATTGCCGTATGGCTGTATTCGGAAATACAAGTACTCGTACTTGTAAGTAGTCGAACTCGAAAGTACAAGTACTCGTACTCGGAGACCTGTACTTGTACTCGGATGTACAAGTACTCGTACTCGTACTCGGCAACCGAAGAACTTGGTACTCTGAAAAAAGTACTCGACTACAACACTGGTATGCAGCGCACATTCAACACCTTGCATATTAGCTCCGAACCAAAACTCCAAAATTTCAGCCAGTAGCATGCAAGATGCCAGCTACCAGACTTGTGTGCAGCCTCACTTGTCTAGTACGCGTGCGACCAAACAGTGACTGTATTTGCCTGCAGAAGTAGCACATGCGCACTAGCTTCCCCCATTTTGTCAGGGGAAGATTTTCAGGGGAAGTTCGTCTTGATAACACCCTATTTTGGCGATGATTGCGTATCCAATACACAACATCATCATCTTGACCCATACTAAGCTCTGCATGGTACTTGGCTTCATTCGTGCTAAGCACACTAAGCTTGTTGGGCAGTGATTTCCACCAGGCAATTCAGGGACACTTTTCTCTGCTCAAAATGGAGAATTCATTCCCAGCTTGGTGCCAAACTGTAGTTGAGTCCGCCTCTGCCATCTGACAAATACTCTAAAATGAAAAAGTAGTATATAAAGAATAATTGTTATAAGTATCGCATGGTGGATTGAATACTAGAATGAGGTTTGCAGATGACACTGTGACTATCAGTCTGTTCTGTGGAGAAGTGTCGGTTCGAATGGTATGGACTCCAAGAACGAACAGTAGACAGCGTTTTTTTTTTACAATTTTTTTTTAACCCGAATGGGCGGGACACCATGTGCCCGCACTGGTTCACACGAAAAGTAGACGCCACTTATTTGAATTCTAAATGTGAACAAACACGTAGCCTCTTCAGGCGTCGCTAGCAATGCATTCGCATGTCCCCTTCATAACCATTGAGGGGGGTACTTGTGCACACAGTCCGTACGCAATCTAAGGAGTAAGTAGCTTCCCCCCAAAGGATGACAGGGTACAGCTAGTGTTCAAAATGGCAAAAAACACAATCTCTGGTTTTCTCAAAAACAATGCATCTTCATCAAATGGCTCACATGTGACTGAGTCACATGATGTCATCTGCACAACTCACTCCGTTAAAAAATAATCATTTTCCTCGAAGGGATAAAAGTTGGAATTCTTTCACCTCTGTATCAATTATGATTTTTAAAAAATTACTTTTAATATCTCATAGAATTACAGACTTCATATTTTTGGCCTACCTGATTTCAATGAGCTTGACCGCCTCGTTCAAGACCAGAATGACCAGCGGCCAGAGGAATGCTAGGAGCCAGACTGCCAAGGGTACGTCAGCCAGGGTGACCGCTTGACCACTGGCCGGGTCTGCAGTCCACAGCCTCACGTCCAGGACAAAATAGATGATCTGAAGCAGCAACCTGAACAAAGAGAACAACACATTACAAAGCATGTAGATACTGGATATGCTGGATATGTTTGGCCAAATTTCACAGCAGGCAATGATACTACAGTAAACTCCGGCTAAACCGACATCGTACAACTCGTCAAATCGCTAAAGTCCCGATTGTCCGTAATGCATTTCCATTGAATTTTTTATTTCAAAGTCGGCTTTTATAAGTCGCCATTTCGCTCAAGTCGTCGTGTTACTCTCGATCCCCTTTCCATAAAAAGCATTACAAAATCCTTTGTGTAAGTCGGCATTCAACAAATCACACATTGGCATCGACTTCCTGTAATGCGGTTGGCAAAGTGTCGAGTGAAAAGTGGTTTCGCACGGCCCATGATCGCTGCATGCATCGGTGTCGAAAAAGGGTGTCCTACTGCATACATCACATATGCATCGTGAGCATATCAATACCAGTACCCCCTCTCGGCTGTACGCATGCGCTCTGTCCACTTTGGGGGTCGTCTTATTGAATGACTAGTGCTGCAGTCAATGCGTGCGTGGTATATACCGGACCACGCACGCATATAATTCGTTACTGTGTACGTAACGGTACATATCGTGGTCTCCACTATCAATACCTCAAACGTGATGATACAATTCGAGGATTAATTTGCTGGATTCAACTCAAGCATTAAGAAGACAATCCAAGGTAAATCAAAGCCAATTAGTGCAATGAATCATGTGTGCAAAAGACCATTCATGTAAGCCGGCAAAATGACAACTTACAGCAGATATCGGCATCCGCGTAAGTCGTCACAAATTCTCGGGTCCTGAGAGTGCCGACTTAGCCAGAGTTTACTGCACTTTATTAGTAAATTTATGTCTTAACTAGAACGGCGAAGCCGCCATGGCTCGCTGTCCAAGGCAGGAAGGGAGGCTGAAGGTAGGGTTGGGGATGGGCATGATGGAAGGGGATCAGGATTCTTGTTGATGTGCCAGGGTGTAGGGGTCAGTTTTTAAATGTCAACATAAAAAGTCAACAGATTACCTAATAAATACATGTGTATATAGGTTAGCCGTCACTGTATTATGGGGGAGTTTTTCATTGTTAGGGTAATTAGGACCCAGTTGTGGATTTTTGCAGCCCCAACAGTGTTTTCTGCTCCCCATACTTGTATTACCATGGGCAAAATCTTGTGTAGTCGCCACAAATGCAGAACAATGGGTATACATGTACATGTAGACACAGCACCATCACCACCTTCCCCAAACCTTACCCCATCCAAAAACCTTACCCCATCCCCAACCCGCCCCTCCCCCTCCCAACCCCCTACCCACACCCATTCCATCCTCCCCTAACCATCCCCACCCTATCACCTACACATCCCAACCCCACCCAAACTCCAATCCCTATCTCCTTCCCCCTCCCCTGACCCGTACCCTCCCCTACCCCAACCCCCTACACCCACCTACCCTATCTTCCCCTATCTGTCCTTACCCACACTACACATCCCCACCCTAACCCTTACTCAAATTCCAATATCCCGCCCACCCCATTCCCCCACCCATACATCCCCACCTGACCCCATGCAACCCCTACTCTGATCCCTATATACTGCCCCCTCCCCTTATCCAACCCCTACAACAACCCATCCCTACACATCCCCAACCCAACCCCTACTCCGATCCTATATCACGCCCCCTGCCCAACCCCCTCCTAACCCAACCCCTACATCCATGCCCATCCTCTCCCTACCTGTCCCACCCCACCCCTACAAGTTCCCACCCCACCCCTACAAATCCCCACCCCACCCAAACCCAGTATTCCAACCCCTCTCCCCACCCCACCCCAACCCACCCCACCCCACCCATCCTAGCTCCCCTACTCATCCTACTCACACAAACCCTAACTCCAACCCCTATCCCCCAACCCACCCCACCCTCCCCTACCCCATCCCTACTCCAATCCCATAAAACTAAAAGATCAAACCAGAAGCTCATGCACATCCCCAAAATGCATAGTGTACATGTACATGTTATACCGGTATACACACATGTACATGTTATACCAGTATACATGTACATGTAACAATTAAAAACTTTAACATTTCCTTGAATTAAAGTTCCTCAATAAAATCATAAAATTTACTGCAATGATATGAACCTAACTGAAGTTATAGGCCTAGAGATGATACATGACAACTGCATTTAATTTTTTTCCCCAAGTTAACTAAAACCAAAAACTTCAACATTTTTATCTGAACGCGGACGGCCGGACGTTCCAGCCAGACGGAATTGTGGGGTGATAGCATTGTGTTCCCATTATCCCTTTTTCTAAAGATTCCCTTCTGGGGTGATGTTTTTCCATTGTGTAAAAAGTGGGGTGATGTGTTCTGAAAGGAACATCACCCCACAAGGGTGGTCTGGTCAGAACGGACAGACGGGCGCCCGGACAGACGGACGGAAATTGGTATTACATAGGCTCGCATCTGCTTCGCAGCTCGCCAAAAACCACAAATACTTGCCATGAGGTTAGGGCCTGTCTCAAGTCGAGTTCCGGACAAGTTGCGGGTAGAATCATTCACTTTGTCAGGAAGAAGCTGTGCGTGTGTCTCGGACATGTTCCGCGTAAATTTTCATTAGCAAACTGCTTGACTCAATAATACTGAAAAACCTCATTGCGGGAAGATTGCAGGGAAGTTGTTCAGAATCCTGCAACTTGTACCCAATACAATATCCGGAACTTGACCGGTACTCGTCCCGGACATGGATTGAGACAGGCCCTTACAAATTCGCATGCACGTTAAATTATTTTTTCTTTTACACTCAACTTCCAACAGATCAAATTGATCTCCACCATCCCCCTGTCTTTCAAATATCAAATTTCAACAATTCTGCTCACAGCAAACAGCAACTACTCACAGAATCAGCACAGTGCAGCACCACATGCGATTGGTGAACGGATGCCTCTTCCATAGTGACTTGAGATTGTGGACGTAACTGACGGATGAAACAACTGACAAAAAATGACACAGAAAATTTTGTATGAGTTGGTAATCCCTCTTTGCCACAATAAAAAAATATGCACTTTGTGGAAACAGTAGTTGTTGCTCTGTTCACAAAAAGAGGGATTCGGTGTGGGGAGGGCTGTGAACATTGTTTTTCTCTGCAAACAGTGATGATAATTTGCAAGAGCAAAGATGCGTCTAAAAACTTTATTTCCTCAAAACTTATCAACATTTATACGTAGAGACCTTATTACGTGGTTTTTTTTTTAACGGTTTTCTAAAAGATGTAAACAGATTTTAGTAGGTGCACTGGTAAAAAAAGTCACATTTGGACCCAACATTCATGTTTCCAAAGCATGACAAGTGATTAATCAAGGGGCCCTAGGACATCTTGTCACAAGATTTGAGCTGATTAATGCTGCTCATTCTCAACTGAGTAAATCCTTTACGGGAAAAAATGTTGCAACCTGACGCCACTTTTTTCTTCATATATCATCTCAATGAGGGTCATTCATTGCAAAAATGATAAGACATGAATCTGGGACTGAGAAACATTTCCATTTCCGTTAGGAGAAACTTAGAAAATGTTCTTGACTGTCCACAGACTTTGTATACAATCGCGGAAGTGGCGTCAGGTTGCACAAGTTTTGTTCCCCTTTATGTACTTACTAAAGTACAGTACAATCAATGCAGCCTGAATGTTCTGAGCAAGCACCAGTTGTGAGGAATGCTCAGTCTTCAGTCCATTCCAGAGAGACGAGGAATTCCTGAAGAACAACCAGAAATATGAAAACAAATCAATTTGAGATTGTTTGCTAGAACCGATTTCCCTGTTTACCTCAGGAGAGATGACTATGGTTTTGATTTTGGAGTTAAGCCATTTACGCATTAATGGCAGCATTGAGCTGTATATCCCGAGGGGGCTTATGGTCACTAAAATGCATTATGGGCAATATAAAGGAATGGGCCTTAATCACGAGTCGGCCATATTGGATTGAGAGTGAGGTAAAATCTTCATTTTTGGAACTTGTGTAGAGAAATGAAAGCAATGACATTACCAATTAATACCAGTCTACTCAGATGAATCGTTCAAAATTTGTGACTAAACAAACTTTCATGTTTGAAACCACATTTAAAAAAAAAAGTGCGGGTGAGGCTATAGTGAATAAATAGTCTGGCACCATCCAATTCAACAGATCACAATTTATGAAATACATTCGGGGAACACGACAAAAATGGCCAACTCATGCATAAGGCCCCATGGAGATGTTTCACACCAGTGGGTATGGTTAGTACACCTCATAGGTCTTAAATTTCGTGGAATTTTAATCTCAGATTCCTGCTACTACACACAGCACAAGTGGATTTCTCTCTGTGTGTGCTTGAAACAAGTTGTAATTTTTTTTTTGTTTTTGCTTTTATATCAATTCATCTAATCATGCACCGTTGTGTTGAAACTGGACAAATTGTGAGCACATGTATGTACACATATGTGTCATTTATGTGTCTCCCAATACTTTCAGAAATATGGCAGGATAAGCCACTAGTTTTTGTTTAACTACCAAGTACTGGATACAGAAATCTGCGTTCCGAAAATTGTTGGGTGAAAATCAATGATATTAGTGAGGTGTTCTGGCAAAATGAGACAGAACTGGGCCAAGTTCAAATGAGGGTTTACGAGTTTTAGGAAAGAGAATAATATTCTCCTTACGATACTGTTAGTTGCACTTCAATCAGACATTCTGTTGACAAGTTACGGCTGTTTAATGTTCGCATTTATCGACAGGTCAAAAAAGTAAAATACTGAGAAAATGACCTTCAAAGTTTCAAGTTTTTGTAGTCGTTAAAATGAAAGATGCCAATTCTTTTTCCTTAAAAACATTTTTATTCCACGCTTTTTATACTATTTCTTTAAGATATTGTGTAGCAGACATTTCAAAGATTACAAATATCAATAAATCTGAAAATGAAAAAAAATTGCCCCTGTTCCTTTTTTTTTTTTTTTTACATATTTCTCCACTGCAGCCTGTGCCCAGTTCTGTCTTATTTTGCCAGAACATCTCACATTTGGAGCTGGGTACAATTTTGAAAAACATGTTTTTAAGGTTTTAAGCAAAATTGACTATCACATACTTCTCTGGATTTTCACTGTGTCAGAAAGAGAGCCTTATTTCCCTTTGGAATCACAACTCAAATTCCATTAAAACTTCTGTATTCAAGAGAATTACACTTAGGCAGTGATAGTTACACCAAATAACACTGCCATATAACACCATGACCAACTGAAAAAAAATAAAAGAGTAAACTGAGAGAACTCCCCACAATAAAATGTCTGTCAATGAGGATCAGACATGGTCTGTCAGCAACAGCTACTTATTGACAGCTCACCTGTTTCCGAAGATGATGTGGCAAGATTCAGTGGGCGTGGCAGTCTTTTGGCAAAAGGCGTGGAGGGTGAGGGCGTGGCACAGCAAGGAGATAAATATGGTGAGACCGAACCGAGCGAAAAAGAAGAACATGTACAGTTGAATGACCTGAAAGAAAAAAGGAACCAAAAAAAAAAAAAACACATAAACTGGGCTTGGATTTACCATGTTTCCCATTACTTATTCAATACAATCCCACATGTAACAATTAAATTATTCTAAAAAATTTTCTAAAACATAAAAATCTGATCGTTTATTGTCAATTTCAAAAGTGAATGATTTTATAGATCATGATAATTTAGTAGTTAAGTTGGCGGCAATATATGTTCACATGATCTCATTTGCTCACTGTCAATACAGAGGATTTTGTACCAGATTCAGTCGACTTGGGAGGTCAAACCTGGTCATAACAAAACACCTAAGAGTCTGTGTTGTGCAGGGCAAAATGAAAACCATTTGAACGAAATGAAAACCATTTGAGCGAACAGCTGTCGACTTTTTCTGTGATGCACTTCAAGTAACCCTGCCAATGGGGTTTCCTCTATTATCCATCACTCCTATCCCTAACCTTCCCAAATCCTTCAACATCCTCTTTGCAAAATGGAGGGTTTTGCAGGATTGAAGCTACATAGCAAAAGTGTGTTGCTGATTCTGGAGGATGCACTTTGTCTAGGTCTTGAGCTGGACCTTGTGTTGTGTATGCTCAGCCATGCATAAATTTAGGCCTAAATTATACTTGAAATCCTCCGCACTGCTCCAGGATGTCACTGGCTCTGCCTCAACATTTTGACAGTGATTGCCGGAGGATTTCGCAAGATTGAGGCAGTGATCAGCCCTCCAAGGACCACATTCAAGAAGTAACGGATGATTTTGGAGGATTGAGGCTGAATGCTATTTTTACAAGGAGGCAGTTGGAGGATTTTGCAGGATTGAGGTTACATCCTAGCAAATATGAGTTAGGGTTAAGCCCTGGGCACAATTTCACGGCACTGCTTAACACACAAAATTTGCTTAGCACCAAAAAAGTCTGTCTGATAATAGCAGGTTACCAGCCAAAACTTTATGTGACTTTCATGCTAAGCAAACAACAGCTGAACTCTAATCATGAGCAATATACATCACGTGGAGTTTTGGCTGGTAACCTGCTTTTATAAGCCAGACTTTGCTTGTGCTAAGCAACGTTTTGTGCTTAGCAGCGCTGTGAAATTGGCCCCTGGTGTACCTGGGAATCCCTGTGCTTGAGATTCTTCCCCGTGGCGCTGGTCATGGTCAGGTGGTTGACCTGCGAGTGGAACAGCGACACGGACAGCACCGGCGCGACGATGACAGAGAGCCACAGGACGTGACGACCGGCGAGCGGGGGAGGCAGGAGACAGACCGAGGCCAGGAGCTGGACGGCAGTCAGGGAGAGCAGCGTGAACATCAGGAAGGTGAAGACGGTACTGATGGCAGTGCACAAACCCCTTGCCTGGATAATGGAATGGTCTAAATATCAGGCAGGGTATTGGAGAGGCTGGTATGTACGGGACGGCGGCGGGGGTGAGCATATCATGTGGGTGATTATCAGAGTAGGAGTAGGAGCACAAGTCAGATCACAGGTAAAATTGTCTACGAAAACAATTTAGAGGCAATTTGTGATTTTGAGGGCATTTAACAAAATCCCACATGGAAATCTATAGATGTCATCAATTGTTTTGTAGGAAGAATTTTGATATTATAAAGGTGATCCCTCAAATTAAACTTTATTACATGTTTAACCAGTTCATGTCGGAGGACGTGATAACACGCACTGGCTGTATTTATACACAGGCACTGCTGATGGGTTAAAAGGTCAATATTGCCTCGACTCGCCTCCGGGTGACATCTAAACACGCTAATCCCTTGCATCTTTTGTTCACACACTGTATATGATATTTGGCTGTATAATCAGAAGTTGTTTTGCCTTTTGCAAAAATCGAAAGCAAGGTTTGTGAAAGTTGGTTTTAAAAAATAAAAAACCTGAATTAGATTTTCATATGTAAAGACAAAGATGCTTTTCAAATATTCAGTTAAGATTTTTCCCATCTGCTGCAACTCAAGAGAGATCCATTACTCTGCGCTGCTACAAACCTTCTAGACATTGATTTTTCCACAACACACTCTCCCACTTTCAAGTGATCAAATTGTTTAAAAAAATTCACTGTATTCTACAGGAAATAAAATGCAGTGTAAAAAACAACAGCTTGAAACATGAAAAACAACCAAATTTTCCTCATCTTCAAAGCTCTGTTTGTGGTTATACACATTATCTAAATATGTTAAATATACCATTGCTTTCCCCTCCATTCAAATCTAACACACAATACACAGCCTGAACTCACTTCTTGAATGAGACTAATCAGACTGAAGTTGTGATTGCACCAGAATGCGAGTGAGCAAGGCAGGCTGGTCAGGAGACTGCCCAGGCCGGTGGGCGTGTGCCAGTATGGTTTACTGCAGGAGAGCTGTTCTGGTTGGTCACGGTGCTGACACACGTGGGGGTAGAGAGGCTCCACTCCAATGCTGCGTGAGTCAGAGGAAAAAACAAGGGGGAAAAACGATCAATCAAATGGCAAAGGTACAAAACCCCACTGGGCCTTATTCATGAGTTGGCCATTTTCGTCGAGTTCCCTGCATGTATTTCATTAATTGTTAACTGTTGAATGGGATGGCGCCAGACTATTTATGCAGGCACAATGCAGCCTTGGGCAAGTTCGCGCAAGGACTATAGTTAACCATTGGTCGACTAACGCTTGCCCGAACTCTGTCTAGTCGACGATGGTTAACTACGCTAGTCGACTATTTGGAACCAACCTACTGGGGTTGGTTGCTTCGCTGGCAACCATAGCCGCGCGCGTTCATATACAGCAGGGAGCCAGGATCCAGACGTTTTGCAATGACATTTTGACCAGCGTTCGACTAGAGACGTTCGCACTTTGCTATTAGTGCGCAGGCGTAAGGTACGTCACAACCACTAGTCGACTAATGGTCCTTGCCCGAACTTGGCCCTTATTTTACTGTCCGATTTTTTAATATGGCTTTGAACATTAGGGAATGTTTAATTACAAATTTTAAATATTATCTGATATCAGCCTGGGCAAAAATGATTGGCTACTAGATACATATGAGCCGTAATGAATATTCATGTAGCCGGAACTAACCTGATATCAGCCTGTGCAAAGAGCGGCATGTTGAGAAGATTGACACTGCTACCCAGACAGCAGATGACCTCACCATAATCCTGCATGATCTTAAGCATCTCCTGAGTGGCTGGAGATCAATTTTGAAAAAAAAAGAAGTGTTATACAGTAGTAATTGATAAGCCAAGAGTTAAACACCGTCGATATCAGAATTTCCAATAATCGATATTTCAGAAATCCAATTTCGAGAATATTTGGTGAATCGATTGTAAAAGTTAAAGGGAATGTACATCATTGTCATTTGCTGTAATTTTCAGAAATGAACTATTTGAGGGGTTAGTATAATAGATCAAATTATTATTACACTGACATGTTTGAAGTTTTGTTTTCGAAAATGCTGGAAAAACCAAGAAAAACAAACATTTTCAAGTAGTCTGGTTCCCTGACTCCACTGAAGATGAAATGGATCAATTTACAGATGCCGGAAAATTGTACGCTAAGGGAACCAGTCTAGCTGACCTGCACCCATTCATGAACATAAAACCAATTAGCAAACAAAATTGGACTGAAAAAATGGTAAATTTGGAGCAGTAGTAAAAAATAGTTAGGTTTTTCCTACGGTGGTCGGCCGACCACCGTTGGAAATGTAAACAAAAATACAATTTTCTTGAAAATGACTTCACACCAGGTGCCATAATTTGACAGGATGCTTTAGACTGTCATTTACCAACATCCTGTAAGGTATTTTGTAAAAACGTGGTCATTCTATTTTTCGATGTTTGCAAATGTTGTATTTTCCCTTTAAAGACATAAAGACGACACTTTGATTAAAAAAAAAAAACTTTAAGTCCCAATTTTCCACGGCTTTCTCTGGAGCATATAGTTCAAACTTTTTAAAACAAATCTCAGCACTGAGAGTTTGTCCAGAACCGACAGTTTCTTTTGAGGTTTCACATGATTAAGGAGACTGCAAATTCTAGCAATGCAGAGCACAAAGCGACACCGCTTGGCATTTTGCGATGTGTTTATTTTGAGTGACAAGCACAAGTTGCCGCCGAGTTGTATTTCATTATTCAGCAAACGATACACACAAAGTAAAAGCACAAACGGGAGATTTATTTTGAGAACAATCTGACGCATATTCGATATTTTCGATATGAATCCTCAATATCAAACATTTTCATATTTCTATATGATTACAAAATTGCGATCGGCGATATTGATATCAAAATAATACCGAATAATGAAGTAATATGGATATATCGACGGTGCTTACCAAGAGTGGCACATGAAACAGTAACGTGAAATGGTGAGGCCTCACATCCTTGGGAAATCTTTGGCTGAGATGTTTTTTTGTTTTAATTTCTTTATGTTCTGGACTGTTTGCCAAACAGATAGGCTTCAAGTCAAGTGAGAAACAATGTTAACATGTTAATATTGTTAACATTTTAACAATGTTAACAACGTTAACAATGTTAACAATGTTAACATGTTAACATGTTATATCACAGTTAACTTTCTTTTAACCAGAGATGAAACTGGCATATGGCCAAAAAATCGGAAAATATGCCGAAGAAAAATACGTGTCCGAAATCCGGGCCGCGCTGCATTACACACATGCATGTACAATACACTTCATGCCCAATTTCCAGACACCTTTTCCTGCTTTATTTTCGATTCAAGCAAAATTTTACGATGAAAAACATGGTCTGTGTTTTCATTGCATAAAATGCCCAAATTACAGTTAGAGTAATGGAGTCATCAATAAAGAATTTCACTTCTTACTTGAGACCAAAGTCTAGGGAAAAGTCCGAAAGATAAGGGCACCGTCCATGGTGCTTCATGTCCATTCAACCACACACCACCACTAGGCCTACTCCACTTGCATTCATACGTGGGGAAAATTCAGGCATTGTCGTCTTTCTCTTCTAACAAATGGCAAATGCCAGTGAAATGTTTCGCTAATGCTCTCTTCGCTATCCTCGAGATAATCATCACGATTTTTAAAGCATTGCATTTTGTATAACTATATTTGAAACCTCCGAAAACTGCACAACACAATGATTTTATCTACTGGATCGTTCACAAGGCTACCTGTTCCCGACCGGCCATGTGCTAGCGGACGGCACGGTGCGGTACGTACGCTGGTACCATTGCATATTCGCACGCACGTGCGACACAGTGATTTTTCCATGTCGCCTGTCAATGTTTAACCTTTTGTCCAGCCGGAGAAGGCGCCGATTAGTATTATACCCTGTGTTTCTACCGTTGAAACACTTCAATAACGACTGGTGAAAGAGATTAAAACTACGTTCGCGATGATTTTAACGTGCCAGTTCCATCAACTTTTCATCGACTTTTCTTCGAAATTATGATTGAAGTAAAATGACATTTTGTGAGAAAATTCAAAAAGTCGGTTTTCCGATTAAAATCGGAAAAGTTTCATCTCTGTTTAACAAGATTTTTCCAAACATATTTCACTTACTCTCTGGAGTGACATCAGTGAAGAGTGGCACAAGCAGCGGCACGTTGTCAACTTTCTCAAGGTGCGGTCTGATGTTCTCGATACCTCGAGGAAGTTTGGCCTGAATTTTTTTTTTTTTACATAAATCAAACCAAATTACAGTCAATGCAAGGATTGGAATGCACTAGCCATACGGCAGCTGAACATCTGACCCAGACTTTGGCAAAATGCATCACTTACTCCAAGGGAAATTGTTTTGGTATATATTTATATATTTTTTTGTTTTGAACAATAAAGAATTATCACAAAAAGGCTCACATTAAAAAAGGGCTTCTTTTAGTATAACAAGGGAAAGTGCAAAGTAAACATGTACTCTACATTTCAACAAATACAAATGTTTAAATCCATTTTACTTATGAGATCCTTTCAGCATAAATGAAAAAAACGAAAAGTTCTACCACTTCATACTTTCCATCACTTTAAGCTTTGACACAATTTTGTTAAAATTTATTTCCTTTTTGGGGGGTATCGCTTCAAGAAGTGTTAAGGTTCGGTGTATGTACTCACCCTGTTTGAGATGTCAAACCCCACAGCAGTCTCACTCTCAGTAACGTGGCTGAGGGTCTCGGTGTCGTCACTCATCGTCCGGGTCTCTGAGATGTTTCTGGCTCGCCAGGAGACAGACATCTCCTCACTCAGAACCTCCAGGTTGGATTTGTGCCGGACATGGTGGCTGGCTGTAACGGCATCGGTGCCTTCCTGCTCTCCAGAGATCTGGACTTCGGGCAAGGAGGAGTCCGAGAAGTGAGGATGAGGCCGGGAGGTGGACTTCTGTGGCAAGTGGTCCGCGGACTTCGGAGCTGCCACTGATGCTGGATGAGCGGATGGGAGGAGTGTTGACGTCTCACCTGCATGATCCTCTTCTTCATCTTTGATGCTGTCTCTTCTTTGCGCCTCATTTCCCGATCTTGGCTCAGCCTGCTTGACAGCACCATCTTGTGCCAATCCACTAAAAGTTGCATCTTGGGAAGCCTTGGCTTTTGAATCAGGCTTGTCACATTGCACGTTTGTCTCGGCTAGCGATGGAGAGATGGATGGCGCATGCTGGGATGATGAAAGTAGCTGCGATGTCTCGGTCACATGCTCCTCATCGTCGCCTTCAGCATCCACCAAGACCTTCACAGACTTGGCGTCTTCTCTTCTCGCCTCCTTCCCTCTAGAGCCTACCCTGTCTCTACAATTCCCTTGAAGTTTCCCGTCAGCGGAGGCATTGCTCAAGCTTCTCTTCGCATCTTGGTCCTGTCCGTGCCACAGCACCTTGAGATTGGGAACATCTGCGTGAATCTCCTTCGGGTGGTCTGCCGAGAAGGAAGCCGCGACATCGACGCTCCTCCTAGAGGGGTTGCTCTTGAGGGAGGAGGACTGGTCTGAGTGCTGGCGGGAGACGCCGTTGTTGGATGCATTGCTGCTGGGGTCGCTCTGTAAGGAGATGTGGCAATTCCAGCCGGCTTCTAGACCCATCTTTTCAGAAAACACCTAGGAAGCAAATTCCTTCGTGGTAAGCATTAATTTCATTTGAAGCAATTTATATTTCTTAGATTAAGCCATTAAGGATGAAAAATCAGGCCACTCCAATTTTTTGATTAGTACATTTCAGCTCAATTCAGTCAGTGAGCAGTTTGCAGTGGTTTAACTCATTTTCATTTAGGTCCAGGTTGGAATTTCACCAATTAAAATGTGCTGGTTAAATTTGATCATGAGGTAGTGAGGTAGTGCTTCTTAATGTCACAACCCAAAACGTCATGAAATATTTTTTTGCTGATGACCGGTTTTCAATCTGATTTTTGCTTTTCACTTCAATTTTCCATGCACAGTTTCATGTTAGGAAGTTCCATGGGACTGAACTCCGGCATTTACTAAATGAATCAATCTAACAATTGATGTTTCAACTGATTTTATTCATTTTAATTCCTGGTTTTGAAAAATAAAGATTCCTGAAATGTTGACAGACACTCGTTTGGCACAAACCTTGAGAGAAAATACTGAAGGAATGTTCTCTTTAAGAGGTGGAAGGAACCCCTAAAATCACATTCCCGGGAATACCACAAATTCAGGTAGGGACTGCAAACCTAATCCAGGCGTTGGCATAGATGGGATTCGAACCAAGTACGCAGATATTAAAAATGCCAAAGTTTCACCTCAACCCCCCTAAATCAGTCAATCAGTCAGTCATTACTCACCCTGCTCCTGAGCTCTTGGTCTCTAGAGAAGTGCACAAAGCGGATGCAGGCGTGGTCCAGGTTCTCAATCAGGGCCACGATGTCTGACTTAGCCTGGTAGTTCATGGTGACCATGCCGATGAAGATCTGACCGCACTGAGCTCTATGGAAACCAAAAACAGAGAGAGAAATACAGGCTAAGCGATACAAACAGCAAGCTGATGCCACAGGCTGGATCAAGTACGGAATTAGGTACAGACTTTTATAATAAAAACAGTCAGACAATACCTTGCAACAAACACTTTTACTGTACTTTTCAAGTCAGTCTGTAAAAAGGTCAATATAAAAGCAATGGGCAATTCTAATGTCACAGAAAGAACATTTGAACTCTTTTTTATGGGGATGTCAGCAATAAATGTGAATTTGCAGTGAAACCATGTGAAAGTACAAAATAGCTTTTGTTGGTGTGTCTGAGTGTTTCCGAGGACAAAAGTTTTTTTGGACAATAGCTCGTCCTCAGGAGAGTCCCCGTAATATTACCTGAAGCAGTCGCCAGCATCTCTGATATCATCCATCTTATCCATGGCTGAGTCCAGGCTGTGGTATTTCCTCCCTCTACCCTCCCCCTCCTCCCCCTTGTTGCTGTGCTGGTGGGCCGTCGTCATGTCTACATCCCAAGAGGATCTATGACAGCAAAATAAAAATTGACAGTCCATATTCTTCGACTCTAGATCTCGATGAGAGGTGTTTTCAAAAAGAAGTAATGTTGTTCTACTCCAATATTGGTTTCAGCCTCTAACTGATGTGATTATTATGAGCACTGCCTATCCAGTGTTGTACAAAAGCCTGAGGGGAAAAAAATTCACACTTTTGCTCGGGTTGGACTTGAACCCACTACCTCCTGCTAACTAATACGAAAGTCTTAACGAGTCAACCACTGATAGTAAGCTGGCCTGTCCAAGCCTCCTGTACCAGCAGGAGCATTTAAGTGCTATTCTCCTGACATGGTACTCATGGTACTTTCTAAACAGTTTGAATACAATGAAATTTAAGTACACTTGATATTACAGTTACTCATTTATTTATTTTTTATTTAATTCTAATTTTAACTGGGTAACCCATTCAGTGGAATCCACTGGTCTCCCATGGGGCCCAGTGGAAAGAAGTCAACGTGAAAAAAAAATAATACTTTTTTGGAAGTGGGAGGAAAACCCCAGGAGAATGGTCTGAGGAAAACCCATGGAAACAGGTAGGGACAGAAAATCCAATCCACATAATGGCCCAGGCAGGAATCGAACCCGGGTCACAGCGGTGGAAGGCAAGGAAAGTACCGCTACGCCAACCTGACTCAATACTTTGATAAACAAAAACCCAACAGTAGGGGCCAGTTCACACTTGGTACAATCTTTGGTGTTACCATGGTTACAGCAGGTAGCACTGCTGTGAAATCGCAAAAGTTGCAGACATTTAAAAAAAAAAAAAGGCATATTTTGATTGTTCTACAAAGTCAAAACTACTTTGTATTTGCATTTCCAGCTTTGTTTTACGAAAATAATAACAATGTTGTGCTTATATAACGCTTTACACCAAGGGCCTCAAAGTCCTTCACAATTATTACCCTTCCTCATCTGGCCATGAGACAATTTTCTGCAGCAGCTCGAGATCAGCACAAGATGGTATCTACCTTCACAGTTACCTACTCCTGGGCCAAGAGTGGCAATTGTAGTAAAGTGTCTTTCCCAAGAACACAAACACCATGTCCCCCGTCAGGGTTCAAACCACGGCACCACGGCACGAGTCAAACACCGTAACCACAGGACCATGGTACTCCACATCGCCTGACATATGTTTCCCCCAACTTGGAAATTCTAATCACAACTCACCTCGCAATCCCAAAATTTTCCAAATCGGACGGCAGCCTGCCCATTTTTCCTCCAGCGGGCAGCTCGATGTAGAGATCATCAAAGTACTTGGCCATGGAGTCTACCATGGGCTGATAGGCAAAGGCACAGCAATAAGAGGAAAGGGTGGCGCGCTGGTAGAAATCAAGAATCTTCTTCCTAAACAAATGATTAAAAATAAAAGAAAAATTTCAGACGAAAGTGGTAAAGTGTCTTGTTACACACTCAACCAACCGGTTCTTTTCAGAACCACTCTTCGTCCAAGAAGAGATTTCTTTCCAATGGTGTTACCTGAAAATTTCCTCTATATTTTATCTCATCCGCTATGCAAAGCTTCAAGTCATATATACAAAAGTGATAACTGAGTTGCCCCAACTTTAATTTTGTTTTTGCTAGGAACCTCTCCCAACCAAAAACTGTGCAGTAAAAGTAAAGATACTCTTTGCAAGGCCTGTGTAAAGTAATATATTGGGTGGCAAGGGGTGGCATGGGGCAACATGGGTTGCGTGTGCATTAAGTGCTCGCCTCTCACCACTGTGGGCCTGGTTCGTTCCCAGCTAAGACCATGTTAGTAGAATTGCGCGTTTATTGTCTCCTGTGCCACGAGGTTTTTTTCTCCGGGCCCTCTGGTTTTCCTCCCAACGGAAAAATCAAACACATTCAATCTCTGGCTGCGCTCTGTGGTCAAATATGGGTTTTATGGCTGGCTACCAAAGTCGCCTTTACATGCCTGCGGCTGGACCACGTTGTAGCAATTCAGCTTCTCAGCTGCGAGTAAGGATGATTAGCCTCCCAAATTATTAGTATCATTATTATAATTATTATTGAAAAATATGAAACAGGCATGCAACTGAGAATTTAGAAAAAAACAAGGAAACTCCAAACCACACAAGACTTTGTACAGTGTTTTTCAATTTGTAATGGCAGTCACAAGAAGTAAAAACGAGGAAATCCGCGGATCCGAGGAAAAGTTGCATGCCTGATGAAAAGAAGGAATGACCCCTGACCTGTCATTGTCATCCATAGGGCAAAGGTCAGAGCCATCCCAGAAGTCAGTGCACAGGCTGAGTACCAGCTCAGCTGTTCCCTCAGTTAACAACTGGTTGTTGCCTAAACACATTAAAAAAAATTGAAGTGTCAAGTTAGTTTGGTCATTTATCTCCTACAGTCAAGGTGTTGGTTTTGGAGCACAAATTTAGAAGAACAAAAATACCTTAAATATTTACCAAAAAATAAGGATTAAAAGTATCTAAGAAAATAATCAAGTACTATACATAAGATGAGAATGAATATGAACAATACATACAGAAATTTCTTGTGGGTGGTAAGATGATGGGTTTAAGAAGAACAAAAGGGAAAATACTGAATGCTTTTATTGAATCATTTTTACTTGAATTACTTGTCCGGAAGAGAACCAGTTCATACTGATCAGAAACTCAAGCATTTACTGACTGCGTGTTATCCCCCCCGGTTCTGCCACCCCTGCTTGGAACTTATAAACTTAGAATTTAGAAATTTAAATTAGAATTAAGAATTGAGAGCTTAAGTGTAATTTGACTTAAACTTACTTTTGTGATCTAGAATTGAGATTGATGTCGCAAGCCAAAATATTGTAAAGTCTTTGTGAAAGAACAAGTTTTGGAACAAGTTTGGGAACAAGTAAAAATCAGGATCGAGGATTCAAGTTTGCTTCAAGATAAAGTGTACTCGTTGCACACTGCTCAATAGTCTCACTCAACTTACGGAGTCATGATAAATGCCAAAAACTTTAAAGTCTGCCAATTTCAAGCTTCCTTACCTCCTCTGGAATCCTTCATGAGGACAGACATGATGTGTGGGATCGGGGTACGTTTCTTGATGAAGGAACGCGTCTTGTGGATGTGACGATTGTGGCTCTCATCGGCATCTATATGCTGGGGCGAAGACGCAGCCACAAAGAAATGTAAAGACAGTCATGAACATATCTCATCAAAACACTGCAAAAAACTGAATTAGAACTTTGACAAATTAATTATAATTACTATTTACATATCATAGACATTTGAGCTTATAAACTAATCTCCGGTTGATTTTTATAACACATTTTATGTGTTATGATAAATTTATCACATTTGGCAGGCCTGGATAAAACCACGTTTTGTTCTAATTTTATAATCAGCAGAAAAAAATTCTCCAAAAATCACAGTATATTCTATTTTATACAACACCCGAGTAAATCCCCATCATCTGATTGGCGGATCATTGATCACATGTCATTGAATTATTCATCCCAACTTAGTTGTCCAACAGTTTTTAACTTGAATAAATTGGATATTGGAAGTGAACCACCAGTTATTGCCATCTGAAAAAGTAGAACATTGATGAAGGTACCTGTTTACAAGTCAACCAATCAGATAAGAAGAATTTATTCGGGTGTTTTATATAAAACAAATATATCACATTCGTGCAATGGAAAGAATAATTTCACTTACCATTGCACTCACAAACATTCATTATTTGTATAATATAAAAGGGCTCAAACAAGTCAACAGCTATATATTTTAAATGACATTTTGGTAGTATCCTGTTTCTGCCAGGCATGTTTTTTTCGGTGCTGAGTAAAGTTGTGTGCTTACTACTATAAGATTGGCGTGTTTTATTATGCCTCTATGGCAAAGAATCTCTTTATAACCAGTATGCTTACCACTGGTTGATACAGAGCTAGTTGCTGCTCCATCTCATACATCTGTGTGGCTTGCTCTGTGAAGCCAATCAGGTAAGCTAGCTGGCACATACATCTGTAGAGGAAACAAGAAAACCAATTCCAACCACTTTGGTAATATCTTATTGTACTTAAAAAAAGTATTACTGCATTTAAAAGGTATTACTGGCGATTGTAAAGTTACGGGCCCTGTTCCTATAAGAGAACAAAAATCAACGTTCAGGTTATTGGACTCACCGAAACTAGTTTATAGCGACATTTAACACCAACAAGAGTGACATCGATAGAGGGCAGGATTTTGAATTTTTTAGGGAACTTTTGAGGTAAAATGAAGACAATGACTTGCAACACAAAAATAAAGATGGCGATCACCACGACGCACCATATATGCACAATGCATCAACTGTAAATATGTATCATAAAATTGTATTTTCTTTAGAAAGATACTGTCTCGACTTTTCAAAATGAAAAATAAATAGTGTCATTAAAATTAAGAGAAGTCTGGTTTAGGTTGCAGAAGTCATTTTGGAATGATAAAAACAGTCTTCACTTTAACTTGACCAAACCTAAAGAGGGATCCGTAACCACACAATCGCCATATTACTGACTGTACCACACTTGTACAATTGTAAAACACATTCTTAAATTTAAAGGGAATGTACAACATTTGCTTTTGCTGCAATTTTCAGAAATATATGGATTTGGAGGATAAGTATGTTATAGCAAATATTGTTAAACTGACTTGTTTCACGTTTTGGGCTCGTAGATGCTGGAAAAACCAAGAAAACCAATCATGTTCTTGTAGTCTGGTTCCCTGACCCCACTTAAGATGAAACGGAGCAATTTGTAGACTTTGGGGAACTGTAAGGTCAGAGAGTCAGTCTGGCAGGCTTATACCTCTTCACAGGTGTGTAATCAATTACAAAGAAAATACGGAATAAAATATATAAAAATTTAGGAGCAGTTGGCTGACCAGCATTGGAAAAAATACAATCTTTCTTGAAAATGTCAGCACACCAGGAGCCACGATTTTACAGGATGCTTTAGACTGTCATTCCCTAACAATCCAGTTAGGTATTTCGTGATAATTTGATCGTTTCGTTTCTTGATGTTTGCAAATGTTGTATCTTTCCTTTAAAGTGTGTTTGCATTTTGCGCATTAGAAAAAGCCTATTAGTCAAATGTACATTGATTGCATGCATAATAACAGCCAAGCATGAGTGTTGTGCCACCTCAGAATTGCCTACTAATTGTGGCCGTCAGATTAATGTGTTCTCATACCTCCTGTGTGCCACCCATGCTGGTTGCGTCGTGTCCTCCGAGTTGACAATGCTGTGTACGTGATCAAACAGGTGACCGTATCTCTCCACTGTGTCTGGATTGCATGTGTTCAGCAGAATGTTCAAACCCTGCAAGACAATCCACGCATGCTGACGTGAGACTTTACTTCAGACAAAACCAACACAGAGACAAACATGTGGAGACGGCGGTGTCAGACTGTCAAACTTAACAACATTACAAGATTTTTGCTAGGATGTAACCTCATTCCTGCAAAATCCTCCAACTGCCTCAATGTAAAAAAATAGTATACAGCCTCAATCCTCCAAAATGGCCTGTTATTTCTTGATTGAGGTCCTTGGAGGGCGACCACTGCAAAATCCTCCAGCAATCACCGTCAATATGTTGATGCAGAGCCAGTGATATCCTGGAGCAGTGTGGAGGATTTCAAGCATAATATAGGCCTAGATTTGTGCATGGCTGAGCATAAACAACACTAGATCCGGCCCAAGACCTTGACACACTGCATCATTCGAAATCAGCCACACACTTTTGCCATATAGCCTCAATCCTGCAAAATCCTCCATTTTGCAAAAATGTTGGAGTACAGTCATTGTATTTGGGAAGATGAGAGTTAAACAAAATCACTTTGACAACAATGCTCCAAGATCTTTAGAATCCCTCAAGGAAGTTTGACTCAGCCTTTAAATACTTGATATGGCTGATGCCCCCCTCGATATTCAAGTTCAAATAATGTGAAATTTGTCATAATGCGTCACTATCAGCCGAGCTGATGAAAAAACCTCTCTTCATTATCACATGCAGAACGTAGAATGTGGAATATTTCCAAATTGTGCTTTAGGCATTGGCGGCATTACGTCATAATCAGCCGAGTTGATGAAAAAACATCTTTTCATTATCACATGCAGTTTCATCGGTTGCTATATGTTACCATTCAGCACTCCAGATTTAAGAACCATTGAGTTTCACGAACATATCTCTGGGAGCTAGATAAGCCAATGTCAAATATTCATGGACATCTGCGCCCATCCGCGCCCACCTATATTAACACATCCCTTTGCTTACCATTGGCTTGAGAGAGTTGATGTGTCTCTCCCAACTGGTTTCGTCAAACTGCAAGCTCGTTGGGTTTTGCTATCAAAAACAAAAACAAAATTGTAATTCAAGACAACCAATTGCACTACATTGACAAACCATTAAAAAAAAATTTCTCATGAATGTAGTTCTTAAATATTGAACTTCAGGATTGACCTTCAGGATTGGAATTCAGTCTCTCTTGGTGGTAAAATGTTACAAAGTAAGGATTTGTGAGGTTTTACAAATAATTACACCACTTCTACTTGGATTGAACAGTTACTTGCAGGACCTTTTTTATTATCACCAAAGTGTACACTTACTGTGGAGTCCAATGACAGCGTCAAAACCTCAGTGTGGTATTCAGGAAAGTAGTCTGGAAATGACAGTCACAATATTTTAAAATAAATTTCAATTTCACTTTCCCCAACATCAACAGATTCATTAATATTAACATATATTCATTCGCTTCCAGCTTCCAGCTTCTCTGTGGCAGTGCATGTGTATTTTTGAGGATCCTTGGTTTCTCTACCAAAATGAACTTAAACTGGATAAATTACTTGTGATGGACTTGCATTGGAATTGCGAGGGCTTGTGAGGACTTGTGATGAACTTGTATTGGGTTTGAGAGGGCTCGCGAGGACTTGTGCTGGACTTGCCATGGAATTGCACTGGACTTATGAGGACTTGTGATTGCATTGGAATCGTGAGGACTAGTGAGGAACTTGCATTTGACTTGCGACGGCTTGTGAGGACTTATGATGGATTTGTGAGGACTTGTGAGGGTTTTTGCGTCTTGTGATGAACTTGCATTTGACTTGCGACGGCTTGTGATGGCTTGTGAGGACTTGTGATGGGTGTGTGAGGGCTTGTGAGGACTTGTGATGAAGTTGCATTTGACTTGCGACGGCTTGTGAGGGCTTGTGAGGACTTCTGATAGATTTTTGAGGACTTGGAAGGGCTTGTGAGGACTTGTGATGTACTTGCATTTGACTTGCGACGGCTTGTGAGGACTTGTGATGGATTTGTGAGGACTTGTGAGGACTTGTGATGAACTTGCATTTGACTTGCGATGGCTTGTGAGGGCTTGTGAGGACTTGTGATGGATTTGTGAGGACTTGTGAGGACTTGTGAGGTCTTGTGATGTACTTGCGTTGTACATGCATTGGAATTGTGAGAGCTTGTGAGAACTTGAGATAGACTTGATAACTACACTGAATTGCACCTTCATTGTCCAGATTCTTCTCCTGCGACGCTATGGTCACACCCTTCTTCCCGCAGTGCCCGTCGTTAATCACCTGCTCCTGAGAGTTGGTGAAGACATCCGAGTCGCTGTCGCTGTCCGAGGAGGTCTTGTCATCACTGAGGTTGCTCATGAAGAAGACCTTCTCAATGGTGGGGTCCGCGTAGGACAGGATGCCACGCTTGTCCACACAGCACAGGGACTGGAGAAGAAAAACACAGTACCAAATATCAGAACACAAAATACTGCATGTGGAATTTCATTTATTCAATTTAATTCTGGATGGTTGGATCTCAACAACCAGTTTCAAAAAGTTACATTCGTTTGAGATGGAAACGATCAATCTTTGCCAAGTCTTTGCATCAGTGCATGAACAGTAAACAGCACTTTTGTTGCCACTAACAACAGTTCCTAGGCAGGACACCTGCTCAAAGGACACACAAACAATTTTTATCTGTGACTAAGCCCAAAGTGTCTTCACATAAGAGACTAGCGTGGAAACTAAAAGTTTGTCCAACTCTCTATTTGGGACAAGTACAAAAAATAAACCAGTTTCTCATTCCCGCCCGCTTCCTTTTAAAAAAAAATTATTTATGCATTTGCAATATATTTTGCAATTTTTTTTGTCAATATATGTGATGCGTTCAAGCTAAATGAGTCGTTTGTCGACCCTGGTCAATTTTTTTTTTTACAGATTTGAAAAGAGCACAATCTCAGCATTACTGCTGTGAAAACTGCATGCTGGTACCATCTTAAGTTAAATAATTATGGAAGTCGGAACGTCCAGAAATGTGATGAAGTGGTGGGATGAAGTGGTCCTCTTTTGGCCTGAATCTTCAAATGAAAATTCCTGACAAATGAAATCATTTTGTCTGATCGCATCACATATTGTCTTTTTTAATTTGTTTCCAACAAAACTTTAGCTACAGTACGTAGAAAGGGTTATAGCTCCTTTGGACACAATTTTGTATCGGCAAAAGAGTCGAGAAAATCCATCCGTCGTCTTTTAGAAAATACGCCATCTTGAAAAAAAAAAGGCGCTGACCTACTTCATTTTTTAAGAAAGCCAGACGAGAAACTTTTTTTTTGCTCGGCCTTGTCACCGATGAGGAGTTATTGTGCATAGAGTCCAATGCCTTCGAACGCCTCGTACCTAATCACCTTATTTCTAATAATGTTACCAAAATTTGCCAGTTTCCCGGGGCAAAGCAAGAAAGGATACAATAAAATTTTGAAACCAATATCCAAATAAAGTTGGTTAAAAAACTTTATGATTTGTTTTATTTGCATTTCTTATTTATTTATGTTTTTGAAAAGAGTATTTGAAGACTTACAGTCATAGTACCGAGGCCGTAAAGCAGACTTGCTGAACGGGGAAGGTGGCTGGATGGACCTAAGAACGCCGACACAAAATGCTCAAGGAGCTCACGCAAAGACAGCTGCTCATCCTACAGAAGTTGAGGGAAAGAACGAAAAACCAAGTTTTGTTTCTATAAATGTTGAGACAGTCCCAGTGAAATGTAACTAAAGGAGGGGGGGGGGGGGTTTAAGGGGGCACTTGCCCCCCTCTGGAAAAGCAAAAAAAAAAAAAAGGAGAAAAAAAAGAAAGAAAAATCGCCCAAAGCCAATGATGAAACAACGAATTGGAAAATGTGATTACAATCCAGTTCCTGGATAGTATTTTGTGCATTCTAAAACCATGAGGTAGGAGTCTGTGACACGTTGAATGTTTGTACATGACAAGCAGCTGCGGTACCATACTGTAGTCGCAAAGTGACATGAACATAAATTTTGCACTGTAAGTCATTGCAAATACTTTTCGGAAAGTTTTGCTTTTATTTTTGGGACTCGAGTCTCATTAGCCTTTGCTCGAGCCTTTGAACTACAGAACATCTCCAAGATTAGGTGCTCTAGTCAATGGCTCAAAATTATAAAGAGTTTTGCCTTTGATACTTGTTATAAATTTTGAGCTACTTGCTACCGCAGCTATAAGTACAAATTCATACTGTGTGCCCTTACCTTGACTTCAGCTTTATCACCAATTTTGTCATCAGGAAACTCTGTCAATTCAGCCTGAAGGAGCAAAAAGGATCAGGATTAAAAGAAATAATTAGTCCAGTGACGGCTTATAAAGAGATGTCACTAAAATTAAGAGTTTTTCTTCTCCTAGTGGGCATTTCCAGCGTTATGAAAGGAAGGGTAATGTCCCCGACAGAGCCAATTAACCAGGATATCTAAGTAATGATTCAGAGAAATGATCCAAAACTCCTAGTCTGTAATCTCCTTGACCATTACTAGATGATGGATGTATGAGATTTTGAAAAACACATTTTCAGGTTTATTCACTGAGCTCTTAAAAGTTCTGTCACAGACATTACATAACGCTAGAATTGCCCTACTAGAACAAAAATGTAAGGCCCTCCTAAAAGCTGTACCACTCTTAAGGCACAAGCAGTTGCATTCGGTTTTTTTTTAATTTCTTAGGGTAAGTTTGCAACATTTTGAGTAAACAATTAATACCACCGTTTTTAAGATCAACAAACCTGTTCATGTTTGGATTTGTGGAAGAGGGTGACGATCCTGGCATTGCCATAGCTTGTCAGTAGGATCCAGAGAATGGGGACGGTTAACGGCAGCAGAGGGAGTATCGTATTGATCTGGAAATAAAAAAAAATAATCCAGAATCAGAATAAAGATTAATCATCAACGTGCCCAAGTGGATCTACAAAATATTTCTTTAAAAATCTGACAGGACTTTAGTAAACTTTCCCCCATGTAAAAAAAAACTCTTAGCATAACTTTTGTTAAAAATTTGTTTAAGGACTATTTACAGAACCTTAAAATGGTGGTTGTGTTTAAAATTCCATAACTTGAAAAGTACAGGAGTGATTTGAATAAATCTTGTACTAAAAGAAAGCTTATGAATTGGGCTTTCATATCCTGGATTTTGAAAGTGCTATAAGAAGAACTTCCCTAAAACAATGGTCCCAATATTTGGGTTTCGGGGTTTTTTTTACTCACCCTGTACAAATAATTCAAGTAATATATGGTTTACTGAAGAGAAATGGACAGATGGAGAATAGACAGATAGATTGACGGATGTTAAGGGACAACAAAAGGGTCCCACTGGTTTATATTCTGCTTTGTTGCAAACCTAACAAAAACACGCACAAATTCTGCAATCTGCAATTATACACTTACGGGTAAACTGATGAGCATTTCAGTCCAGTGGCCGACATCGTCTCTGACCAACACAAAGCGTAGGATGTTGGCAAGCAATGATACACCCTGCATAAAAAAGATTTATATAAAAACAAAAGTGTCATACATGTAGTTGCAATTTCATCATAGACGTGACTTGAAGCTTTGATTGGTGAACTGTATACAGATATGGTTTGAGGGTGGATAGTCGATATTAGCTCCCCAGGTATTGGAAGTTGACAAACTAGTTCCCGAGGCAAAAATCTCGTAATAAACCACGATATACATGTTTTATTATACCTCATACATATCCACCCAAATTTTGTCGAGTTACGCATCAGTTATCTCAGCAAAACATGGCTGCGCCAATCTCTTCATGTAGTTAGGATTATGTTAGCAGGTGCGCACTACCCCCCTGTGCTAAATCTAGAAATACCAGAGACAACTGCAATAAATATCCATTTACCAATGCAAAAGGTAGTATCCATCTCTCGGCAATGCCAATACACACGGTCCGTTTGACTTCAAGCAGTGGGTACGGCTTACCGTTGTCCCTCTGCAGACAGGCCCTATAGTAAAAATGAAACCAACTTTTACAAAATATTCTTGTTTTCTGTTGAGGAGGCATAGGCTGAGGTGGTATGGTCACTTGGAGAAGAAGGAAGATGCCAGCTGGGACAAGAGGTGTACCAACATAGTCGTGGGAGGGCCCACACCCGTCGGCCGTCTGCGGAAGATGTGGCAGGGTTCCGTTTCTGATGACATGCGTCTGCTTGAAGTCAATGCGAGGGACGCGACGGACAGGGCCAAGTGGAGAGGAGCCATAGAAAGAAAACAGGCCAACCCAGAACAGACTGGACATGCTGGACAACGGCCTCAAAACCGACGATGATGATGATTTCGCCCTTGAAATCATTTTACAGTGCTAACAATAATTACAGAAGATGAATGGCGGCCAAACAATGACCATGATTTTGAAAATGAACATAATTACATCCATGACAAAGCTTGCCCATGAAAGTCCTTGACAGGGACTATGGCTAACCAAGATGGCCACAGCAACACTTCCCACATTCATGACCACTGCTCCTAGTAAGTGGCCATGACTATGACTATGACTAGGACCAAATGATCATCACTGTGAATTTTTCGGGACCATGACCACAATACAGCCTGTCTCCAAAAAAATGGTACAATCAGAAAAAAAATTGGTTAAATATGAAATTTCAAAATAAGTCATTCTTACTTGGCATAATATTAAAGAACAAAGACTGGGCTTTCCAATAGTGTTTGTTTGGTCTTACTTGCTTTTGTCAATTCAGAGATATAATCAATTTAGTGCGATACACCAATATCGATTTTGTGCCACTTTTATGCATGGGCAGAGTTGTTTCGAGTACTGTGCCATGCTGTCTTGAAGCTTACAAAAGATTGCAACTTGGCAAAAGAAACAAACTCGATTTTTGTGTTCCACAGTAAACTTGAGTTATCTCTGGATTGACAAAAGCAAATGAGATGAAACAAAAAGTATTGGAAAGCCTGGTCTTTTTTCTTTAATGTGATGCTCAAAACGACTTACTTATGTTGAGATTTAATATTGAAAAAAAATCGTTTTCGATTGTACCATTTTTTTTTAGACAGGCTGTAGTAACAACTGTCAAGACCATGGTCCTGATCCCAGTGACACAACTTTTCTACCAAAAGTCGCACTGCATCATATTACATGTCCATTACAATGAACCCAAGGCATTCAAAATGACAAAGGCCATAAGCTCGATAAGACGGTGATAATGTCAATGACCACAATGACGATGGCAATGACAAGAATGACAAATGACAAATATGAGGAACAGAAATAAACCTCTCACCTGAGATGCGGTATGTACAGTGTTTCCATCACGATGAACTTGACCGGCTTGAGCGGCTGGCGTGCCGTGGGGACACCGCAGGCGTCAAAGGCTCTCTGCTGGAATTTCTGGCCCTTCTGTAGCTCTATGCTGTGATCCTGAGGGGACGTAAAACAAAGTAAAGATCCTAATGAATCAAAATGTTCCGTGATGGCACTGGTTTTTTTTTTTTGCCACAAGGTGAGTGATGTGAGTGCTCACACTGTGGCAGCAATGAAATATCGTTTAAAGCTATAGTCCATCATTTGCAGCCATCCGAAAAGTAACTGGCGTAATTATTGTTGAAAAACAAACTTGGTTGAAAGATAGTAAGGGAACTAAACTCCCTGTGAAATTATTCTTTCTTGGAAGCTGTCATTTTGAAGTAATCAACGAAAGAAGGCCTTTCCAACGGTGTGTCTTAAGATGCACCGTAGGAAAATTTAAATTAGTAGTTCGTTTTGTTATTCGGCAAAGCGTGCGCAAGCATTGGCACGACGCACACGCGTGCACGGTTGCTATAATTTGTCGGATCAGTGCGCGACATCGCGTATAGCTGCAATTCAAGACAATTCAAAACACGATTCAATAACTTTTGATTTGAAATTGAGATCCTAGAATGCTGTTTTTCTCGGAATATACAGCTGAAGCTTAGCTGAAACTTCATCAGGTTAGTTGTTCAGTAGCCTTCATTAGATTTTGAACACTTTTGTTGCTTCAAACGAACAAAATGCACAAATTACAAATGATGGACTATATCTTTAAAAACAGTCACATGATTGATTTTGACTGCTGTGATGTGATAGTGTAGCTGAAGTTTTGTCAGCCAGGGAAGAAGGGCCAGTAATGATGCAAGTCTGAAACTGTTTATGGACGGTTTCTTACATCATAATTGCAAACCATGGTGGGCGAGGCCTGGCCGGGCTTCAAGAGAATGACGTCATCCTTGACCAGCAAGGCAGTGGGCAGACTGACCAGGTGACCGTCGCGGTACGTCCACTGCTCTGTGATGGACTGGGTGCTGGGTTGAAACAGTGAGGAGTAGACGTCTGTCGGCCAGTGGATTTCGCTCGCTATCAGTTCTTGGAAACATAAGAAGTTGAGATTTTGCAAGAATTGTTGGCTGAGATAGTAGGAATTTTTTTTTTTTTTTTAATAAATCAAGTTTTTTTTAAGTCACTTGGTGAATTCATCCTTAAGGCTTTACAAGAGGATCACTTTTTCAATTTGCACATATCTAGACAATTCAAGCTAATTGTTTATTGTTTAGCAAGTTTAGAAATAACAATAAGCAACATTTTGAATATAAGTACTGTAATTCAACTAAAACAAGACAATGAATAACAAAACAAAACTATACCACTTTACAGTGTGGGCCAAATGATAAATTATGCATAAACGCAACAAAAAGTCATCAATAAGCCATTTGCGAGTAACCTATACCCTTTGGGATTTACAATTGAAAAACATCTGGTACACTGACTTGCTCAAAATGCTTAGCACATATTTTAACTTTGAATTCTCCAGACCAAAGACACTGTTGCTAATCACATGATTCGGGGCAAGCTCTTGCATAGTTACGTAAGAGACGCTCAGCACCAATACATTGTTCACAATGGATGAGAATGGCACAAAGACACCAGACCATGCCGGAGCTGGGGGTTGCTAGCTTAAGGCTTGCCCCGAATCACATGATATAGTAACAGTCTCTTTGGTCGGGAGAATGCAAAGTTAAAACGTGCAAAGCATTGGATAGAGTCAGCGTTCCAGATTTTATTCAAATTTAACTCGCAAACGTCTTATTGATAGCTTAGACTGAAGCAAAATAACTGTGAAAATAAATAAAAAGTACAGATAGATGTGGGGAGTGTGTGGCCTAGTGGTTAGGGTTCGTGACTCATGATCAGAGGGTCCGGGGTTCGAATCCAGCCGCTGGTCATATATTGTGTCCTTGGGCAAGCCACTTAACCCCCACTTGCCCCTTTCCACCCAGGAGTATAAATGGGTACCGGCATTAGCTGGGGAGTAACCTGCGATGGACTAGCATCCCATCCAGGGGGAGTAGAAATATTCTCAGTCGTTTCATGCTACTGAAACCGGAGATAAACGCCGGCCTGATGAGCCACATTGGCTCGGGACAGACTTTACTTTTACAGATAGATGTACTAGTATAGTACAAGGACACTACTTAGACTTTTGCAGGTTACTGAATAAATTAAACATTGCAAGAATAATAAAATTATTATAAGAATCTACTACCTCTCAGTTTGGTCAGTACATCCTTGGTGTGGTTCACAATCTCCATTCTCCTCAGCTGACCGTCCCACCGCGCCGTGAAGACATTGACGACCACGAGAAACGCCAGGACAGCCGACTCCAATATCAGGGACCTGTCTTCGGAGAACGCCGTGGCCACTATCCTCAGGACAACTGCCGCGATCATCAGGAGGGCGCTGGTCCAGTGTAGGACGGTATCGGTGGACGGGGCCCAGGTGGTGGGACAAGCAAGGGTCCGCTTGCGATGTCGGAGGGCGCCCTCGTGGGACTTCAGCTCGTCCTCGATGACGCCGCTGAGGTGCTGCAGGGCCACACTGGTGCACAGACCCACCGGTTCCACCAGGTTGATCTGCAGAAATATAGTGAATGGCAAAATTCACTGTTTTTTTAATTGAGTAATGAGACCCAAAGTTAACTTGCAATATGTCCCCATTAACTGCAGGGATTAAAATACCCACTGGACCACTGGACTGAGTTGAGAGATTAAAATGCAGTTCCAGTGCTTTCGGGAGTCAGGTTGGAGTTGCATTTTTTGTCTCGCCTTTCACTGTGACCAGGGTTCGATTCGTCCCCTGGCCACATGTGGCCATGGATTGGGTTTTCAGTCTCTACCTGATTCCGAGGGTTTTCCCCAGAATGTTTTTTGGGGGGTTTTCCTCTGAAACAGTAATTTCTTCTCATTGTCTTCTTTCAATAGGTTTCTTCAGGCTTGCAAGCTACAGTGCTTTTGAGGAATCCTTGGTTTTATTGCCAGAAATTAATAAATAATAATAACAATAAACCGGTATAATTATGCAATGTAACCAGGGATCACACCTGAAGTCAAAATGCTAGCAACATTTAAATGGCAATGCCACAAAAAACATAAACATAACACATTTAAATTACCCCCCCCCCCCCCAACCCCCTCTGCTGGGTGACCCTAATTGATCCCCCCTCTCGCCTATGTACCCCCTTTAAGCCTATCTGCGCCCCTAACAATTGCAGGTATCTAGGTAGACACACTCACCCTGTGCTCCATGGTGAAGACTGCCAAGAAAACGCTGCCTCTTGTCCTAATCAGTTTTCTTGATCTCAATCCTCTGTAGGAACATCATCATTTGGACCTAAACATAGTAATTACTTATCTAATCAATGGCAACATTTTTCAATCATGAATGCAACGTGGGAGTGCCGATCTTTCCTTAGCTCAAAAGCCAGGCAAATTACCATCTTTATAAACATCTTCTACTGCCGATGTCCAAGATGTTTATAAAGATGGTAATTTGCCTGGCTTTTGAGCTAAGGAAGGATCAGGCATTCTGAGAATGTCCTTATCAATGGGGAAGAATGTACTACAAACAGATGTTTTGCATTCTAACTGTGCATAAAATAATGATCATGTATCACAAACAATACAACTCAGCTGGAGGGAAGAATGAGTAAATTATCATAATTACGACTCATTGTTAAATTTTTTTTTGATGTGACCATGCAGTGATTGAAAATGAACTAATTTTTTGTGCAGATGTCCATGCCTTTCAAATGTGTGGATTTTTTATTTTTTTTTTAGTTGATAATTTTTTGAGCACAATTGAGTCAATAACATTTCCTTATACCCGATGACACTGTTGCTATGGTAATGGTGCAGTTTTGGACCCTGTTCCATACATCAAAGAATGAAAAGACACTTTATATTTTGGAACTTAACAAAATAGTTTGGGCTGTCGAGCGCAACTTATCAACTTACCGCCTTTTTTAACATTTGGACATGGTCTGGCGATATCACCAGACCATGACCGAATGTTCAAAAAGGCGATAAGTTGGTTCCAAGTTACTCGGACTAACAAGTAACATACAAGAAGTAACATACGGACATCATCGCAGGAAAAAAAGATGGATTTTGTTTTTGGAGGGGGAGGGGGACTATTTTGACGTTGGTGGCGCCACTTACACCCCCATTATACTACTCGAAAACAGGCCACATACATCACCAAGGTCAAATCGTGGGACTAAAAAAACCAATTACAGCCCCCCCCCCCCCTCTCCCCAAGGCGCCCCCCCCCCCCCCCCCCCTTTGCCTGAAAATGGGTGCCGCCACTGGGCATAGAGCAAGGAACAGTAGGCCTACGTTTGGGCTTTTTTGTATAAGAGTTTTTTTAAGAAACTATCAGAATAAAATTATTGAATGAAAACATCGCGAATTTTACCTTTACCGTCTGAAACCGTGCTAAGAAAGAAGTCAATGACGAAAAGTACCCAAATAAGTCATCTACCGCCCTCTGTTGGCTGCTATGAAACACATAAACTTGTTTCCAGTCCTTCGACTTTCGATATCAGTGATAATGTCCAGGGGAAAAAAGTTATTAAAAACAAAAACAAAGAAGAAAAAGAAACAAAGTGGAATGAAATATAAAAGGCCTTTTTTTCGGAGCAACGTTACCTTGGAAATTATTATACGTTTGATTTCAGCTTTGAGATAAATGGCTCTTAATATTTTTCTGTCGAGTTAAAAGAATAATAATAATTACAGTTCGAGCCTATTTGTTTTCTATAGTTTCCAAGATGTCGGCCGGTAAGCAAAGAGGAGTCGCTAAAGGTGGAATGTGGAACACGCAAACTCCGCAATACAGTAATGAAACTCAGCAATTGTTAAAAGGTTTGTATCTTAAGGTTCTCATGCATGTGTGTGTCTACTTACAGGGTAAACCGTGGATAAATGTGGAAGATAATGGAAAGACAATGTTGTTGTTATGACGACCTTTTTATCGTACAGTGACACTGACAGTGTGATCACTCAGTGGTGTCGGTCATACTAAACAGCGTCAACACAGCGTCAACACACTCCAAAGCGTCAACACAGCGTCAACACAGCGTCAACACATCCAAAATCCATTAAAATTGACAAAAGCAGTATGTAACCCATACAGTATGGACAGAAACAAGATTTGTGCTTAAAATCAATAGGTTAAACGTCTGAAAATCGCGATTTTTAGTTCAAGAAAATTGGCTCTCCGTGCCGCTCCGAAATCGGCTGCCGAACACCCGCCATGTTGCCTCAGTGGCAGCGCGGACCATACCATTATTCTAAAGGGTGATAGCGTTGTACAATAAACCAACAGAGAGGGACGCGGCCGGGGTCGCCAGTGTTAAAAATACGCAGTGGCTATTGTTACGGCAGCCGTAACGCATTTCCCATTTTCTATCGTTACGGTAGACTGCAACCTGGCAACTTTTATAAAAAAACATGACAAGAAAATATAAAATTAGAAGGAAAAAAGTGAATTTGAACTTTATGAAATTCGGACTTTATTTCCCTTTTAAAAAAAATCCTCCAAAGCCTCAGGTTAGAAAAGGAAAAAAATTCGAGTGCAAAACTGAGATTCGAACCCGCAACCTCGCGGTGCAAAATCCTACCCTCTATCGGCTGAGCTGGCGCACTGCTCGATAAAACGTGGGGAAACAAATAATTATATACCCGCGTGCGTATCAAAAAAATATCGTAGAGGGCGCTAAACAACGAGTGCCGTAACGATAGCCACTTCGTTAAAAATATCCTATTTGGGGTAATACCAAAAGATGTCATTAATTCAAGATATCAAGATTTCAATAAAGTAAAACCAAAACATAAACACAACTCACAAAGTAATGATCTACCACTCCTCCGATCCTTAGTCCTCACACAGATCTGGTATCCCTCTGTCTAGTCTGCAGCAAGGCGCCCTCTGTTGTTTATGACAAGATAATGTCATTACCTACACACCCCTACTTGAAATGGTGTAGTCCAAGCTTTGTGCGAAGTCAAGATGGTGGACAACGGCCGTGCAAGTTAAGGTCATTTTTTTTCGCGTGAAAATACGATATTTTTAACAACGAAATGGAAACTCAATCCAATGGAAATTCTCTTTTATTGTATGTTTCACAATTATATGCCCTTTTTGTCAATTCAGAATGTGTTTTGGATGTGTTGACGGTGTGTTGATGCTTCTGTCATGTGTTGACGCTGTGTTGACGCTGTGTTGACGCTGTTTAGTGCGACCCGTCATGTTAGCTGGAGTTACCCAGCCCTGAGTTTTATCATTGGGTTGTCATCTAGGGCTGGAGCGCATTTTTCTCAAAACTTGTAGTATTTGCAAAAAAAATTTGGAAAATGTTCAATTTTGTCCCCGTTACACACTAATTGCAACTGCAACTCACCCCAAACTTGCCTGGAATAACCATTACACAGGTCCTTGAAGTAAAAAACGATCCACGATGAAGATTCAGCCTACAATTGCAGTGAAAACAGGAGGAATAACCGCTAATTTGACAACCTTGCTGGATTGGCCAGGACCGCTATTGGTTTGTGCACAAAAAAAATTGTGTACAATGAATGGCGGTCGATTAACAGGCACAGAGAGCGATCGCTGTCAACTACTCGTTTTTGCCGGCTGCGCTGGCTGTTGGCGCATGACGTCACGCGGAAGCGTAACACCCGATGACTGTTTCATGCACTAGTATAAGGTTTACCACTCGCATCACAGCTTTGGTACTGGAACCGCAACCAATAGTGCATGAAACAGTCATCGGGTGTTAAGCTTCCGCGTGACGTCATGCGCCAACAGCCAGCGCAGCCGGCAAAACGAGTAGTTGACAGCGATCGCTCTCTGTGCCTGTTAATCGACCGCCATTCATTGTACACAATTTTTTTTGTGCACAAACCAATAGCGGTCCTGGCCAATCCAGCAAGGTTGTCAAGTTAGCGGTTATTCCTCCTGTTTTCCTGTTTTCACTGCAATTGTAGGCTGAATCTTCATCGTGGATCGTTTTTTACTTCAAGGACCTGTGTAATGGTTATTCCAGGCAAGTTTGGGGTGAGTTGCAGTTGCAATTAGTGTGTAACGGGGACAAAATTGAACATTTTCCAAATTTTTTTTGCAAATACTACAAGTTTTGAGAAAAATGCGCTCCAGCCCTAGATGACAACCCAATGATAAAACTCAGGGCTGGGTAACTCCAGCTACAGTCATGTCAAAATTATCTCGTTTCGCCTCTGTACCGCGACCTATAAAATGCTACATGTAGTCTGGCACGCGGTATTACCGCGACAGTAATAACTCGTGCACGCATGTTCCATGTTGCTGTGTTGTGTGGAGCGGGATCGGCCACTAATAAATTATAATTTAAATATTCGAAGTGGCTATTGTTACGGCAGCCGTTGTTTAGCGCCCTCTACGATACTTTTTTGATACGCACGCAGGTATATAATTATTTGTTTCGCCACGATTTAGCGAGCAGTGCGACAGCTCAGTCGATAGAGGGTGGGATTTTGCACCGCGAGGTTGCGGGTTCGCATCTCAGTTTTGCACTCGAATTTTTTTCCTTTTCTAACCTGAGGCTTTGGAGGATTTTTTCTAAAAGGGAAATAAAGTCCGAATTTCATAACGTTCTAATTCACTTTTTTCCTTCTAATTTTATATTTTCTTTTCATGTTTTTATAAAAGTTGCAGTACTACCATAACGATCGATAGAAAATGGGAAATGCGTTACGGCTGCCGTAACGATAGCCACTGCGTTAAATTTTTTGCATGCAATTGTGTCTGCCAAAATTGAAACAAATTCATTTATTTCATATTTAAACAAATGTGTATTCAGTAGCAATGTTGGATGGCAAATTAAAGTTTGTTTATCAAACTAGAAACTAAAGTTCTGCACATAAACTTATCCTTTATTAAACAAACATCGATCGGCATTGTTTTCAGAAGTAGGACACAATGGAGACTCCGTAGAACGACATTTTCCATTCATGCGCGAATTATCATGTATCATAAATTAAGGCTTCTCTGTCTAATAATTTAAAGCGAATCAATAAAAATTGAGCATCGCTATTTCTGAACTACAGTCGTTTTCCTAGTTCCGGATCACAAACATAATTAAGTCTGCTCTCGACTAAGTGGGGGAGATACTACAAAATTGTAGTATCTTCCCCACTGTACGAAAACGACTGTACTCTTCTTCTTTCATTCCAGAAGTACGCAAGGTGTGAAATTTTTTTAAATATTGTCTTTTTGTTTTCCTTTTTTGTTGTTGTTTAGTTATGATGCAGGAATCTAAGTTGAATGCTTTCCAGCAGAGGCAGCTGAAGGATGCGCTGAAAGGTGAGGCCACCATTTGAGAAAAAAAAAAAAATCACCCCCACAGCGTTTTTTGGCCCTATCTCAATTTCAACCTCTGCCCAGAAGCGTCTGCTTTTGACAGAACAGGTCACATATGTGACATAATAATCAGGAGTGTGACCAAATGTCTCGATGTTAAAGTGAAGGTTTTGCACCTTAAAAAGAGAGAGAGGACACACCACTAATGTTGCAGATTTGCATCTAGTGCCACTTTAATGCCATGAAACTTCCAAGGATTCCTTATTACTGTATAACAAAACCAACCTTTGAAATAATAGCAATAATAATAGCAGGCATTTATATAGCGCTTTTACGTCGCAACGGGGTATCAAAGCGCTTTACAATTATTATTTTCCCTGTTTCCACAAGCAAACACTCCTGAAACCTTCTCAACTCCCTGGGGAGCATACATGGCCGGTCCATTTCAGCACTCTTGGCCGTAATCAACCTGTAACCATCTCTGCCCTCGTAGGTACCACATCTACTCCTGGGTAGAGAGAAGCAATGAGTGACAAAGTGCCTTGCGCAAGGGCACACACACACCATAACCCCGGGCTGGACTCGAACCCTCAACCTGCAGAATTACCTGCAGACCACAAATTCATTGCTCTAGACCACTAGGCCACGGCACTCCAAACATGCCTCCATGTATTTTCATTTTTATATACCTAGCTTAACTTCAGTCCTGTATGTAAATTGTGTTTTCAGGAGGAGGTGCTCTACCAATGAGGTGTCATCCATCTACGAGTTCCAGGCCGTCCGCCCCTTCCCCACCCAAATCCCAGAGTGTCCGAGTTGACCCTAGGGGTCACAGCAGTGGGCTGAGAAAGAAAGAGGACATCGAAGACTCCGGTGCCTACGAGAGACCTCAGTACAGACCCAGCCCACAGAGTGAGTTCTAAACTAAACATTTTTTTGGCATAGTGGGGTTTTCTCCATCGTAAGCGATCCTAAGATACTCCAAGACAAACTTATACAATTTACAGAAATTACAAATTTGTGAGATCTGGGCCAGATTTTAATGTCTTGCTCAGCATATGATATTCTATCAAAGGCACATGGGAACATTTCAAATTATTGGAAACGTACATGTGCCTCCTGATTTAACAAGAAAATCCTTGCTCAAAGTGAAGATAGAACTGGTACCAAGTACCCTGTCAAGTTATTACACCTGAAATGGTATTTTTCAGAATAAAACCATCATTGAAGGTGTACACACAGTGCAAGCACAGTTTTTGTTACGTGCGTTAGCAATAGAATCCAGTTAGGAGACCCCCAAAAATTGTGCATACGTCTTCTCTCTTTCTCAAAATGTATCGTATCCTCTGAACTGAAACTTCAGCAAGTTAGTTGTTATGCACCCTTCTTAACCAGTTGAGGCCGGGTTTATTGTGACGAGAACGGACCGAGGCACGGGTTTAATATTCACTCGACTGCAATGCCAGACGGGTCCTTGGGCTGCAGAGTAATATTTCCGGCCTCGGTCTCTGGCTGTGGCTCGCTGACAGATATTTTCCGAGCCTCACTCGTTGCTGGTTTTTCAGTCATCCGATCTGACTTATAGGAAAACGTTTGCGTGTGTACACGTCCTCTGGCGCGAACTGTAAGTTAGTTTTCAGTAAGTTAGTTGTTTCAAACCAGAAAAAAAAATGCACAAAAAAGCAAATGATCATATGTACCTTTAACAGAACGTTTGTCAATTTCACGAAGACGGAAAGTTGTCAACACAGCAAAGTTGCATTGTTTTCTGAAGCAAAAATTATTGAAAGATATGATGCAAAATAGGAATGGGGAATAAATCTCCATAAATTTGCAAGCATAAGCACACATAGGCCATGCCATGTGCTGAGGATGAGCACATTTTTTAATTGTAGCTATTAACAGATCGTGCAAGTTACCATTAAGGATCTTTTCAAATTCCTGCACCATTTTCTTTCTTCACAGAATCACTGGAAAAGGAGAAGAATAAGTTACAGAACATCATGACGTACGGGGAGGACAAACCACCAATCTCAGAAAAGAGAAGGAAAGAACTACTCAGGGTGCCGACCCCGGAACCAGAACCAGACAGATTTGCAGAATGTAAGAAATAAGGACTGCCTTTGCTTTTACCTAAATTTATGCTTCTGTGATCACGATTCATGCTGTTTTTCATTAATTTCCCCAATGGTAAAGTGAATTGAAAGTCATCAATGAACCACAATTGTAAGCTCATTCAGTTCACTCTTAGTCACAATTCAGAAGTTCAACCCAATTCTGAAAATAACTTGAATTTCATTAAAAGAAATGTTGTTTGTGTGTCAGAGGGCACAACCTTAATTTAACCCTCCTATGCAAACATACATTATGTGCCAAGTTGTCCTTTCAGTCAAAATCAATCAAGGACTGTTTTCAACAGTTAAAAGCTCCCAGCCTACATATTAAAGCAGGATTGACTGGCTGTGACTGTTTATATAACTTGACACAGCTATGCTTTGACTGTAGGTGATTGATAAGACAGCTGTGTCAACAGTTTCCTGCTTTTGTCTGTTGACTGAAATTGACCAGTCACAGTGCTTGCATGAAATATGATCTGACTGTTGGTGACTAGCCTGTGTAAAAGGTGTGGCAGAGGAAGTGGATGGAATTTGTCTGTGACTGTTTTAATAAACAGTAGGAGGTTTAATAGAAATAAAAGAAAAATAGAAATTTAAAAAAAAATAAAAGGCTAAATGTTTCGATCCTGGTAGAACCTTTGTCAAAAGACAAAAAGTAAGGTTAGTTATTGGCTTATTTGTTCATTCACAAAATTTGGAGTAATCAGCAGATTAGACATATAAATTGAAAGTTGCATAATGGCATTGATGTAGAAGGTGTACTTTCTTTGTCCAAATCTACAGTGGAAAATGAGATCAGGGAGCGGGCCGAATTTCTAGAAGACATGAACCGACTCGGCAAAGGCAAAGAATTCCAACCCATCATAGCTACGGAAGTATCACAGGTCAGTATGAGAATCTAAAAGCTAGCTAGATGTTTCATTACTTGTGGGTAGTTGAGTGATTCAGCAGTGTTAAATGTTTACAGCAAATGTGACGATCAGTCTTCTAGATCTAAGTTAAGTTACTCACAAGCCAATCACAAGGCAATCACAAGCCAATCACAAGGTAAATAACACTGCAATTATACCAGGCAGTCATAAGGTAATCACAAGTCAATCACAAGCCAATCACAAGGCAATCACAGGGCAATCACAAGTCAATCACAAGTCATCATAAGGCAATCACAATTCAGAATTTGCAACAGCAGTACAGGGGTTGAACTTCAGTCTTCACAAGTCCATCACAAATCATCCGTTCAGGTGAAGCAACTTAGTCATTCCTTTGTTACCTTTCATCCCTTGTGGATGAAGACTTGCGATTGGACTTTGTAAAGGTTTCCAGCCCATCCATTGCCCCTATGATTTCTATTCTAAAACTTGAGCTCAAAAAATATCTTTCTTACAGACATGACCTCAGTGTGAAGTGGTAAAAATGATGAATCTGAAAATTGTTTGTTCAAAATCGGCTTTGGCCCTGATAACATTGGACTAAGAATGTAAAGCTTCGTTTTGAATATATGAGCTGCATTTGGCAATTTGGCAATTTTGCCAAAGACACAATTAACAATTGTTGACTGCTGTGATATGGGATATGATGTTTTTAACACCTGACGGGCGCATAGCACCCGAAGCGAAGCCGAGGGTGCTATGGTGCTATTCTACAGCATATCCCACTACACAGCAGTCAACAATTGTTTTGTTATATCGTGCCAATAACTCAAAAAGATAAATACCTGTAACTTACTGCCTGAGAAATAAATTAAATCACTGCAATGTAACCTTTGATAACTGAAGGTTTTGGTGTCCTACCGGACATGAGACTGAGCGTGTGACGTTGCAGTTCTTATTTCGCAAAGCTAGCGCACCGGCAGGTTCCACACGTCAGCACAATTTGAAGGAGTTGCCAATCACAATCAATTTCTTCTCGTAAATAAGTTTTTTGGTTTTTTTTTCATTCAGAAATTGCGTGAAATGGAAGTCATCGACAAGAAACGGACGGCTCAACTCCAGCAAGCTATCCAAGCTAAGGAACGGCAAACAGCAAATCCTCAGCCCACAGAGGGAGGGGATGGTAACTGATGGAACAGCAGGAATTATGTACATAATAACGGATCATATTGTACATATACATTATGTACTATATTTTTAAGTTACATTTTTAAATTTTGGGAGTTCAAAGATTCCATGCCCATTCAATAAATAAAAAAATAAATAAGTAGGAATTCCATGTGATTTGCCCATTACATCCTTTGGGTAAGCATTGCAGAATGTACACTTTTCTAATCATGTCAAGACTAAAATAGCCAGTTAACCACTTTACGCTGGGACTATTTTTGCCAAAAATATCATTTTTTGCAAAAGGCAAAAGTTTCTAGCCATCTTTTGATATACAGCCAAACACCACAAACACTGATTCGCAAGTGTCATTTCAACAGTATTTGTACGATATTTCTTGCTGAAACATCATATGTTACAATACTCCTGGGGTATGCACTGGAGTGTAAATTGTACAATAGACCGTGCACAACGGCCAATTCAAGATCAACACACTGTCCGCCTCCACAGAATTTGTGTGTGTGTACAAAAGGCACGAGGGATTAGCGTGTATAGACGTCACCCGGAGGCAAGTCGAGGCAATCTTGACGTCTTAACCCGTCAACCGTGCCTACGTGTTATCATGTCCTCCGACGCGAACTGGTTAGAAGCTTTTGATGGGAGATAAATTAACAATGTCTTGTTGATTATAAATTGATCTGTTCTCTCTTAGTCCTTTTTGTTTGGGGTGGGGGAGTGGGAAAATGTTTTAATAAAAATAAGGTAGTGGTCCTCACTTTCTTAAAACAGGAACAAAAGTATCCCAATGCAGTCACACCACTGATTTTTCTAGTACACAATTTTATTTTGTTATTTGACATATAAAATAAAATAAAAGAACGGTTCATGATTTGCCACCATTAACCAACCAAAAGATTGGATATATTGATGAAAAGATATGCACCTTGTTGCATGTCTATAGACTTTTGTGCAGTTCTGTTCCAGAATGCCGTCCACGCATATTCTTGTACAGTGATGTTAATTTATTCTGGTTTTAGTTCCATATTGTATTTTTATTTCAATCAAATTCCAATTTTTGTAATGTGCTTAGCTCGAGTGTGTATTTATAAATGAATGTTACTAATTAATGAGAAATAAAGCCATTTCTTAGACAGAATACACATACTTGATTCCTGACTGCGTGATGTGAACCCTACCCCCCCCCCCCCCCCCACAGCCCCCCCTTCCCCCCTTGAGTGATTTACTAGAAAATTCCACTTGCAAAATCCATTACCATATGGTAAACTCAACACCCAAACTGTTGGACTCTGATTATGGTGGTATGCCTGACCCCATGTAAAGCGTAATCAGTTTACTAGTGCAGTACTCACTCCAACAGAATCAAACAAAACATGCAGTTGGATTTTGAAGGGTTGGGGATGGTTGGGGTTAACCCAGCAGGGATATCCTCCTATATTACAATGCATTAAAAAAACCTACTTGATTATTTCAAAAGTTTTATTTCTGTGCCCCTAACTGCCCTTCCTGTTTCTCCCTGTACCACCCAATTGCCCCAGATTTGTTGGTTTGATTCATCAGAAAATAAATACAATGTAATACAATGTAGTGCAGGTGGTAACTGGTTAAATCCACAGGCATGCAACTGGGAATTTAGAAAATACAAGGAAATTCCAAACCACACAAGACTTTGTACAGTGTTTCTCAATTTGTAATTGAAAGTAAAAAGAAGTAAAAGAGAAGTAAAAAAAACGAGGAAATCAGCGGATCCAAGGAAAAGTTGCATGCCTGAATCCAACTCCCAGACTCTATCCAAAACCATCATATTGTCTTCATCCATCCTACTGCAGTAACCGATTGGCACGTTATATTTGGAAAACTTGGTACATCAAGCTCATCAGTGTTAAAAAAATGTATCCATCAAAAAAATGCAAAACCCACTCACCAGAGCTCCCACGTGTCTGGGGTTGTTCTAAAATCCCCTGGACCCCCACGACCCCCTCAACCCACAACCCCCTCGACTTACGTTCAAGCCCCTCAAAACACAGTCCCTCGACCAGATCAAGCCATGGAATGTATCATTCGCACTTGCCCCCTTTTCACAACATCTTACCAAAACGAAAAATGTTCGATCTTGAAAATGAAGCATCTGGTCGAGGGAATGTTTAGAGGGGCTTGAACGTAAGTTGAGGGGGTCGTGGATCGAGGGGGTCGGGGGTCAAGGGGTTTAAGAACAACCTTGTGTCTGGGTCGTGCCCAGTACAGAATACCTTTATCATCATGTCTTAACTACTCCCTAGGGTGATTTACTGGGAACCGTCCTCATCCTTGCAAATTCCAACACCATATGGTGAACTGTGCACATAAACAGTTGGACTCTGTTTAGTTGTGCTATGCCTAATCCCACGTAAAGCACAGGCAGTTTACTAGTGCAGTACCAACAAACCCTGGTATTGGAGTCTGGCTGGTTGGGGATCACTAGGATTACAAACCATCATTTCCTAAAAGTCCTTCTGAGATCCAGTTGCAGGATCTGTCACGTAAGAGTGTCAACGGGTGTCAAAAAAAGTTCCTCTCTATCCCAAATATCTTATCTCCGCTTTCCGCTGTGCCCTCCTCGCCTGTTACCCCTCTGCTTTTTCCCCCGATGACCGAGTCGTTTGACCCCCCTGCTTTCTGTCTCCTTGTGACTACCCTTGTGACCACCCTTGTGTCTGGCTGATGAGGAGCCCCCTCTGTGCCCTGTTCTGCTTCTGTTGAGTTTGCTCTGTAGCTTTTGCAGTTTGGAGCTGCAAGACAAAAATAGTGGCAATAACATTTTGTGGAAATTGTGGTTATATTGAATTATGTCTTTCTGTCTACTGAAATGACTGAGAAACTTCCTGTTCTGATTACAAATTAAATGGAACTCTCTCAGATACATGTATATTCTGAACAACAGTCAGTTGCAATATTTGCATGATTAAAGGTAGAGTATATCATTTGCAGATATTTTCAATTATTGTTGAAAAGCATACTTGATTTAAAGATAGAAATGGCACTAAACTCCCTGTGAAATTATTCTTTCTGGCATGCTGTCATTTGAAGAAAACAAAAAGAAAGTCATTTGCAAAGATGCATCTAAAGTTAAGATGCATTTTTGGAAATTCCCGTTAGTAGTTTTTTTAAAATTCAGCAAAGCAGTGAATGAATGCGCGCAAGCGTTGACACGAGGCACATGCGCGCGCAGTTGCTATAATTTGTCAGTTCAGTGCGCGACATCGGATAGCTGCAATCGGCTAAAAGAGAACGTGTTCCGGACGCTGATTTTGGGCGCAATTCAAAACATGACTCAGCAACTTTTGAATTGAAATCAAGATCCTAGAATATTGTTTTCTCAGAATATACAGCATTCACTGAGCTAAAATTTCATCAGGTTAGTTGTTAAAAGCACCCTTCTCTAGATTTTGAGCACTTTTGTTGCTTCAAACGAAAAAAATTCACAAATGACAAATGATATACTCTACCTTTAAATACAGAGAGAGTTGTAAATAATTCGGTCACAAGTCAAATCACAAGTCCAGTCACAAGTAACAGTGGATAAACAATGGCACATAAATCTGTCACAATCATTTGTATAGCTGGTCACTTGACTTGTTACTGGATGACTTATGATTGACTTATGATTGACTTGTCTAAAGTACAAATACATCATTATTCACCCTATTAAACTAAAATAAGGTGGATGATAAAATACACTTTTCAAAAATAATTGTTTTAGACAGGGGAACAAATTCTAACAGACAATTTGTGTTGGTAAAAAAACATCAAATTGCTTGATCATAATTACTTTAAAGGGTCCATGAAATGAATTTTTTTCTGAGGATTTTTGTGACTTAAATACATTTAAAACAGCTTTCTTGCCATGTAACTATGACTTGCCACCTCCTTTGCAGCAGTAAAAGGGAGAAATTTCAACATTTTAGTTTTTATGCTAATGAAAGTTTCCATATTCATGAGCCAAAGCGTGATGTCATTCAAGGCAGAACAGCAATGTCTCCATAGCTTTGTGTACAAATATATATTAAACTTTTCTTCATTTTCTCGGAGTAAGTTCCACTTTTTACTTGTTTATCATGTTAAACAGCTTGTTTGGACGACAGTAGATGCCAATATTTCTTCAAAACTTTCTTTTGTGGGTAATTTTGAAGAACTAATTTTTGTACTGTTCATATGCACTTTTGACAAGGAGTTCCTTGTGTGACAAAAGCCAAATAGCGCCCTCTTAATGGTATTGATGAAAGGATTTGCTAATCATTGAAAAACTACGATTTTTTTGTCACTTCCAATGCAAACAAGTATTAAGATCTTGTATGTATTGTTGCAACACATAGTAATGTGCATGAAAACAAGGTGAGCTGAATTTCCACTGCATGTTTCCTTTAAAAAACATGTTATGTGTGCATTTGTACAATTTTACCTCTTTTTGTTGCTCTGAATTTTCCTGTCTTTGGCTTTTGTCTCCTTGGGTACATCTTCGTTATTATCCTCATCACTTTCATTTTCATCGTCATCATCATCGTACTCTGCTAACCCTTTGAGTCGAGACAGTGCGTTTTCTTCGACATCATCATCTTCATATTCCACCTTCCCAAGAAAGAAATCATAAAACAGAAATCATTGGCATTTTTAATCTACAAAGTTTGCCTTCATGAGGTCTTACATTGTGCAAGCTGCCTGCTACATTCACTGATAAGGCCAAACACCACAATTAAAGAATATTGCTTGCAAATGAACAAATTCCTCTTAGACACATTATCAGTAACTTGATTACAATATCATCACTGGAAGTCAGAATGAAAAATTACTTTCCTTATTGTTAGGATTTCCATTGGCTTTCATAAATAGAATGATAGAGAATTACAACTTTCTAAAAAAAAATGGGAAAATAGAGTCTTCTGTTCTGGATCCAAGATTCTGAATTTACTGTCTGATGGGACATTGTTTTGACTATTGATAAATCAACACGAACTTCACAAAGTGGTAAGTGGTAGGTTTTTTAACGATTAATCATTCAGACAACAGCTGGTCCAGTCAAAGTTTATAACCAAGTTAGGTTTTTAAATTGGGATTAATTTTATTTTACTGTTTCTTGTTCTATTGTTAAGCGCTTTGAGGAATCTTTGATTATATTGCGCTATATAAATGCTGTTTTATTATTATTATTATTATTAAGTTTCCACATGTAACTATGTCCCCATCAGCGGTATAAATACGAAAATAACTTAACCCACAAGGTGTATTTCTGTAAGGACAAGTAAAAAAATAAACCAGCTTCTCATCACCACCCGCTTCCTTTTTTCCCAGCCGCCTCCTTTTTCTTTTCTTTTTTTAAATTCATACACTTGACTTGCAATATATTTTGCACATATATTGTCTTTTTATTGGTTTTCTGCAAAATTGTACCTATGTAGAAAGAGCGACAGCCCCTTTGGACACAATTTGTATCACCAAAATAATCTAGACAATAAGCCATTTGCGAATTAAATTCGAGTAACATCTGGTACCCTGACTTGCTCGAATGCTTGGCACATTTTTACTTCGAATTCTCCAGACAAAAAAGACTGTTGCTATATCACGTGATTCGGGGCAAGCCTTAAGCTAGCAACCCCCAGCTCCGGCATGGTCTGGTGTCTTTGTGCCATTCTTACCCATTGTGAACAATGTATTGATGCTGAGCGTCTCTTACGTAACTATGCAAGAGCTTGCCCCGAATCATGTGATTAGCAACAGTGTGTTTGGTCTGGAGAATTCAAAGTTAAAATGTGCCAAGCTCTCTGAGTAAGTCAGCGTACCAGATGTTATTCAAATTTAACTCGCAATGGGTATAGGTTATTCGCAAACTGCTTATTGAAGAATCCATACACCATCTTGGACAAAAGAGAGGGAAAAAGAAAGAAAAACAAGAGCGCCAGCCTCCTCCATTTAAAAAAAAAGGATGGATGAGAAATTAGTTTATTATTTTACTCGGCTTTATTAATGTGAACATCATATGGTTTGGGCAAAATTAGTTAAAAACAGTACAGCGCACCGATACTGGAATTTGTATCCTTGCGGAGTCATTTCTTTGTTCTCGTGTACTAAAATTTTAGAGTTTGAAAGTGTAGTTGCAAAATGCTGCTATTTTAACCAGAATTAATTTCCTAGGCTGAAATTCGGACTTAATATCCCTTACATAAAATACTTCAATTTGCAACGGGTCAACACACCTTTAAAATACCTACTTTTTGTGTAAAATCCATATCTATTTCGTGATAACCTTGCGGAGACTTGTTCACCTATAGAAATTGCCCTGTGGAGACGTATACAATCTTCTGTTCCCTATTATGCACATGTCTCCACAGGGTACCGTGTACCAGATCACTGTGTCACATGCATGCCCAAACCAGTGTAACACTAGAGTATGAGTACTTCACTAGCTCCCATTGTGTAGTCCACACAAACCAAACAACAGTTCTTTAACCCTCCTATGCAAACATACATTCTGTACCAAGTTGTCCTTGCAGTCAAAATCAATCAAGTGACTGTTTTCGACCCTTAAGAATTCCCAGCCCACATAAAGCAGGAATGACTGACTGCCTTGGACTGATTAAGTAACTTGATTAATGATACAGCTATGCTTTGACTCCGGGTGAGTGATAAAACTGCTGTGACCACAACTTGCCTGCTTTATCTGTTGACCCAGTTTGACTAGACACAGTGCTTGCTTGACATACCAGTATGATCTGACTACTGGTGACTAGCCTTTGTTAAAAGTATAGCAGGGGAAGTGGAAGTGAATTTTGACTGTACATGACAGGTTAACAGGTTCTAAGAGGGTGCATAACCCACCTTGTTCTCCCCGATGCCCCCGTGGGCAGCCAGCAGATCCAAGGCTTCTACTGTAACTCCCCCGACTGATTCCACAGTGACTGTGTGTTCTGCATGGTCAAAGACTATGGGCTTGCTATCTTTCACTTCTGTAACTTCATCTGAAATTGACACAAAAAAAAAAATTAAAACATGAAACAATGACATCAGCAGCATTGTAACGAGTCACTGATTTCTGTGACTCGAGTCGAGTCATTTTAAAGAAGGCGGCGTTCGAATCCAAGACTTTGTTCAGAAATCGCCAAAAGCCAATGATGAAACAATGAATTGGAAAATGTGTTTGAAATTCGGTTCCTGGATAGTATTTTGTGCGTTCAAGAACCATGAGGTGGGAGTCTGTGACACGGTGTATGTTTGTACACGACAAGCGGCTGCTGTACCATACTGTATTGGCAAAGTGACTTGAATATAAATTTTGCACGGCAAGTCATTGCAAATATTTTTCGCAAAGTTTTGCTTTTATTTTTAGGACTCGAGTCTTATTAGCCTTCGCTCGAGTCGAGTCGAGTCTTCTGATGAGGGACTCGAGTCGAGTCGAGTCATTTGCTCGCAGTGACTTGAGTCGAGTCATCAAAAATTTTGACTCTAGTCGAGTCATTGACTTGAGTCATTACAACTCTGGACACCAGCAAAGGGAAAGTTGCGGGAGACCACCAGGAGAAACATCTGAATGCAGTGCCGACAACGCAACACTCCCATGCACCAGACTGGGACCTCGAGTGCAGAAAAATGTGGAAAACAAATTTGGGCCAACTTTGCTCACTCTTTAGCGAACAAACTTCTCCAAACTTTCCATGAGGCAAAGACCAGGTCCTCAGTGTTTCACCAGCCAAGTTTGAGGCCTCATTCAATTTTAAAGGAGACTTTTCTTCAATATTTTGCACCTGAGAGTGAAGCCAAGTGATTTGAGTTTGAAGCCTAAGACTAGACTGGTACGTGTCCAACTGCTTGAAAAGACTGACCTCTTCAGTAGTCTGGAGGTAGACTATGGAGAGATGTATAGAAGCAGAGACCGGTACCAGATGTTTCTTTTGACAGTGATGCTGTACTAAAAGGGGTGTTGGACTAGTTGTTTCATGTGCCAGTCTATTTTCTTGTATTGCATGTTTTTACTATCTTCAGTTTCGGGACTCTCATACACAGTATTGAGAGTCCAACATTTTTTGACTAACTTTGCACTATCCGCCCGTTCACAAGTACCCCCTCACCGGCAAAGAAAGTACAGTTGGGGGTGACCGACCGACGCCATCTTGCCCGACTGCAATTTTGCCGCGACGTACGGCCACCACTAGCACTGCGTGTACATACAACTGAATCCCCAGGTGTGCGAAAGTGGTCAAAAGCACCCTACTCCTGTTTGCGCCCAGAGCACATATACCCACCAGGGAAGTTCAGATCCTTCCATCCAGCCTGCCTGGCTTTCCTCGTCTCCTGCCTGATTTTCTGCTTCTCTTCCTTGTACTGCAGCTCCTGCTGCTCTCGGGCGACCCGTTTCCGTTCCTTCTTCCGCTTTTGAAAGCCGCTCAAGAAATCTCTGTGTGGCAAGGAAAATCAAATTATAGCTGTGAAGAATCACAGAATTCCGAAAGACCAGTATATAGTAAAATGTTGTGGACATATCTTTTACCTGTTTTTGGACAAATGGTAGCATTATTTTATTTCTATTCATTACAATATTATTAATTGCCAAATGTTTCTCTGCCAGCTTGTTTTTTTTTCTTCCGTGTATGGTCTCTGGGCAAGAAGTGGGAATGGCGCTGTGTGGACACATTCATAAGAGCCAGTGGATGATTTATCTTTACATGTGCACAATGCCTCTGGGAATGGCAGGGATCAAACACAGGGATCTTTTCTCAAAAATTAAAATAAAAGCAATTTTTCACTTGTTAAGTTGTTTGTGCCCCCCCCCCCCCCCCCCCAGCACAGCAGTAACCTCTCTGGATCAGCCCTTGATGGCATATATGCCATCAGTAGCACTAGCAATATTATAATGTACGCAATGATTAAATTTGACTGAAGATGTCAAGAAGGGAAAGTGGCTTTACAAGTGAATAGCCTAAATCATAACAAAATTTAACATGATACAATGAGGGCGCACTTCATGATCAGTGGTGCCTAGCCTGTGTGCTTTTTTTTTACCATTTAGTCATTCACAACAACATTTACCTCCTTTTCTCTTCATCAAACACCAAGTGCGTCTTGGTGTGCCGATTTTTCGGATGTTTTTGTCTAAACTTGTCCGTTGGCATTATAAAGTAAAAGACGAGTTTCTTAAATAACGTAAATTATAACAAACACTCGAAGACACACGTGTTCACTTCTCGTTCACCTAAACGCGTCAAAATATCTTGATTTGCAGTCAGAAAACAGACATGGCGCAAGCACAGCTTTTGTCTTGATGACCTCTTGCGAGGGTCAATAATTTAAATATTTTATGTGCGTTCCTCCGCTATATTTCCGCTTATCTCGGCAATGAGCCAATCAAACGAAAGTGTTTGGGAACGTGACTGCAATAGTAACCAATGAAATGTCATAAATGCTTAGATTAGATTAGGTGTCATTTGTGAGGTTAGGTGTCCAGTTTATTATCAGCAGTCGGACCCCTACATGGTCATAATGATGTATTTCATTTTCATTTGGGGATCCTGGGTGTCAGACTCGTCAATGACGGTGTTGTCTGAAACGGGAAATTCTTGAAATTGCCGTAAAACGGACTGATATCTCTGCATAACTATTCCACATCAGATTGATCTGAGTAAATATAGAAAGATAACCGAAGTGTGGATGCTTGTGGTCAATTACATGGTCATTTTTCCGCGTGGTTTTTATGTTTGCAGTGTGGTAAAGTGTTGATAATTTTATCGTCTGCATCTCTTTTCGCTCCATCCACTGCATGCACGTATTATCGTATACTGCACACTGACACTGTTGACAAGTTGTGCGTGCACAGTTTCTATGGGAGTTGTGTTGGTGGTGGATAAGTCCTCAGTAGGCTCGGTGCACAACAAGCATTCAACCTTCATCGAGAACCCCAACATTTACTGCTTACAATGACAACAAGGTAAAGCATTATGACATGCACAAACAATACCAACAAATCATGTAACGAAATACTTCATCATCACTTTATTTTTCCTTATCCTCGACCCTCCATTATCTGCGCAGATAACGCTTGCATATGCGCGCGCGTTGTCACACACAAATTGAAGGTAAATGCGTAGAAAAAGGACCGCGTAGCTTAAGGGGGGTCTGACGATATATTTCTTGAGCTAAGTTTAACTTTTGAGTTTTGGTGAATAGAGCCTGAAATGAAAGTTCAACCTTGGTGCCGCACTTCTGGACCCCTCTGACATGTCTAATAGTAATAGGAAAATTAACATGCAAAAAATATAAACTTGGCAATTGTTTTTGGTACACTGATTTCTTACGAAAATCATCCCCGAAAAAGGCAGGCCTTTGTAAAATTGTTACTAGCATCTCAATTTATGGAAACTGAAAAATCGCCTTTGATATGTGAAAGAGAAACATCGTGCCAAAAAAGACCTCTCACTTCCGAAAAGCATGACTAAAATACATGTGGACTAGTGGAACTTGGTGCAGTTGTGCAAAGATGAAAATGTATAAATTAATTTTGTAACGGTCATTGGTGAAAACTGAAACTTCATTAGGAGACTAAAATGTCTTTCACTTCAGGACAATTTTTTAAAATAAACTCAATGAGCATAAATTACGAAAAAAAATCTACAATGACTGCTGATATTAGACTGCATTCAAGCCAGCCTGACTAAATCTAGAAACCATCGGCTGTGGGTAGGTAAATCTTCTCGCCGCTATACATTTTCGTTCTCATGCAAGTACGCGATGTGGAAATAAAAATGAACGAACAAGGAGACCTGGGAACAAAAATGACGGATGTGAAATGTCATAAGTAAAATGCATTTCTACCCATTTCCAAGTTATTTCTTAACATTTTTTCTTGAGGAACACCAAGATAAAAACATGAATGTTTCTTGGGGTGATTCTGGTTAGAAATCATTCTGTCAAAATTATAGCTGGTGAAAAGGGCACCCCTGTGTAAAATGCCCATGGCAGGCCGAGGGTCCGGAAGCTCGTCGAGCGACCTTTCACTTTCAGGCTCTATTAGGCAGCCATTGTTACTTCGCTTATTACTACTAATAGTAATACTAAACAGCTAGAGCTCCTTTTTTCCAATTTTGTTTTTGGTCGGTCATATTACTGGGGCACTAGAACTCCTTTTTTCGAACTTTAACTCAAATGGTCAGTCTTACTTTTTGGAATTTTGTCAAAATTTGAGAAAAGGAGTTCTTGCGCCCGAGTTACTACGTCTAGCTTAAATGGAAGTCTACCACTGCGAATGTGTTACTTGTCAATCGAATGGTTTTCGGACTTTACTCTCCTTTGAAAAAAAATACTTGTACAGAGCCATGAATTAGGAAGAAAAATTAAATCTACTTAATTAAATAAGTACATGTAGGATTTGATTTTGAAAACAATAAAAGTAAGGACATTTTTTGGGGGGGAAACTGAAAACAATATCTCACTCACATTCAAACCCTGCACCTTTGACACTTAATATAATATGACTTGATTTTTCATCTCAGTTTTCATGAAGGAACAAATTTGAAGTACCTTACCCATGAAAATGTTGGAAAACCACCTTGATTTGAGTAAAAAAAATTATGACCAATTTAGTGAATGAAACAAAAATTATCAAATGTGACTTGACTAAACAGTGCAATGCTTGACTTTTAAAAAAAGTTGCAAATTATGAGTAACGATTGGCATATGTCCAAAAACAAAAATTTGGACCATGTCTTTGATTATGACATTTCTGGAATTTTGTTTTCAAATGAGCAAGACTACTCTTCTCAAATAACGGGCATATAAAAAATGTGTGGAAAGATTTCACCCCTGAGCAGGGTATCAGAGGTCTTGTTCTTTTTGTTCTCCAAAAAATTCCCGCATTAGACCCCATAAATGCATTATTAATTAAGGTGGAGTTAGAGGCAGCACCGTCGCCAACTCCGGGCAAAAGGGGGGGGGGGGCCACAGTACAAACTACATGTAGGGGGCACACCACAAGAAATAACACACTTGTAGATAATTGTCATGCTTATGGATCTTTGCCGATGGGGGGGGGGGGGGGGGGGGGGCGCCCCCTGGCCCCCCTTGGCAATGGGCAATAGTTTTGTATCACTGGGGCAAGGCCCCCCCCCAAAAAAAATAGTTCTGCTTCCGATTACATGGCATTTGAAATTGAAAATAGGGTAGGTAGGGAACCTTTTTGGGGGGGGGAGGGGGGCTATTTTGTGTGTGTATGATCATTTGGAGGTGTCTGCGTGTAGTCAACGGTAAAAGGTAGTAATTGATGATTTTCAAGTTCTTCCCTCATTTTTCCCAAAACAAATTAGAGTAGGGGCTGTCAAAATAGGGTAGATACATGTAGGGTAACCGGAAGCAGAACTATTATTTTTGTTTGGCCTAAGCATGAGTAATTTTTTGTGCATCATTAATATTGATAAATTGAAAAAAAAAGAATGCCCTTGGAGACACCCACAGGGTCTACATTTTGTAATTGATGGTGTCAATTAATTATCCAACTAAATGAAACTGAACTTTGGTGACATTATCAGAGGTTGATAACATGCATGACTTTTCCAAAAGTGACCTACTTCACTCTGTGTTTGTGTAATACAGATTGTATAAACAACTTGTACCTGCAGTGACAAGCACTAACATCATGAACACACTTCAATATGTTTGAGAGCAACTGAAATCATTTTCAGGAAAAGTCTGCCGGATGGAAATTTGAGAGAATTTTTGAATGAGTAAATTTCAAGGACTTGATTGTATGAAACAAACATTTGCATAAGAAAATGTGAATTTCATGATGAACAATTTTAGAAAAGTTTTGAAATCTTACTTATGTATGTATCCTCCTACCCAAAAAAATGTTTGACAGAGAAAAAGTAGGTTCATAAAATGTGTAGATAGGCCTATACATGTCACGTTTTGCCTATAGATGCATTGTTCCGATGTATGTTTCATGCTGGACTTTATAGGTAATATATATGACATTTGCAAAAAACAAAACTACCAAATTATTATGAAGTACATATACCTACTTGACTGTAAGTGAAAAATAGTCTCAAGCATCCTGTGAAATCATGGCGCCTGGTGTGATGTCTGTATTCCAGAAAAGTGGAATTTTTGTATCAATTTCCAATGATGGTCGGCCGACTATCATTGGGGAAAAATTACCTTTTTTTTCAAATACTGCCCCCAATTTACAAAATTTAGTTATTCCACATTTTGTTTGCAATCGGTTACACATCCGTGAATGGGTGCAAGCCAGCTGGTCTGGTTCCCTGGCCTGACAATTTCCCGACTTCTATACATTTCTCTGTTTTGTCTAAAGTAGGGTCAGGGAACCAGACTGCAAGAACAGCATTTTCAAAAATAAATTGTCCATCATCTCTGAATGCAAAACTTTAAATAGGTCAGTGTAACAACATTTTCTATAAACTACTAACCCCCAAATCCATCGATTACAGAAATTTACAACAAAAGTTAATGTTTGTCTTCCTCCATTATCTTTCAATTTGTTTTTTATTTCATCTGATATTGTCTTCAAATATTAGATCTGTATCAAAAATGTCTTTAATTTTTTAATAAAGTTTTTGCTAGCACGAACCCAGCCTACTTTATTTTGTTTTGCTTTTACACGTAGGCGAGAAAGAGAGAGATAGAGTCAAGCAAAATAACACATGTATGCAATGCAGCTCATTATCTTCTTCCCACTTACCATGTGAATTCCCTGCCTGGTGATTACGGCAAAAAAAAACACCCTAGTTGTGAATAGTCTGTGGGCGGGCTTATGACCCTGCGATTTTCTTACTGTAAAGAGTAATTTGATAGGCCATTGTTGGGGGTATACTGTGTTGTTCATTGATGAGCTCCGAAACGGAGTATGCCAGAAATTTCAAAGGAAGAAAGAAAGGCAGGAATCTGCTGAATGGAGAGCATCTCATCTTAATTTTTAATGTGAAGCTCAGATGACATAGTAATTGGTCACTGCATGTAGTGGGCGGACTTAAGAAACCCTTCTGTGGGTGACTAGCCCAAGCCCTCCCCCCCCCCACCCACCCCTTACGTGAATCAACAGAGGCCCAGGAGTGGGGAATATTCATCAATAGCAGCTACTGGCTTAACATATCAATTTACCTATTACTTATGACAGTCTTTGACCTCAAGTAATTGCTACCTACTTTTGTAGCATGCTGGTCACTGTGTAACTTGGATCTACGTGTATATTGTACGTGGGTGATGCTGTGAATAATTCATCAAACGAAACGGCAACAGAAAAACATCTCCCCCAAATGGACCATTTAGATATACTTGAAAATGTACGAGGTGTGAAACTTTGAAAAGTATAAAAGAAAGGGCCTGTGAACAGTTCTCCTTACAATGTACAATCAGCACAAGAAGTACTCAGTCATTGTACATGTTATATGCACAGACTTGCAGGACTTTGATAAAGTGCAGGCCTGAAGCGTTTGATGACATTTGGTTTTCAAATTGTCCTGTTATTCACAGCATCTGTTATTATGTCCATCTGCAGATTGGATCGTCTGTTCCTTCTGTTGGACACCGGGTCCACCCCAGTCACCCGACGGGCGGCCGCCCAGCAGCTGGGGGAGGTGCAGAGGCTCCACCCACATGAGCTCCACAACCTTCTAGCTAAGGTGAGTTCAAGTGAACATTCTTAACTCAAACTCGCTGAGGATCCTGGAAAAAAATCAACCGGATTTTGGTGGATTTTACAGGCTTTAGAACGGGAGAGTTCAGCGAGAACCATAATCAGTTAAAGGCACATCAGGATCATTTGCATTTATCCCAAAAGTACCTAGCAAATTATTATCAAAAACGTCTTTGGAATTGTAAGATCGTGAATATTGTTACTTTTATCCAAAAGCTTATTTGAAATTTTGAGATCCTATTGTTACTTGACACCCCATGAAATTACTCTGTCTGGCTTGCTGTCATTTAGAAGAAATCCTGAATTGTAGGTGATTTACAACGATCGGTGAATTGACCAATTGTTGGAAATAAAGAGTTCTATTGACGAAATCGTGTTTCGTGATCAAACATTTGAACATGGTTTTTCACTGTTTTCTCAAAAAGTGTAATATCCACTGGGTTCAGGCGGTCATCTGCGGGTAGCACACCCTGATATTTCCGGCCTCGCTTGATACGAGCAGGTCGCAGATGAATATATTTCCAGCCTTGCTCGTTCCTTGTTTATGCGTCATCCATTCCAAATACTGCAAAACCTTTGCATGTTTACACGTCATCCGACGTGAACTGGTTAAAGGACATTAAGCATAATGGTAGATATTATTTTGTTTTTCAGATTCACTTTTATTTGAGAAGTTCCACGTGGGAAACCAGAATAGCAGCTGGTCATGCCATAGAGGCTGTAGCTAAGCATGTACCTCACTGGGCACCCATCAAGAAGATCAAAGAAGGTAACTCACAGGTGTTACATAGTTGTTGTTTCAGTTTGAGAAGTCTATTGACATGATTGAGTTACAGAGTTACAGTAACAATGCTACCGATGTTACTCAGCTGAAATCGTAAGATTTTGCATAAGAAATTTAAAGTGGACTGCATGCACAAGTATACTGGCTTGCACATGTGCACATTCATAATGCAATAAGTCATACTAACCTAAATCAAACACGCGCAAATCAGTAGGCACACAGGGTTTTCCCCTACCCAGAGCTTTCAAAAGTAATCACAAAGCACCATCTGGTGTTTTTGCACCGAGTCAATAAAAAATTTTCAAACAATTATCCACTAGGTATAGGTAACGTCCAGGGTTTGCAAAATATGCATGCAAGCAAACTAACACCTCAGTAATGACTTTTATTTGTTTTTAGATTACTTCCTAGGTTTTCAGTAAAATACCTTGGTTGATCACAAGAAATGTTACAAAAGAAACCCATTATCTTAATGCCTTTCATCAGAGGGTGCGTCGGGGACCGCAACACCACGTATCGCCACACCTACCCACCAGCGGGAGGCTGACCAGCTGAGGTTTGACAAGTTTGACGTGGGTCGGGTCCTGAGGCACGGCTCCTCCCTGCTAGGCTCAGCAGGAACTGAGTATGAGGTGGAGGTTGAGGACCCAGGTGAGTTTGGAAGGAGTGAGGTTTTCTTGAGAGAGCAGATGAAATTGGAATGAGTGATGTTTCCTTAAGGAATCAGGTGAGGTTGGAAGGAGTGAGGTTTTCTTGAGAGAGCAGATGAAGTTGGAATGAGTGATGTTTCTGTAAGAAAACAGGTGAGGTTGGAAGGAGTGAGGTTTTCTTGAGAGAGCAGATGAAGTTGGAATGAGTGATGTTTCCTTATGGAAGCAGGTGAGGTTGGAAGGAGTGAGATTTTCTTGAGAGAGCAGATGAGGATGCAATGAGTGATTTTTCCTTAAGGAAGCAGGTGAGGTTGGAAGGAGTGAGGTTTTCCTGAGAGAGCAGATGAGGTTGCAATGAGTGATTTTTCCTTAAGGAAGCAGGTGAGGTTGGAAGGAGTGAGGTTTTCTTGAGAGAGCAGATGAGGTTGCAATGAGTGATGTTTCCATAAGGAAGCAGGTGAGGTTGGAAGGAGTGAGTTTTTTTTTGAGAGAGCAGATGAGGTTGCAATGAGTGATGTTTCCGTAAGGAAGCAGGTGAGGTTGGAAGGAGTGAGGTTTTCTTGAGAGAGCAGATGAAGTTGGAATGAGTGATGTTTCCGTAAGAAAACAGGTGAGGTTGGAAGGAGTGAGGTTTTCTTGAGAGAGCAGATGAAGTTGGAATGAGTGATTTTTCCTTAAGGAAGCAGGTGAGGTTGGAAGGAGTGAGGTTTTCTTGAGAGAGCAGATGAGGTTGCAATGAGTGATTTTTCCATAAGGAGGCAGGTGATCATGACGAGTGAGGTTTCCTTGAGGAAGCAGATGAGGTTTAGAAAAGTGACGTTCCCTTAGGCAGAAGGTGAGGCTGAAGGAGTGAGTTTTCATTGAGGAAGCAGGTGAGATTGAAGGAGTGAGGTTTACTTGAGGAACAGGTGAGGTTGTCTTGAGGTAGCATGTGAAGTTGAAAGGAGTGAGGTTTCTTTGAGGAAGCAAGTGAGGTTGGGGGATGAAGTATTCTGAAAAAGCAGTTGAGGTTAGGAGGAGTGAGGATTTAGTAAATTATGTATACATGAGTAGGGCCAATGCTTTTCTATATTATCAGAGTCTTACCTTAATTTTACTTGTAATATTGTATCGTGTTCTACACGTAAATTGCATCGAGGATAATTGATACACTGTGCGAAAGCGAATGCTCATTTGTGATTTCACTTCAAGAATTTTGAATTGAGTTTAAATAAGTTGAACACATTTGAACTCCTTCTCATTTCATGACATCTTGTTAGAGTTTGCTTCACACTTCATGAACACTGCCTCCTGACTGAAGTATATTTTCATAGTCATGCATCAGAGATTCATGATTTCCCGGCATGATCCATTCAAGCTCGGTATATTTAAACGGAATAAACATGTCATTTTTAAAAGCAAACTCTCTCCCCTCTAAACCTGGTTAGGTTTGGACCCGAAGGAGAGACTCTCCAAGCAGAGACGACTGTTGCAGAAGCGTCTGGGCCTGGATGTGGGCGGAGTCCTGGGTATGGACTCGGAGGAGTTGTTTGATGATGAGGACCTGCTGGTGAAGAAGGAGACGCCGTCCGGAGCAGACAATAATACTCTCAAACTTCCCGTAGGTTCTTGTTTGCTGTTTTTTTCCTGTTTTCATAGAGTTGATCAGTAAAGTACTTGTAGGTCAGTTTGGTTATACATGTATACGTTTACATGCTTTTACAGATTTGGTTGTCTATTTGGTTGGCTATTTTGCACACACATCCTTAAAATGCAAATTACAAGGCTTGAATATTCTTATATAATTTTATAAGAAAAGAAAAAATATCAAAACGTCATTGTGACAAGGCTACCCTAACTTATCATTCGAAACCATTTAACAAGTTGCCACACGATTCCGAAGAAAGTCGGACAAAACTGCTTACAAAATGGCGGGCGGAGGTGATTTGCTGATTGTTTCGTGACCGAAAAAATAATACTCAAACGGCTGTTGTAATTGCTGTTATCATCCTCGTCCAAGGTATTTAGATTATTAAGTTTCGTGAAATCGATCGTTAGCTTAATGCACAGATTTGTCACCAGTAATCGCCAGTGACTTGGTTTTTAGGTTAAAAAGTTGAGTAAAAATAACAAATGTAGACAGCTAATAACATGAGTGGGGTGCTGTGGTCCAGTGGTTACGGTGTTCGACTCGTGTGCCGTGGTACATGGGTTCGAATCCTGACGGGGAACATGGTGCTTGTGCTCTTGAGCAAGGCACTTCACCATTATTGCTTCGTCCTTCGGATGGGACGTAAAGCTGTAGGTCCCGTGTGTTGTGTAATGCACGTTAAATAACCCAGTTTCACTTATTGCTAAGAGAAGGGGTTTGCCCTGGTGTTTCTGGCAGTGGCTGCAATATGCGCCTCAGCATTTTGTAAACCCTTATAAGGTGCTACATAATGGGCCTCGTAATTTCTCATAAACTTCATTTACCTGTCTTTGAAAATAGACATTATTACCAACGCCTTCAGTACCTACTTGTTGGTAGATACGTGCGCTATATAAAACTCCGGTATTTTAATATTATTATTATAGTGGTAGTAAGATAACAACTTTTTTTGAATTGCAGACCTCTGCTGCTGACATTGTCGCCCAGGAGATGGCACAGATGGGTGCTGGCCTGAGCTCACGGGAGAAAAACCGAGCCAAGCGTAAGGCCAAACTACTCCTGAAACAACGCTCCAAGGAAAACAGTGACGCAATGGGTTCAAGGTTAGTGTGTTCAATAGGGGAAAGTGTGTCTAGTGGTTATAGGGTTCATGACTCGTATTTTGAGGGTCAAGGGTTCAAATCCAGCTTCTGGCTTTATGTTGTGTCAAAACAATGTCCTTAATTAAAACTTAAATTCTGTCAATGGCTTCTCTGAATAAGTATCATCAAGTAGATTGACTAAATAGATGATTTTCATTGTATTTTTGTGTTGAACATTTTTTTAGTATTATCATAAAGACAAAGAAAATTGAACCAAGTTGTGACCATTGTAACGCAAGTTTTCATTGACCTGAATCTTGCAGGTCATTCCCATTCGTAATCGTCACACTGCGTAGGCTGCAAGTTGAACAATACTGTCTAGAATTCCCCATCAGAAGACTCCTGCTGTTCTAATTATCATACTCACACCCCCTCTCCCCTTTCAGAACACAGAGACTTGCCAAACACAGCGGCATATCAGATTTCGTTTTCCACAGACAGTTAGGTGCGTCTGAATGGGGGTTGTAGCCTACACAGTTATGCAAGATTTCAGAACTAAACCGTCCAGCTGTAGAGAAACTGGATACTCGCGTTTAAAGGGAATTTGAATATCGTTTGCAAGGTCGTGCGTCATCAGATTATATTGTTCTGAATGGGAGGGGGGTGGAAAATGGAGTATTGTTGGTTTTTCTTCAGTTTTGTGATTGGTTGGAATGTAACAGGCACGTCTCAAAACAGTATTAGGTGTCAGAAATCTGAGGGATTGCCCTCCCAAGTATTTTAGTCTTTTGTCATGAGTACTGACTAATAGTATGGGATTTTTGTACTTACTAAGTGAGTCAGGTGTTGCTTAGCTGATGAAAAATAACTTATGTGTTTACAGTAACCTGACCTACCTGGATTTTTTGCGCCCAGATTGCTGACCTCAAACTTTTTATTGCCAAATTTTCCCAAAAAATTTAAGCTACAGCCCATCATTTGCAGCTATCCAAAAAGTAAACGACAAAATTGTTGTTGAAAAGCATACTTGTTTTAAAGATACTAATTGGACTAAACTCCCTGTGAAATTATTCTTTCTGGCAAGCTGTCATTTTGAAGAAAACAAGGATCCAAGGATGCATCTAAACACAGCGCACGATTGCTATATTCATCGGTTCAGTGTGTGACATCACGTAGTTGCAATCGAGTTCATGAGAACGTGTCCTGGACACTGATTTCAGGCGCAATTGAAAACATGACCCGGCAACTTTTGATTTGAAACCGAGATCTTAGAATACTGTTTTCTCGGAATATTCAGCATTCACTGAGCTAAAAATCATCAGGTTAGCTGTTTATAAGCACCCTTCTTTAGATTTTCAGCACTTCTGTTGCTTCAAACAAACATAATGCGAAAATTACAAATGATGAACTGAACCTTTAAAATAAATGTTTGGAAAATTTAGTCTTCCCTATGTGATTCTTAAATATGTAAAACAGCATACCAGTAATAAGGGAATAAATGTGTGCTCTGGAGGTTTTTATCACTCGTTTAATACCGCTTAGAGTCTGGGTGCTGATAATTACCCGAGCCGGAGGCGAGGGTAATTATCAGCACCCAGACTCTAAGCGGTATTAAACGAGTGATAAATACCGACCGAGCACATATTTATTCCCATTCATAAATACCTTATCCGTAAAAAAAATTCAAATAATTCGTTCAAAAAATCCCGATTTTGTTCAACAAGTTCACTTCATGCTTTTTGAAACATCCCTCTAGCAAAATAATGGAGTGTTCAGCTGGCGAGTAAGATGTAAACAACCCTTTTATGGAGATTGACGCGCGCGTAACATGTTCTGCGCGATGTCACGCAGAACGCACCTGGGGCGTTGCGTTTTGAATTTAGAACTATAAAATTCTGACTCGCTTGTAGTGTTGCGCATGCCTACGTGAGGATTGTGAACATTCAACCAATGAAACGGTAAGAGGCACTGGATTTTTAGGAGTCCACATTTTATTGTGACACTGGAAAAGTGTTTAAGACCAGCTAGCCATGTCTTTATCATCCGTTTAATACCGGCCACGTGACGGGCTCTCGACCAATAGGGATAGCTAAACTGTCTGAGGTATTTATGAATGGTATTTGAAGTAAAAAAAGTAAGTATAAAATTCTGTCAGACAAACATAAACAATTTTTTTGCCACATTTTCCCCCAAAAATGTAAAAAGTAGGTTTTGAAAATAAAAAAAAAGTCTTTCCTGTGTGAGTTCTTTGTGTTAAACAGAATACTGTTGAAAGTGTATTACGGTAGGTACAAAAAGTAAGTATGACAGACTGACAGACAAACATAAAAAACTTACAAAATAGAATTAGTTTACCTGGATAATTTTTAGGGCTTTACTGTAAACGCAGATTGTGTTGGCCTTAATCTGGTATATTATGGGACCTAGTCAAACATGTCAAATAGGTCACTTGTTGAACTGCAAGTTATTGACAGCATGTCTGTGTTTGATATGGCATTGCTCACTGCAATCTTGTGTGAAGATGTTTTTCTGTAATTCTACACGGGCGTTCAATGTGTGATATAAGATTGCAGTGCTTTCAAAGCATTCTTAGCCAAAGCATGCGAAAATGTAATTGAATCATGGTATGGTGTAAATATGAAACATTAACAACATAATAGACCCTTTGCATTCAGGGGCCATCTTTGAGCTGTGTACATGTATTTGTTGTTTTAATTCAATAACAATGAATGTGCATGAAGTCTTCTCATGTTTGTGCCTTTGAAATGAAGGCATGTACCTCAAACATGGTTGCAGTGCAAAGAATCTATAAGAAAATTATAAAGCGGACATGAAACTTGTTTAAGGAACAAACTTGACAAGGATGAGTAACTCTGAAACTAAGAGAACAAACAATAAGCCAGTTTGATATTCCTACTGCGCATGTGCACATCTATATTTGATGATTTGCCTTTCGGAATAAGCAATTCGCCGTATGTGTGCCAAACTAAAAAGGGGTACCACCAACATTTCTGAAATTGTCTCATTCCGAAGCAAGCATTTCATAAAGTTTGGATAGCGAAGTATTTTTTTAGACGTTTTGTATGCCCCAACTTGTATCGGAACAAAACTTTCCATTGATTTTTTTATTGCATGAAACATTGCAGAATGCAGATTCGGTTACCAATACCATGTTCCCGGTAGAGTTGTGTGCATTTACCTGCTGTGTTTACCCGAAATCAAAAATCGTCAAATTTGTTATGCATATGAGAAGTTGGAATACCAATTTGGCTTATTAATAATAATATTTATATTATCTTTTTTTTGTCAATAAGAAGTCAGGAAACTTCTTCAGCGATCAAAATTGACACTTGACATGTATAAATCTAGCCCAAACCTAACTGCTTAACTAATAACCATTACTATCAGAGCATACAGAGTCATTTTGGTCTTTGTTGATTTTCAGTATGGAGAGTGTTGGTGATGAGCCAGCTAATAAAAAGTCCAAGATTGTCAAGATAGCCAGCCAGTCCTCATTCTCAGACAAGCAACAGTCAGACCAACTGACAGACAGCAATGTTTTTTATGAAGAGGTATGCCATCCTCAAATATTCACTTTCGCCTTGCATGTGATGCAATGTTATCGATTATTAGTTCAACATTTTAATATCTCTCTCTGAAAACGGGTAGGAAATAGTCTTTTAAAGTTCTGTCCACGGATCACAAAAAATTAAGTGTTCTTTCAGAAAAATCAAAACAAATCACATAGGAATGTGTGTGAATTGTTTACGTTTTGCTAAAAGAACGCACACTTTTTTGTGATCCGTGGACAGAACTTTAAAACGGTGCTTGTGTTTAAAGTTTCGTAAATTGAAAAGTACCTGAGGGATTTGAATGATTCTTGTACTTAAAGAAAGCTTATGAATTGGTCTTTCATATTCTAGATTTTGAAAGTGCTACATGCAGAACTTCACTAAAACAATAATCCCGACATGTAGGTTTCATTTTTTTTTTACTCACTCTATACTTGTACTGGGAATTATTGAAACTGATTAAACCTGATACGCTACATTTCCCCCCTAGCCTGGTGAGTGGCCCTTTGCCTCATTCTGTGAGCAGCTGAGCACCGATCTCTTCCACCAGTCTTGGGAGGTGCGGCACGGAGCAGCTACCGGCATCAGGGAAGTCATCAAGGTGCACGGCCAGAGCGCTGGCAAGTCTGTGGACCAGCCTTGGGACCAGGTCGGTATCTTTGAAGTCAGTTTCAGGCACCAGTCCTATCATCAACCCATGGAATACCGAAGTGAATACGTCACGCGCACAAAATGTGTGTGAAAGACATTAGCGCGTGATTCAGCCCGTGAACCAACACGCGCGTACTCCATTCGTTTGCACTACACTTTCTGGTTCTTAATGACGTCACACTTCGGTATTCCATTATGGGCCATCATGAATCAATCACAAGTCGATCACAAGTCCAATCACATCTAAATCACAAGTTAGTCACATGTCAATCAGAAGTTAATCACAAGTCATCACAAGTAAATTAAAAGTCAATCACAAGTCCAGTCAAAACTCACAAGTCAATCACAAGTCATCCACCCACAAGTTGAGTCAACATCTATTCAAATGAACTGTTACAAAGAGATCATTTCCAATGTAAGTATTTTTTTTCTTCAAAAACTGGTTTTCAGGTTGCCCTTTAGTAACTATTGGTTTGTTGAGTAAAATGGTCAACAAAGCAATAGATCAAGGTCAAGGTCAGAAATAGATTAAGTTGTAAGTAGATAAAGGCCTCTTGAATCTTCCAAAAGGGATGATGAGAAAGTTTCAAATGCATTTATGTATTATTTTATTTTTTAAATTTAGCAAGAGAGTTTGAATCAGATGTGGATGGAGGACATGGCACTGCGACTACTCTGTGTTCTGACATTGGACCGTTTCGGGGACTTTGTCTCAGATGAGGTGAGACATGCCAAAGGACTTGAAGTAACATGATGCTTCTTATTATACACACCTTCCGTTTCACTGCATTCTAATCATATATATTATGATAGCTAAAACAGTCAGTGACTAGGGTTTTGCATCGGGGAAATATATATTTGTTCAAAAAGAACAAAACCCAATGTATTCATTTTCATCTCCTCAGCACACACAAAATCCAGTAACTATTTTTTAACTCTGTTCATTAATCTGCCATTTTTTAAAATCCAACCAGGGTTCTCTAACAGATAATTCTTTTTTTACATTTTTTTTTTCGGTCCAAGGTTGTTGCCCCAGTAAGAGAAACCTGTGCCCAAGCCCTAGGGGTTGTATTACACCATATGACCACCGTTGGTGTGCAGGGTGTGTTAGGGGTCTTGCTTCAGCTACTGTCCCAGGACCAATGGGAGGTCAGGCACGGCGGCCTGCTGGGGATGAAATATCTGCTGGCTGTCAGGAAGGTTGGTTGATAACTTTTCCAGAAAAAAATAAACATTGTAATGGCACAATTTGTTGAAGTGAAACATGCTCATATCAAAATTAATTGTCATTTTGAGGGTTACATTTATGGCTTGGTATGCCAAATTTAGACACTCTAGTGCAATTCAATTTTATGTTTTTACAATTTTGTTTTTAATCAAAATTTTCAAAGCAAAACAAATTTGAAGAAATGCTAATTCGGCAACGTGTCACAGTATAGGGCAAATTTAGTAACAAGGGTCATTTTCTGAAATGACTTTCCAGGCTTATATACAAGATAAAAATCTCACAGATGAAAGTTTTTGAAACTTAAAAAAAAGGTCATATTTAGTGGCATAATAAAATTTCCAATTGCAAACTTTGTGCAAAGCATATCCATTTCCTTGTTTGGCTTTCTTCCTTTTGAAACTTGTTTAATTAGTTCTGCCGTATTGTATGAAAGCATTATTACCCAACTTATAAGTTCAGCATTATGGAAAAGCGTCCAAAGCTGCTAGATGAACACAGCTTACAAAGATTTACCAATATGTCCCCCCCCCCATGCAGGAGATGACAGATGAGTTACTGCCAGCAGTGCTACCCTCCATCGTACGTGGTCTGCAAGACGTAGATGATGATGTCAGGGCAGTAGCTGCAGCAGCGCTCAACCCAGTAGCTGGAGCTCTAGTTAGAGTGTGTCATGCCCAGGTAAACACTGATAACCCCGTGCATGATTAAACTGCACTTTTGCGTCCTTTCTTTTTCCTTATTTTGCTTAAATATTTTTCCACAAACTATATTTTATTTTTTTCTCAATCAACATAACATAAGTCTCGACTATATGTTTCTCAGAAGGAATTTGGCATTACAAAGATGTTAATTTTAAAACTGGGTTTTGTCCATCTACACATTTTTTAATAAGTTCTGTATCCCTGGTGTTGTCCAAGATTTGTCTGAAGTTCGGAAGTTGAACTTAAATGGGAGTTGAACTACTGACCTCTTGATAACCAGTTCACATTTCGCAACCATTTGACCATGGGGTCCGCTGGCCGCAATTGCTTATTCTGCAACCAATATGGTCAGTGACCATAATGCGCATGCATCAGTAACGGAATGGTTCTCGGACTTTGCTTACCTTTAAACAAAATCCTCCAGAGTCATGAATCAGAAAAAAAGTGACATTTATTTATATTGATCAGCAGGACTTGATTAAGCACAACATATCTAAAAGTACTGATATAACCATAGAGCTATATTAAATTACTAGAGCGCTAACTCCTCATTCTCGCGCTCGGAAGCCGTCCTGAGCGCAGACATTTATAATGAATTTAGATGGAGTGAAGTTTGAAAGTGTACTCTAAATGCATCGCACAAGAACAACATACGCAAACAAATTAAGCAAGTCATGACGGTTAAAAAAGGTCATGGCAAAAGTCATCTGCAGTGGATACGCGTACTCGATTTTGTTTGCCCAGAGCAAAATGTAAAACTCAATACTGATTGTGCCTTTCGATTTTGGGCGTATCGGCTTCGATAACGCATCTGTATAGAATACAAATGCAGATATGCAAATAGCCGTACCAAAGCCTGTACTATATTTTGAATTTTCAATAGGTCTGTGCACAAACATGGATGCGCCCAGCAGGCATCACTTTGTACATGAGTCAGCGCTCTAGTAATTTGATTTAGCTCTATGGATATAACTTACTATTATGAGATGAATTTGCATCAAGGTGATGTAAATCAATAACATACCATGCCACGGTTGCACTTCGATCTTCGCTCGAAAACTAAACCACATGAAGTCAATTCAAATCTCATGATATATTACTTCAATCACGTGATATGTTTCATGCATGCCTGTTGAGGTAAATTAGTTTACTGGGTTGCAGAAGGAAACATTTGCCAGCTGGCCAGTTCAGCAATAGACCTTTATCATGCTGCCACCGTTTCAGTCATGTTCCCTGTATCCAAGAACAATACTGAATGATAATGTTTTTTGTGCAAAAAGGAACCAGACAATTTTTCCTTCCAGCCTCGCTTTGGTTACATTGATTTGAATAGGAAAAAATCAAGATGGCCGTAACATGATAATGGTCTATTCAATCTGGTACAGCAGATGTTACCATTACTAATGACTTCTTGTGTGTTTCTCCTGCAATCTCCCCTCCCCCTGCCAGGTCCCAACAATCCTCAGCACCCTCTGGGATACCCTCTTAGACCTCGATGACCTGACAGCATCCACTAACAGCATCATGACCCTGCTAGCCTCCTTGAACTCCTACCCAGCAGCCTTGGCATGCCTTAGCCAGACGACTACCAGTCTGGTACCTAGACTCTGGCCTTTCCTGAGGCATAATATCACGTCGGTCAGGAGAGCAGTGTTGGAGACGCTCTGCACATTGCTACTTGCAGATAATCAACAGGTGATTGATACTGTTTTTGTTTGATTTTACAATGGAACCCCGCTATAACAAACATTGCAGGATCCACAGAAAAGGTTCGTTATAGCGATCGTTTGATATAGCGATCGTTCGGTATAGCGATTTTGAGCCGCCAGTACTCAAAATGACATCTGTCTGTTTAAATAGTGCCCTCTTGTGCCCTACTTGAAGTACGCCCTCTTTTGAGTTTTGAAACTTCAGCAACAGGAGGCTTTATCCTTATGTTCCTTGGAGGGGTGTGGAAATAATAGCCATGCACCTATCACTCTTCAACATTCAAACACAATTTAACCATTGGTCGTTTGACGTTTTAAAAATGACCCAAGCAGCGTTTAATATAACCAGTAGATTTTTTGTTAATCTGTTGACTTTTTTCAACAACAGTGTTCAGTACATTTTGTACATAAAAATCGGGAGCCAAGGATAATGTTCAGTATAGCCGAATGTTCGGTATAGCAATGTTCGGTTTAGTGGCGTTCCACTGTATTGTGATTGGATAATTTGAGTATTCGGCACCAAGTTTGCACCATATTTCGTCGCGTCAGTGCAACAAGGTCGTAACTCCATTCTGCAACAAAGTCGTATCTCGCGCGAATATGCTCCGTGCAACAAGGTTGTATCTCGACGTCCATTGACTTTGCGTGTACATCCGGTTATTTTAAGCGAGATACGACCTTTTGACATTCTAAAACTCGCGTTTTGCGTCGTTCATGCCATTTTAGGAGATACGACTTTGTTGCACTGACGCGACGATTTCATTTTATGCTCCTTATTCAGTTTCTTATATAATGTTATTTATTCTTTGACTCATTTTGTGTCTTGCAATTTGTAGCAATATGGAAATAAATGTATGAGTGAGTGAATGAATGAATGAAAAAGGGTCCTGAACCTTGTGTTCCTGGGGAAGACACTTGAGTATCATTGCCAGTTAGCAGGTAATTTGGGATGCATTTAATCCCAAGAACCTATGGTGCTGTGCATTTAACTTCAAAAGGCAGCCAGAAATTTTTGTTCGGATGTTATTATTTCAAAACAGCACAATCCTTCTTAAAAACTATAAACATAGTTTCTTAGGTTGCAATTTGTTTTAACTCGCAGTGTAATTGGAATTCACTGTTTTGTTATTTGTGAAGGTTCCTACGGATGTCTGGCTGCCTCCAATCCTGCAGGATGCCTTGAGACACATCTTCCAGCGTTGTATCTTGGAATCAAACCCTGACATACTGGCTCTCATTGAAAAGGTATAGTTATATAATATTGGATGGTTTTGAGGGGGATACAAGAATATTTTGCACGAGCTATAACAATATGGCACGAGTCGAAGACGAGTGCAATATTGTTATAGCAAGGCAATTTAGTCTTAAAGGGAATATACATCATTTGCTTTTGCTGTAATTTTCAGAAATGGATGGAATTGGGGGGTTGGAAATATATAGCAAATATAGTTACACTGACTTTTTTGAGGTTTTGGGTTCGAAAATGCTATAAAAACCAAGAAAAACAATCATTTTCCTGTAGTCTGGTTCCCTGACTCCATATCAGAAGAAACAGAGCAGTTTACATACATTGGGGAATTGTAAGGTCAGGGAACCAGTTTAGCTGGCTTGTACCCGTTCATAGGTGTGTAATCGATTGCAAACAAGTGCGATGGTCAATTGGGGCCAGTATTTGAAAAAAAGCCAGTTTTTTCCAACGCTGGTCGGCCGACCAGCGTTGGAAATTGATACAAAAATACCACTTTTCTTGAAAATGACAGTATACCAGGTGCCATGATTTTACAGGATGCTTTACACTGTCATTCACTAACAGTCCAGCAAGGTATTTCAAAATAATTTGGTAGTTTTATTTTTTGATGTTTGCAAATGTTGTATTTTCCCTTTAACTTCCCCGAAAAATGCCATCATACATTATTATTATTTTTATTAGGCTGACTAGCTTAATCTGCAAGAAATCAATTTCAGGACACAGCCTTTATTTCTCAAATTTCGTTGAATTATCGCGCCGCTCAAAGCTAGTTGTGGCTGTTGACAACAGTGTGCGTATACCCTGCTAATGCTGCGCGCTGCGTCCTAGCGCTACGCTCTGTTGATAGGTTGACTGTGACTTTCTACGCTTTTAGAATGTGCGGGAACCAGCTAAAATGCCCGGATTGAGTGCAATATCAATATTACTGTAGTCAGCCGGGTACTTTATTGACATAGTATTGCAGTCATCCACATACTTTTTACGAAAGCACACAATAGGCTGATTTATTTTTACCACTGGAAGCCTGATATAAATAATAACACACAGTATTGCTTGGCAATGTAAGAATACATACATGATCTCCTCTTTCTTTAGTGAGGGAATAAGTAAATATCTTTGGGTAGTTGAAATTATTCCTTTTCCATGTGTTAAAAGCCTAACATTATTCAAACTGAATTTTGTGTCGTGCTGTTGTAAAGTGTGAGTTAGTGAAGGTGTTAATCAGGAAAAGAAACAAAATCAAAAAAACATGGTCAGATTGTAATTCCAAGATTTGTGGTACCTAAAACATAAAAATCTGTAATTTGGAAGGTCGTAGATTGGAATATAAATGCCGCAAATTTTATTTTATAAAGATCATTGTTTGATTCATGTAATCTTATGTTCAAAGGAAGATGCAAAAGCATAACAGTTTAGGAAGACTGTGCATTGTGGTGTGCATACTTTTTGGTCTTTTTCTTCAATAGGTATGGGATGCATTGCTAGAGAAGTCCCCACTAGACACCCTAGTGGGTGCATCATGTCCTTACATCAGTGCATGGATGTGCCTGGCCATGCAGCCTTCCAGAGTCCCCATCGATATGCATATGATGATTGAGGCCAAGCACAAAGTCAAGGTGAACTAACATTTCTTTCTTTATACATTTAGTAAATGTTATGAGTCACAAATGCAGTTGGAACAGGAGCAGTTGATTATTTATATGAACGGCTGCTGGATTTTATGTGCATGGTCAAACTCTCGTACAGAGGTGAAAAGTAGCGGGGATGATGACATTTTTGTAGGGGGTAGTGGCCTAGTGGTTAGGGTTCGTGACTCGTGATCTGAGGGTCAGGGGTTCAAATCCAGCTGCTGGCCATATACTGTGTCATTGGGCAGGCCACTTCACCCCCCCCCCCCCCCCCCACACTCTGCCTCTCTCCACCCAGGAGTATAAATGGATACCGACATTTAGCTGGGGAGTAACCTGTGATGGACTAGCATCCCATCGAGGGGGAATAGAAATATTCCAAGTCGTTTCTGTACCATATTGGCTCATGACAAGACTTTACTTACTATGATGATTTTGGTTGCAAAAAGAAAGAAAGACTTAAGAAAGGTCATTTCACTTTACACATTTCTCTCAAATTGAAGATGGGTCTGTAAAGTTTTCTTTTTAATTCACAGCAGAAAAATAAATACAATCTTAAGTCCCTCTGGAGAGTAGTAGTAGTAACATTTATTTCAATGATGGCATTCGTTACAATTATGTACAAACATGTATACATTAAAAAAAGTCACTAGTATAATATTTGATAGATATGTACACAGTGATTAATTATAATGTGTGAAATTAAATGACAACATTTAGGTATAAGGTTAAGCAGAACGCTTTTGTGCCCTTACCTATGGACAAACATACGACCAAAGGACAAACAAAACAATAGGTGTACTCTCAAATCTACCCCTTTCAGACATGGCCTTCATCGCACTATGGATGGATTTTAATGGAAAGTTTGATTTTGAGGTTTAAAGTAACCTTAGATGTTTTCAATTCTGTTTGACATCGACAGGAAAGCAAAGGTCTTAACAAGAGCTGGAAGAGCCAACAGACCATCAAAGAGGATGACAGAGAGTACATTGGCGGGGATGCCGCGCTGGGTGCATCGGTGACAGACAGGGAGGCAGTAGTCCTGCAGGCTAGGACAAGGACTGCCAGGTAGGAATCTTGGCTTCACTTTCTTGTCAGTTTTGTAATGACTCAAATCAGTGATCCAATGAAATATTTGAACCAGCTTGACTCAAGGCATTACCAGGGAATGATTCCACTCGACTTGAGTCACTGTCTTGGCTCAACTCGATTCTGTGAGCAAAAGACATTACTCCAATTAAAAAGCTCCTAAACAGTTGAGTCCTTAAAAATAAGGTAAAACAAACACGTTACCAGCTTATAGGGCCAAGTTCGTGCAACGACTATAGTTGACCAATGGTTAACCATAGTTCGACTAACGTTTGCCCGAACTCTGTCTAGTCGACGGTGGTTGACTACGCTAGTCGACTATTTCGAACCAACCTACTGGGGCTGGTTGCATCGCTGGTAACCAATAGCCGTGCGCATTCATAACGCTAGCAGAGAGCCAGGATCCAGAAGTTTTGCAATGACATTTTGACCATCGTTTGACTGGAGACGTTCGCACGTTGCTATCAGTGCGCAGGCGTAAGGTACGTCACAAATCAACCACTAGTCAACTAATGGTCCTTGCCCGAACTTGTCCCAAGTTGTCAGGCAATTACAAGAGTTGTCACAACGTACCAGAAACTTTAGCCTCAGTTTGTGATACCAAGGATGGTCGTAAAATGATATTGACTCAAATGGACTTGAGCAAGAATGTGACTCTGTTACTCAACTTCACTTTGTCTTGTTGGCCTAATGACTTGATTTGACTTGAGTCACTACCTGAAAATGACTTGACTCAACTCGAGTCGGATTGTCTCCAAGTTCAGCGAGCAGTTACAAGTCTCATTGTCCTTACCATTCAGGTTACTTGGTCGCATTGCACCGTACATCACCAGCAGCAAACTGGCTGCCGAGCTTAACGCGTCGGAGTCCTTCGGTCAGATTCTCATCTTCCACATCAAGAGCAAGTCAGCGATACAGAGGATGGTGATCGGTCTCATCATTGAAGAATGGGCACGGACTGGCAAGGTACTTTGTCCTTAACCGTTTTCTTCAATTTTTTTCTCTTCACCCCTTCTAAAGGCTTAAAGGGGGGTTTGAAATTAATTGTGGGATAGGTATTGTACAGGGTGAGTAACAAAAAAACATAAACCCAAATGTCGGGAAAATTGTTTCAGTGAAATTCTGCTTGTAGCAGTTTCAAAATTTTAAACACAACCACCGTTTTAAAATTCTGTCCACGGATCACAAAAAGGTAAGTGTTCTTTCAGCAAAACAACAACAAATCACATAGGGATGTGTGTGAATTGTTTTTGTGATCAGTGGACAGAACTTTAAAACAGTGGTAGTGTTTAAAATTCCGTAACCTGAAAAGTACATGAGTGATTTGAATGATTCTTGTACCATAAAAGAAAGCTTGTGAATTGGGCTTTCATATCCTAGGTTTTGAAAGTGTTACAAGCAGAACTTCACTAAAACAATGGTCCCAACACTTGGGTTTCGCTTTTTATTTACTCACCCTGTAGAGTCTCCCTTGGAATTTAATAAAGGGAGGACTGCAAATATTTGCCAACTTAGAGTAGCCAAAAATAAATGCAGGAAGTTCTGAGAGACTAAAATGACCTTTCGGGTCCGGAAGATTCTGTCATGATTAAAATTTCAGGAGTTTTCGTAGTTAAGAGAATAAAGATGATGAAAAGATTTGTGTCAATGCAATGTCTATTATCATCAACCCTAACCCCCTAGGCATTTTTGCAACCTCGATCCTGCAAAATCCTCCAACTGCCTCCGTGTAAAAATTGCATACAGCCTCAATCCTGCAAAATCCTCTGTTATTTCTTGAATATGGCCCTAATGCAGAAAAGCCCAATGTTCTGTTCTTAAACGGACATAGACCTCTATTATTTTTAAAACAAATTCTGAATTGAAGTTTATTTCTAAATTTTTTATTTTATAATTTCTGAATTGTTTTCAGGAATTCCAGTGTCCAGAAGCAGTCAAGACCAAACTACTAGAGGTCTTATCCTGCACGATGTATTTTGACGAAGTGTCGACAGCTTTCATGAAAATGCAGTCAGAATGTAAGGTATGACATTGTTGGGTTTTATTTCTAATGAAGGAGAAACTCTTATAATTGGACAGTCCAGTTTGTAAAGTAAGGTAAAGTAAAAAAAAAAAACTTGCCAAATGTTCCCAAATGTTACCCATGACAGTCATTAGTTGCTGTACTGTAGAATACTATTAAAGGTAGAGAAGATCATTTGCAGCCATCCAAAAAGTAACTGACAAATTTATTGTTGAAAAGCTTACTTGGTTTAAAGATAGTAATGGCACTAAACTCCCTGTGAAATTATTCTTTCTGGCATGCTGTCATTTTGAAGAAAACAATAATGGAAGGCCATTTCCAAAGATGTGTCAAGTGACGTATTTTTGGAAATTTCTATTAGTAGTTGGTTTGTAATTCGGGGAATTCGTGAATGGGTGCGCGCAAGCGTTGACACGACGCACATGCGCGTGCGGTCGCTATTATTTGTTGGTTCAGTGCATGACATCGCGTAGCTGAATGAGAACGTGTCCCGGACGCTGATTTCATGCGCAACTCAAAATATGACTTGGCAACAATTGAATTGAAATCGAATCCTACAATATTGCTTTCTCGGAATATACTGCATTCACAGAGCTTGTTAAGCACCTGTCTTTAGATTTTGAGAACTTTTGTTGCTTCAAATGGGAAAAAAATGCACAAATGACAAATGATCTATCCTAAATTTAAAATGAAAAGCTTTCATTATATCTCCCCCAGATGCTTGTAAGTGCATGGTGCGATGTAAGAAGAGAAGTTCAGCCCGGGCAGTTTCCTAGGTAAAGTACACAGATTTTACAAATTAAAATAAAAATTCATTTCGTTTAGTCTCGATTAGCCAAAATTTCCATAAATCCGTTGATTATATATGAGGCGTTCTGGGCAGACGTTGAAATGAGGGTTTACGAGTGTTAGGAAAGAGAATAACATTCCCCATACAATACTGTTTGTTGCACTTCAATAGGACATTCCGTCAAAATTTTTTGGCTGTTCTAAAGTTTGTATTTATCGACATGTCAAAAAAAGTAAAATAACGAGAAAGAGGCTTTTAAACTTTTGAGGTGTTTTTTTGTGTGAAAAAACTAAGATGCCAATTGTTTTTCCTTAAAAACAGTTTAAATCCATGATTTTTATACTTTTTTAATAACATGTGTGTAGTAGACATATCAAAGATGACAAATATCAGTAAATCTGAAAATCAAAAAAAAATCATTCCCATTCAGTTTTTTGCATTTTTCTAAACTACGGCCTGTGCCCAGTTCTGTCTCATTTTACCAGAACACCTCACATATTGCTATTGCAGCTAGAATCAGCAATTCCACGGAGCATTCAATGACTTGAGGATTTTTTTGAAGTGATTTACCAAATATATCATTTTCAAGATTGGCTGCAAAAGTTAGTAGTTACCATGACAGGATTTTTTTCAGGTATTTTTTTAAAAGTCCTGGAAATGCCTCAAAAGTTCTTTACCTGTTTGATTCCCCCCCCCCATAGTGCTTTCACAGTAGAGCAGGCCAACGCCTTGTCAGAGTCCATCCAGGGTCAGCTATTCCAGGCAGGCCTTGGAGCTAGGATCACCCAGGACCTCCAACAGAAATGCAGACAGATACAGGGGAGCATTGAGGAGATCAACACAGAACAGCAGATACTGAGCACAAGGTAGGGTCGGAGGATCTGTGTTGCTTTTAAAACGTTCATGTCTTTTCTTCTAACACAAGTTTGTATTGTTGAATATCATTGTTTTGCCCTTTGCCAACGTATTTTTATAAACACTGTATACTCAGTGTTGTCTGAGGGCTTGCGAAAAAAGTTCAAAAGCTTGCTCGGGTGGGACTCGAACCCATGACCTCCTGCTTACTAGCGCAGATGTCTTACCACTGAACCACTGAGCTTGTCGAGTTGGCAGGCTGGTTCGAGTCTGATGTAGCAGCGCGTACCGCAACCAAACTTTTTTTAAGATGCAATTTGCGTTGGGGAGATGTAAATTGTATATTGGGTTCAATTGCATAGTCACTTTATTGGTGGCACAGATTTCGAAGAGTTAGGTGTTGTATAAAGCAAATAACGAGCCTTTCGCATTCATACAATGGAAGGAATAATTTCACTTGTGACAGATGGGATGCTCCTTTCCAGCTTTGGCTTTGTTGAACGACACATTCTATCTGTCACCTTGTGAAATTATTCTTACCATTGCACTCGTAAACATTCATTATTTGTATACCAGCATATTGGGAGTCAGGTTGGCATAGGTGTACTTTCCTCGCCTTCCACTGCTGTGACTAGGGTTCGAATCCCGCCTGGGCCAATATGTGGATTGGGTTTTTAGTCCCTACCTGATTCCGTGGGTTTTCTCCCGGAATATTGTTCTGGGTTTTTCCTCCCACCTCTAAAACTGTAATTTCTTCTCATTGTCTCCTCTCTACAGGTTTCTTCATGCTTGCGAGCTACAGTGCCTGGGGCGCTTTTGAGGAATCCTTGGTTTCATTACCAGAAATAAATAAATAATATTAATAATAATATTATGTTCTCACTGACCGAGTCGCTGACTGACTGACTGAATAACTGAGTACAACTCTGATCCTGAAGTGAAACTACGAGGTCGTCCTCAACGAGGCAAGCCTAAACTCGCATTGTTAACTTTGTATGTACTCCTTGCATTAATGACAGGACCCATGCCTGTGTGGCCTCAGCCGTGATTGCCTTGAAAACCCTGCCAGACAAACTGAACCCGATCATCAAGCCTCTCATGGACAGCATGAAGAAAGAACAGATAACAATCATGCAGGTATCAAATCCTTCCTTTAAAACAAAACAATAAAATATTACAGTTTTTGTGAAGGTGATGAATTCAAGCGAATCGTGATGGATGCGTAATACCTGTTTTACTTCCCGTTTCTAATTTTAAAAAAAAGTTAACATTAAAGGTAGGGTAGAGTATTTGTCATTTGTGATTTTTTTCATTTGAAGCAACAAAAGTGTTCAAAATCTGACATGTCTGAAGACGGGTGCTTAACAACTAACATGATGAAGTTTTAGCTCTGTAAATATGGTATATTCCGAGAAAACAATATTTCAATTCGAAAGTTGCCGAGTCATGTTTTGAATTGCGCCCGAAATCAGCATACAGAACACATTCTCATTCAGCCGATTGCATCTATGCGATTTCACTCACTGAACCGATGAATAATAGCGACCACACGTATTGTTTAATATGCATGGATTGACTGATACATTTTTATTGGCACACGCTGTACAATGTTTAGAAAACACTAATTTTGCAAATACGTTGAAAATGCTAAATAGATACTGGACCACAACATTCCATGAGCTCATCAAATATTGCCTTTGAAGAGGGTTGCAAACATCCCAAAATAAGTTCTTGTTTGTGTGTTTCAGAGCCATGCAGCCAACAGCCTGGCCAGCCTCCTGGAGCAGTGCAGTCACCGCACCCCTTGCCCCTCCCCGAAGATCCTCAAGAACCTCTGCAACAGTCTCTGCTGTGACCCCAACATCACCCCAAACGCCGCCCGGCCCTTGGGCTCCTTAGACCTGTCAGCCAGGCCGCCGTCATTCAGCAAAGGGTCTATAACAGGGTCTGCCACTGGGTCTGCCACGGGGTCTAGACCATCGTCCCCACTCCCTGGGACTGTGACCACCGTGCAGTGTGACAAGAGGGTCGGGATTCTCACATTAGCCAAACAGCAGCAGGTGCACACTCTTTTTTTACCCCCAATTTTTTTTGGTATAGAGATTGGTTTTCAATTAATTTTTTTTTAACTGAAGTGTTTTGTTTGATTTTTTAGTGAGTAGTTATAGAGCGCACGTATCCACCATTATTTGTACTCAAGGCGCTTCAGCATTTATTGTCCTGCTCACTGGGCCCATGAAACATTCCAAATACCATCTCAGCTTCCTGGGGAGTATTCAGCTCGATGCTGCCATTTCGGCGCAAAGCAGCTAAAATCAATCACAATAACCATCTCTGCCCTTACAGGTACCCATTTACTCCTGGATGGAGAGAAGCAATGAGTGACAAAGTGCTTTGCCCAAGGGCACACGCACCATGACCCCAGGCTGGACTCGAACCCACAACCTGCAGCTTTACTTGCAGACTACAAATCCAATGTCCTTAACCACAAGGTCACAGCACTCCAGTAATCGATTGATTACAAATAATAACAAATTCAATTTGTTAAATTCAACTTAAAAAGATCAGAATCTAATGTTGTAGACAGCAACTATTTAGCATAATTAACTTTTCAATCAGCTAGATGAATTTTTTTGATGTTCATGACACCAAGAGTAACCTTGACAAGCACTTGGAACAAGCATTCTTTCAAAGTTGTCAACAAAGGAAATACTGCCAACATGGGGCTGGATAGCTCAGTTGGTAGAGCACCGGAACGGCAATCCGGAGGTCGCAGGTTCAAACTCCGCGCCAGTCAATTTCTTTGTTAAACTTGAAGAAAAAAAAGGAAATAAGAATAAAGTAGATTATATAAATAGTCAGTAATATCTGAAATACACAAAGTATTAGCCTCTGATCTTCAAATTAATTTAACTTGAAATCATACAGTCGTTACTGATGTAAAAACTTTGGCCATCTTCCACACAATCCACAAACTTTTCCAAATCGTTTAATTTGTTGTAAGTACTCATTACTTCAGTTAGTATGTTGATCCCTCTGCACTATATGTCCCGCAGCAAAGAATTGTGTCTTGCTTTGTACTAAGCATTGGCCACCGATACTAACGTTATTACCCAATTACATTCCTTGTCTCATGTAGATAGCAGCCATTACCGCGGCCAGCCGACGTGCCGCCTACGCCCGATCACGCAGCAAAGAATCCAGTAGCTTCTCCGAGACTGGCCTCTTCCTGGACCCATCCATTCTCACTGACGGGGGTAGCCCCCAGCTCCATCTCCAGCACCGAGGGGCCAAGTTTGCACTGACCACCGTGGCGCGGCACTTTGGTGCCGATCTGATCACCGGCGCTGGCAAGCTGTGGGAGCTGATGGCAGCCCCGCTGCAAGAGCATCTGCACCCATCCAAATTTGGTAAGGTTTTAAAGTCATTGGGGCTGGCAGTGTCTTGTATTTACCGTGATAAGTTGTGCAGTAGCAGGCTCCACCACAATCACAATTTGCTGGTAAAATGGGTCACTTTCAGTCGCTATGCAATAACTAAGTCGCGGACTTACGCACTACGAAACTTTTGTTAAATTGTCATAACTGAAATGTTGCGCAGCGTGAAATGTTGCGCAGCTTGCGCAATAAATTGTGGCGCAAGTGGACTTATGCCATTGCATAAAGTTTTGTGAAATTGCTGCTGTGTTGACATAGTTATAACTTTGCCATAGAATTTTTTTGTGGTTCGCTTATTACTCTCTGAACTTTTCAGCTTTCTCATATACATCCAATGATGAACACTACAGGCTGAGTAAAAAAAAAAAGAGAACCCAAATGTTGGGACCATTGTTTTAGTGAAGTTTTGCATGTAATATTTTCAAAATCTAGTATATGAAAGCCCAATTCATAAGCTTTCTATTAGTGCAAAAATCATTCAAATCACTCGTGTAATTTTCAAGTTACGGAATTTTAAACACAACCACCGTTTTAAAGCTCTGTCCACGGATCACAAAAAGGTAAGTGTTCTTTCAGTAAAACAAAAACAAATCACATAGGGATGTGTGTGAATTGTTTTCGTTTTGCTGAAAGAACGCACACCTTTTTTGTGATATGTGGACAGAACTTTAAAACGGTGGTTTCATAACTTGGAAAGTACATGAGTGATTTGAATGATTCTTGTACTAAAAGAAAGCTTATGAATTGGGCTTTCATATCCTAGATTTTGATTGTGTTACATACAGAACTTCACTAAAATGGTAGTCCTGATATTTGGGTTTCGGGGTTTTTTTACTCACCCTGTATAGGTGTCTAGGATAATCTTGTATTGTAATCTTGACTTTTGCTTACCCCAGATGCCATTTTAGTGGATGACAAGGATGATCTTGCTCAGGAGCTTATTAACACACTGCAGGTGTTTGAGGTTCTATGCCCAGCAGTGCATCAGAGTCTACACCCAAAGGTTAGAGTAGCACATGACTTGTCTTTATGCATCTTTGACGGGGTCTGTTTCGAGACATTCAAGGAACACCCAACACGACCGTTTCTTTTCATTAATATTGTGACTTAAAGTTTTTCCCCCATGGTATTTTTGAGTTTCACTCAGAAAAATAGATTTTGTTTTTAAATAGCTATCTTTCTAGCAGTGTAAAAGTTATTCTTTTTTGAATGAGATAAACAAAAATTTGCCCACGTTAGCTTTTGGAATATGTACTGTTCGAATTTCGAATTATTTTTGGCCTGATAATAATTTAGGCGTATCTTTTCATGCATTACGTTCCCCAAAGCAAACCAAAATAAAGTTGTATTCTCAGAGGGTTGAAATGTCCAATATAGAAGGAAAAAAAGAGCTTTTCTCTGTTAAGCATTAAGCATACAAGTTGAAAATTCATTAAAAGATAAAGACAAAATTGAAGATGTGATGCGATCAAGCTAAATGAGTCGTTTGTCAGCAATTATGATTTTAAGATACAGCCCAAAATTGGTGAGCAGGGGTGGAAATTTCAAAATTGACTTTTTTGTAAAATCGAAAGGCTACATATGTCCTCTTTCATGTCAATTATTTTTTTCCGAGAAAAACTCACAATAAAGTAGTTAAAATGTGACATTTTTGCTAAGGAGTTAATATTCAATGACCTGAAGCATGTTTTATTGTTACTCATTAAACACTTCAATTTTGAATCGTTGATTTCTCTGTTTGATTTCTCGGTTTTCTTCTTTCTGATCTGCCTGTGTTTTACGTCCCATAACTTCTGAACGGAAGGTTGTATTCACATGGGGTTTTCACCAAATATAAACTGAAAGATGGCTCTATTCAAGAATGTAAAAAAAAAACTAAAAAAAAATTTGATAAGGGCCGACAAACAACTCTTTTAGCTTGATCGAATCATATATGTTGGCAGGGATCACACAAAAAATCAAGTTTGTAGTGACATGCAATGCTGCAGCCTGGGAAATGGATAGAAAATGCCCTGGCTTTTCATCCAGAGCATTGTCAGGATCTCAGGGTTTCATGATGATAGTAATTGCAAACTGTTCTCATCCTGCTTACTCCATTCTTCAACTTTTTGATATATCCAGCTGACAGCCCTTCTGCCCAACCTGATCCAGTGCCTGCAGTACCCTTACACCGCCGTCCGCCACATGGCAGCCACCAGCCTGGGAGCCCTGGGCCAGGTCTCCATGGCCGAGACCATGAATCGCGTGCTGGAGGACGTCCTGCCACTCCTGGAGGCCGGGGACGGCGAGACGCAGCGCCGGGAGGGAGCCGTCGAGGCCCTGATGTGTCTCATCGAGAGGCTAGGGATGTCCGTGGTGCCATACATCGTGTTGCTGGTGGTGCCACTGCTGGGGCGGATGAGCGACCAAGCAGAGAGCGTGCGACTGACTGCTACGCACTGCTTTGCCACGCTGATACGACTCATGCCACTGGAGGTGGGTTTCTCAAAAGATGCCCTGTAATTCACGTGCAACTAACCCTGAATTTGTTGTAAAAATCAACAGCTTTATATTGTGGATATTAAAACAGCTGCAGAATGAATATTATATAGTTTGAACAAATTTTCATGCCATTAAACTTTGTGAAATTTTAAAGGACCTTTATTTACTTGAAAGCGCTGTTTTGTAATATCAATAAGGGACACATCCAACTGTTTTTGGATTTTCTTTACCAATACTCAACTCAAAATATTGTGCATCAGAGATGAAACTTTTCCGATATTAATCGGAAAACCAACTTTTTTATTTTTCCAACGAAATTTCTGATTTTTGTACCCATATGCCAGTTTCATCTCTGGTGCATGGAAACAATTTCATTTGTGAGTTTGCTAATGGACTGCTGTCAGGTACTAAAGGCAGGAAAGGAAAATTGCACAAATAACGATTAAGGACAAGAATAAATTAACAAGTTATGGCAGTTTTCAATCGCAATATGCTGTAACGCTGAAGCTTCTGCCTAAGTGAACATCACTATTTTGCGCATGAAGAAAAACGGCATTAACAAACAATCAAAGAGGCCCCAAAACACTGTCAGAAATGGCAATAACTCTGCAAGCAGACCTCTGATATTATGCACAGCGGCAAATTTTCATGCAGCTGCTAAACACAGAATTTTGATAAGCACAAAAGATATATATCTTTTGTGCTTAACAAAATTCTGTGTTTAGCAGCTGCTTAACAAAAACAGGTCACCAGTCCCTGTGCCATGCAATGTTTATTGCATTTAACTGGTTCCAACCTGATTTTTGCTAAGCACATAAATCTGCTACGCAACATTTTCTACTAAGCTGCTACATGAAATTGGGGCACTTTCTCAAGTTGGACTCTCCGTTTGACAAACCACCAGGCAGGGATCCCGGACCCACCGGCCATGGCAGCCTCCTTGGTCAAGCAGAAGGCTAGGGAACGGCGCTTCCTGGAACAACTCCTAGACAGTAAAAAGCTGGATAACTACGAAGTGCCTGTCACCATCAAAGCAGAGCTCAGGAAATACCAACAGGTACACTTTGAAATACCAAATTTTCAGTCTTTTTTGGAGATAATTAAAGTAAAACTAACTCAGCGGCAAGTTTGGACTATAAGATTATGTGGATTTCAAAACACTATTTCGTCATTTAAGTAATAATTATATGCGAGTTCGGTATTCCGACTGTGCATGTGCAAATCAAGATTTGCCGATTTTTCTTTCGGGATAAAAATGTCATCGTATGCGTGCAAAAGCATAGCAGGGTACCAGCAAAATTAAAGAGATCCTCGTGTTTTGAAGTATAACATTTTGCAAACAACTTTGGGACAGCAAAGTGTTCTTAGGTGTCTTGTGTGTCAAAAATTTTGTGCGAACGAAAGGTCCATCTCTTTTCGATTTCATGGAACATTGCATAGAATGAAGATTAGGTTACCACGTCCCCCATAGCCTTGTGCGCGTTTATCCCCCAAAAAAATCATCAAATCTTCCTGTGCACCAGACTATTTTGGAATACCAAACTGGCTTGTTCACTGAGGGCAGGCAAATAATTTCTTGTGAGTACTCTGTTTTCGATATGTTAATGTGATGATGAATTCATGATGGGGTTTCCTTGAAATGTACCCTTGTATTTTTTAATTTACACTAGCATTAGAATTCAATTTACTTTACCTTGGGGGCAATTTCAGCATTACAGAAGAAAATATAATGTCCACAGCAGAGCCAGTTAACCATGATATCTAATTAATGATTCGGTGAAATGATCCGAAACTCCTAGTCTCTAATCTCCTTGACCATTACTAGATGATGGATGTATACGATTTGAAAAATACATTTTTAGGCATATTCACTGAGCTCTAGAGTACAAAAAAATGCCTGTTTTGTATTGTCCATGACGCTGAAATTGCTCTTATTAATTTTCCAGTCACTTCGCGTTGAACAAAATTTTGAAAGGACTCTATTAGAACCAACAAAACTAACAAACTGTGTGTCCTTCTTGTCTAAAGAAGCTATAATTTGCTACTAACAGCTAATGTTTTCTGTATTGCTGTAACGGCTTGATTGTTTGCTGATGGAAAGTTTGTTTGATTTCGAGAAGGGTTCGTAAGCTGTTATTCAATTAAAACAAACTGGATACTTTCAGGGTTGATAAAACGATATCATCAAGGGTATAAGTGTTATTAACTCGTTGGGAAAAAACTTATTAACTGTTCCTCCATTTGAATTCTGGTGCTTCGAAATCAGAATAAAATTTACTTATGATCAAGGAACCTAAGAATCTGAAAATTTTATTTTGGGGTATAATTAGTTTGCATAAATCTGACTTTTTTTAACAGGATGGTGTGAACTGGTTGGCGTTTCTCAACAAGTACAAGTTGCATGGGATTCTGTGCGACGACATGGGATTGGGCAAGACACTGCAGTCCATCTGCATCATGGCTGGTGACCACTACCTTAGGGATAAAGCTTATAAAGTATGTCAAAAGGAAACATTAATATCGTCACAAATTTGAGACTTTGTAATTTAAATTCTTTGATGCTTTGGTTGAATACTGTCAGGGGAAAACTTTCAAAAGCAATGTAAATTTTTAGGAAGAAACATGACCTCTTCATATTTTTGGTATCAGTTTTGCTTTAAAAAAAAAAAAAATCAGGATAACTTTCTTGCCTAAAACTGTTGAACTCCAGACTCATTTCCCATGGAGTAAGCTATTTTTTTTGCCTATAGTTAAGAAGGTCTTGAATTCACATGCACCATTTTTTTTGCCAGATTTTTAATATACATGTAGGATCAGGTTGCACTTTAAAAACAAATTTGACATCACAAACACTTTGTAGCAGAATTCCCCAAAATTGAAAAGTCTACAATTTTAGCAAATTTGCAGCGGAAAAACTTTCAAAAGTATCACAAATTTGTGTTCATGTTCAATTTTGTGCTGAGTACCTCCCCCCCCCCCCCCCCCCAGATGAACATGATCTGATACATCGTGCCCTCTGGAGACATGCACACAATAGGGAACAAAGGATTGTATACGTCTCCACAGGGCAATTTCTGTAGATGAATACGTCACCACAATAGATATATGGATTTTACTCAAAAACTAGGAATTTCCAAGGTATGTTGATCAGTTGCAAATGGTAGAGTTTTAGAAAAGGGATATTAAGTCCGAATTTCAGCCAAGGAAATTAATTCTGGTTAAAATAAGAGCATTTTGAAACTGAACTTTCAAACTCAAAAACTTTAGTACATGAGAACAAAGAAATTTCTCCACAAGGATACAAATTTCAGTATGCATGTTTGCGTCTGATTTAACATTTTTATGCATTATACTTTTTTTTTTCAGTTTGGAAACATGCTTTCAACCATTGAATTTTACCTCATCTTTTTAATTTTATGTGTTAGAAAACCCACCATGCAGACGCTGCCCCCGTGACATCCATTGTCATCTGTCCGCCCACCCTGACCGGTCACTGGGTCTTTGAGATTGAGAAATTCTGCTCAAGACAGTTCCTCAACCCCCTGCATTACACGGGTCCACCCACCGAACGGCAGATGTAAGTTTGGGAATATTTGAGTGGTGTGAAAGTAAAAATTCAAACTTGTGTGATTAAACAAAAACTTGATTCTGTAAGTTTAAATATTTTTAATAGTTTTGTATTTTTAATACCTTTTACTGAACAAAGTTTCTTTTTCTATTTGAGTACGGTGTGATTTATTTCTATTACAGTATACACCATGTGTCATTTGTACTGTTTTCAATTTCTTCATTTTTGTCATGACTTTCTCTCTGCAGGTTGCGTAGTAGGGTGAAAAAGCACAACTTGGTTGTAGTGTCCTACGATATAGCTAGGAATGACATCGACTTCTTCAAGTAAGTATATAACGGCTTTCATGCCAGCTTAGTTTATACATTGAAGCAAGTAAACAGTTAATGGTAACAATATCTATGACCAAATTAGGTTTTGCCCTTCACCGACGTTTAAACACTGTATACTCAGTGTGTTACCTCCCGAGTGAATGTTGGAAAAAGTCACTCGGGTGGGACTCGAACCCACAACCTCCTGCTTTCTAGTGCAGATATCTTACCATTCGACCACCGAGCTAACGGGATCGATTGGCTGGTTCGAATCTGATGTACATAGCAGCGGGTACTGCATAAACTATTATAATATAATAATATCTCTGATTTTGAGTACATTTCAACTGTTTGTTTTGCATTGTTCACAGGACAATCCAGTGGAATTACTGTATACTTGATGAGGGCCACATCATCAAGAATGGCAAGACCAAGCTGGCTAAGGCTATCAAGCAGCTGAGTGCAGCACACAGGCTCATCCTATCAGGGACACCTATACAGGTAATGACAGGCTCGTGATGTAGGTGCAGACACATTTTGACCTTTAAACCAAGCTAGCTAAGGCTATCAAGCAGCTGAGTGCAGCACACAGGCTAATCCTATCAGGGACACCTATACAGGTAATGAAAGGCTCGTGGTGTAGGTGCAGACACATTGAGACCTTTAAACCAAGCTAGCTAAGGCTATCAAGCAGCTGAGTGCAGCACACAGGCTAATCCTATCAGGGACACCTATACAGGTAATGACAGGCTCATGGTGTAGGTGAAGACACATTGAGACCTTTAAACCAAGCTAGCTAAGGCTATCAAGCAGCTGAGTGCAGCACACAGGCTCATCCTATCAGGGACACCTATACAGGTAATGACAGGCTCATGGTGTAGGTGAAGACACATTGAGATCTTTAAACCAAGCTAGCTAAGGCTATCAAGCAGCTGAGTGCAGCACACAGGCTCATCCTATCAGGGACACCTATACAGGTAATGACAGGCTCATGGTGTAGGTGCAGGTGAGACCTTTAAACCAAGCTAGCTAAGGCTGTCAAGCAGCTGAGTGCAGCACACAGGCTCATCCTATCAGGGACACCTATACAGGTAATGACAGGCTCATGGTGTAGGTGCAGACACATTTAGACCTTTAAACCAAGCTAGCTAAGGCTATCAAGCAGCTGAGTGCAGCACACAGGCTAATCCTATCAGGGACACCTCTACAGGTAATGACAGGCTCATGCTGTAGGTGCAGACACATTGAGACCTTTAAACCAAGCTGGCTAAGGCTATCAAGCAGCTGAGTGCAGCACACAGGTTGATCCTATCAGGGACACACGCTCTTGAATTACTATACTCCCGAGGACAATGCTTTGTGTTTCCTTTTGTTCCTTTTATATAACACTCTTCCAGCACACAGGCTGATCCTATCATAGACCCCTATACAGGTAATGACATGCTGTTTATGTAGGTGCAGACGTCGTTATGAATTGTTTACCAGAGTTGTAAGCAAGTCCTCGCACAAGTCGATCACAATCAATCAGAAAGTCCTAGTCTCCAGTCCAGGGGCGGCGAACATAGGGCTGGATATCTCAGTTGGTAGAGCACCAGAACGGCAATCCGGAGGTCACAGGTTCAAACCCTGCTCCAGTCAATTTCTTTGTTCAACCTTGAAAAATTGAAAAGGAAACGTTCTAAAATTGAGCTGCTGCCCGTAAGTAAAAGATTTTTTTTCAATCATTACATCATGTCCTTTTTTTTTCTTCAGAATAATGTGCTAGAGCTGTGGTCTCTGTTTGACTTCCTGATGCCTGGCTACCTGGGCACTGAGAAGCAGTTCACAGCCAGATACGCCAAGCCCATCATCCAGAGCAGGGACGCCAAGAGCTCCTCCAAGGAACAAGAAGCTGGTTAGTATTCTTTCACCCTCGTACTTACAAGTGTCTTGTGTCCCTAAATGAACACATGGCACCAAACACGTGGGGCACCAGCTCAAGATATTAGCCCACCAACAGTGTTAAGAAATGTGTTAACGAAGTCGTTAACGTATGTTCACCTCAAACAGTCTATCAAATGTTTATTAAATGGAGACTTTCACAGATGGATGAAATCCTTCTGTTACTGAAACAATATATCGTGGAATCCGGCGACCAGAATTAGAAGCTTTTACTGATCTGATGTCACGCTCATGCGCATGCTGCACGCGTTCTTAAAGACGAGGCGCACGCGCATTTTGGTATTCCTATTGGTTGAAGGAGCCCGGAGTGCGTGTGCACTACCTGAGCGCGACTCGCGCGAGCCTGTTGCCACAGCAGAGAATGGCTGCCGCCAGATTTGTCAATATAGCTTGTGGTAGATTTAACATTGCCTGCTTTCTGTGGCTGTTTTAGATTTCTACAGCGTGTTATAAAACAGCAGTTACAGAAAATTGAATATCCTGGATGGTTTGTATCATTTTAAAGATTAACAAGCCGGGTTTATTGGGTGCTTTGAGGACGTATGGGTGAAAGTTCTAGCTTGTTAGCGTTTCCCTGGCCACTGGTAAAGTATGGAACACCAAACATAAAGGACAATTAAGTTAGAATAACCCTAACCTCCCCAACTCCGTCAAAATCCATCCCCCCATTTTGGTGGATTTTGGGGGACTTGGTCCTGCAGGCCTGGTTTGACTAAATATTGATGGAGCGTGATGGACTTGGGCCTGGAGGACTAAAGCAAAGCATGCATTGGAAGCAGTGTGATTGATAGACTTTGGCAGACTTGGCCCAGTACTTAGTAAAAGACAGTAGGGAGTTAGGGTTAAAGGACGATTGGAAACTGAGTACTTGCCGTATGCTGCATCAGATAAAAAGTTAACAAGTTTTTTTTGTTTAATTTAATTTAATTTACTTCATTTTTTGTGTGAACCTTTTAGTCAGGAAAGCCCCTCGACAGAGACTTTGTCTCCTTTGGGCGATTTTTCTGTTGTTGTCCTTTAATTTGTATTTGTTGTTTTTACTGTTTATCCCGAGAAGTTAAGTAAATGTAAATGTAAAGTTAAGCTAGTTCTAGATGTAGTCCCTTGCTCAGCTTTATATCGTGCATCTTGAAATGGACACACAGGTGCCTTGGCCATGGAGTCCCTACACAGGCAGGTCCTACCGTTCCTACTCCGACGTCTCAAGGAGGACGTGCTGGACGATCTGCCTCCCAAGATTATACAGGACTATTACTGTGAGCTCAGTCCTCTACAGGTAAAGATAAAACTGAAATATTTAGATTCTCAGTATTGTGTGTTGCAAGTCTGAAAGCATGCACACAAGAACACAGATTGACACGTTTCTTCATATGTGGGATATAGTATGTCATGGGTCCAGTTTCGTTGTCCTGCTCTTCGTATGTGATGAATGTTCGAGAAAATTCAGCGCTTATGGTCAAAGTGAATCTCAGGTTAGCAAGTAGCAAGGTGGCACAAACTTTTGCGTTAGTGCTATAAGCTTTGAATGATGCATAGAATTTGTTTGTTCAATATGTCTCTCTCTTAAATGACGTCACTTCCTACAGTTTGCCACGAGCATCGGCATTTCGGGCAAATTTTTGTGACGCACATCGGCCGTGCTGTATTTAGAAGAAAGTTTCGAGCAACATGCACGTGTGTGTAGAACATTTTGCGCATTACGCCCATACACTCTTGTTTTACTTTACTCCCGAAGACAATGCTTCGTGTTTTCCACGAAGATTGCCACGTGCATCGGCATCGGCATTGCCACGTGCATCGGCATTTCGGGCAAATTTTTGTGACGCACATCGGCTGTGCTGTATTTAGAAGAAAGTTCGAGCAACACGCACGCGTGTGTAGAAACATTTTGCGCATTATGCACATACACTCTTGTTTTACTTTACTCCCGAAGACAATGCTTTGTGTTTTCCTTTGTCCCTGTGATATAACACACTCCCTTCGACTAAGCACACAAACCTACCACAGAGGACGGTTTTGAACAAAAGACCCAACTCCCGAGGACTGAAAGGATCTGTTGTTCTCCCTTTGTGTGTCGGTCCTCGGGGGTTATGTAGAACAAGTTCACATGCACTTGATGGCATTGAACATGCAGTTGTAATTTTCCTGCTAAGGTGGGGTCCTATGAGAGATCTATTGCACAGCCATGAAATTGAGCCCTGTTTGAAGTGAATGGGTTGATGACAGTTGTGCCATAAATATACACATGTTCTCTTTTTTTCCCCAAAGGTGCAACTGTATGAAGACTTTGCCAGGTCGAGAGCCAAGAAGGGTGTAGAGGCAAGCATCGGTAGCCCAGAGGATGAGAGGGAAACTGAGGCCAAGCCCCTGGCACCGGCTACAAGTCACATATTCCAGGTAGGACAATAATAATAATAATAATAACCGTATTATATAGCGCCTTTTCCAAAGGATACAAAGCGCTGGGGGAGAATGCAACCAAAGACAGGTAAATGAAGTATATGAACATATGAGACCCATTATGTAGCACCTTTTTGCTAGGTGCTGCGGCGCATATTGCTGCCACTGCCAGAAACACCGGGGCAAACCTCTTCTCTTAGCGATAAGTGTTACTGGATTCTTTAACGTGCATTACACAACACACGGGACCTACGGCTTTACGCCCCATCTGAAGGACGAAGCAATAATGGTCAAGTGCCTTGCTCAAGAGCACAAGCACCATGTTCCCACGGTCAGGATTCGAACCCAGGCACCACGGCACACAAGTCGAACACCATAACCATTGGACCACAGCGCCCCACGGACAGACTCTAGTCAGACTCGAACAGTGGGACTCAAACCCACGACCACCTGCTTACTAGTGCAGAAGTCTTACCACTCAACCACTGAAATTACTGGGGTCGGATGGTTGGTTTGAATCTGGTACTGCAATCAAAATTTTTACGGGATGTATTTTGCATCGGGGCGATGCAAATACATTGACGAAGGACAAAAACCCAATTCCATCTCATAAAAAGTTTGATTGCGGTACCCACTGACTGCGGTACCAGACTTTAACTGACCACCCGACCCTGGCAAGCACGTTAGTTGAGTGGTAAGACGTCTGCACTAGTCAGCAGCAGGTCATGGGATTCAGTCCCACCCGAGTAAGCTTGTGAAATTGTTTTTGCAAGCCTTTGGACAACACTGTGTATATAGTGTTTATTAAAAAAACGTCGGCGAAAGGGAAAAACCCAATATTAATTTACGCAAATTCCATTTGTAGTGTAGTCAGTCCCTCTTCGATTTTAGTACTCAACTTTGAAAGGTGGATCACAGTTGCAGCTTCGGACGTTAAAATTTGTATTCAGAAGAATACGAAGAATATCCAATATCTGAGATCCTTATTTCTCAAATTTTGAACAAGTTCTTGTAAACTTTTGTGTTAAGTTGTCATTTCACCTTAAAACAGTTGTGTTTTCTATTCTAGGATAATAAAACCGTGAGATTTTGTGCTACTTAAGAATGATGTTCACTGCCTTGATGTTTTTGTTTTTTGCATCATACCCTTAGGCCCTTCAGTACTTACGCAAGGTCTGCAATCATCCACTTCTGGTGTTAAACAAGAAACATCCCCAGTATGATAATGTCACCGCTCAACTAAGTGATCAGAACACCTCCCTGCATGATATCGCACACGCACCCAAATTGACTGCACTCAAGTAAGTTGGAGAATTAGATTGTAGGATACAGGCATGTGAGAATGTCCGTCCTGAAATATTTTTTTTTCTTTTGGTGACTTTTTTTTTCAGCTAATGGTCAAACAAAGACAACTGAATGAAATGAGATTCAATTTAAGATGGAATTTTTGTGCGTCTAGGTGATGTAAATCAAACTAGAAATTGCCCTTCACCGACATTTAAACACTGTATACTCCGGTCGAGTGGTAAGAAGTTTGCACTAGAAAGCAGGAGGTCGTGGGTTCGAGTCCCACCCGAGTGATTTTTTGCAACTTTCACTCGGGAGGTAACACACTGAGTATACAGTGTTTATACATCGGTGAAGGGCAAAACCTAGTTTGAGATTCAATTTTTTTTTGTAGATTTTTAGAACCAATATTTTGTCTTGCAAACCTTAAAATTTCCTGTGCGCATTTTCAAGCTATTGCAACCACCTACCCCTACTCCTTATAGACTAATTCAGCAACAGCCGTTTTCTGAGATGGTACCAGGCTCGAGCGAGTCGCACTCAGGTAGTACGCACACACGCACTCTGGGCTCCTTCAACTGATAGGGGTACCAAAAGGTTCACGTGTCTTGTCTTTAAGAACTCTCACGGCATTTACCCGTACATGCTTCCATCTAAAATAGACAAAATTTCGGGTAACCTATGTGGAAAGAAATCTCTTCTTGGAAGAAGTGTTGTTCTTAAAAGAACCGGTTGGTTGAGTGTAGAACTTGACGTTTCGGAGAGTGTGCTCTGTCCGTCCTCAGGAGGCTTCCACCTGAAAAAAACTGGCTCCTAATTTTGTTTGCCAAATTAGTCTATTGAACTGTGCTTAATCTGTGCAGCACTGGTATACCCTGGTTCCAAATTCATATTGTTGTCAAGTACTGGATATTCCTCCAACCAAATCTATTTAACAGAGACTATAATAAGTGAGCAAACAGACAAGCATGCTAACTTCAGGGGCAGAATAGAGTTCTCCAGACATGCACAAGCCTGACATATCTATGCTGTATAAGGTAATATTTTGGTGGCATGGGTGGCTTGTGCGTAAAGTGCTCGCCTCTCACCAAGGTGACCACGGTTCGAATCCTGGCCGCGGGTCACATGTGAGTAGAGTTGTGCGTTGGTTCTCTCCTGTGCCACGAGGGTTTTTCTCAGGGCCCTCTGGTTTTCCTCCCTCCGGCAAAATCAAACACTTTCGATCTCAGGCTGTGCTCCGTGGTCATATATTGGTCGATGTGGCCGGCAGCCATAGGTGCCTTTATGTACAATTCAGCATACCAGCTGCGAGTAAGGATGATTAGCCTCCCAAATTATTATTATTATTATAATATACGCTTAACATTTCTTCTGGACATTGTCTGTAATTTCCGTTTCTGCAGGCAGTTACTCCAAGACTGTGGCATCGGCGTGGAGGTCATGGGTAGTGAGCAGGAGGGATTGACTGAAGCCGTGGTGGGCCAGCACAGGGTACTGCTGTTCTGTCAACTCAAGAGCATGCTGGATATTGTGGAGAAAGACTTACTAAGGTTAGGATCATATTTCAGCTTACAGGTTTTTGTGGGGCCAGTTTCGAGGAGCTACTATCAGTAAAATGCGATGTGATGTGTGTTGCTTGTGACCTTGTTATCTGCTTAATTTTTTATTAGCAGGGCAGTTTCTGCTAAGCTACTCCATGAAATTGGCCCATTGCCTTTTTTCTGGTCTAAAACTCTAAATTTTGAGTTGGTTACAATTTTAAAGATTGTCACATAGCTCCTAAAGAAATAGAAAGTAGAGCCTTTTGCAATGAGAATGGATGGACATTTTTTTATGGATCTCATATTGATTTTATCACAGAAAGCACCTTCCCAATGTAACCTACCTCAGGCTGGACGGCAGCGTACCGGCCGGCCAAAGACATGACATAGTCCACAGGTACAGAGAGTCCTCTTCTTTTCATATTTCCATTTTCCATTCACGTTATATTTAATCTTGCTTGAAAGTTTACGTGAAAAGTTTGCTTGAAAAATTAAATCATTTTCACCCACTTTTTTAGTAGAAAGTTAGTCCGAGAAGTATCTCATGTGTAGTGTGTTGCAATGTGCACCTCTTGTTTCATTTATTGACTGTTGGTTTGTCCATTTGGGATTCAAGAATATTCGTAGCAAAAAAGTGTGCAGAGTAAGGGTCTATGTAAACATACATCATTATGAAAGAGTGCACTCAACACACACTTTTCGATGTTTTCACATTTTTCAGTGTTTCACACAGTTGATTTCCAGATTCCAAATATCCTGATTTTATACTTGCACTGTGAAAGATTTCTCTGGAGTAGAATCTGCAGACTCTGTGTGATAATCCAGGATATCCCAGATATGCAATCTGGAGGTGAAATTACCCTGGATAGACTCGGTGCAGGACTGAAAGTGTTGAACATCACATATTAGGGCCTGTCTCAATTCATATCCGGTACGAGTTCCCGACAAGTTGCAGACATTGTATCAGGTATAGGTTGCAGGATTCTAAACAACTCCCCTGCAATTTTACTCGCAATGAAAATATCAGTATTGGTGAGTCAAGCAGTTGTTGATGAAAATTTCCCCGGAACATGTCCAGGACAAATGCAGAGCTTCTTCCGGACAAAGTGAATGATTCTACCCACAACTTGTCCGGACTTGTCCCAGATATAAATTGAGATGGCCCTTTACCCCCATATGTTGCTTTATGCTTTGTCTTCAATTTTATCGAACACTTAATTTTTTTGCTGCACAGATTCAACAATGATCCCTCTATTGACATCTTGCTGCTCACCACACACGTCGGAGGCTTAGGTCTCAATCTGACGGGAGCAGACACTGTGGTATTTGTGGAGCATGATTGGAACCCTACCAGGGATTTGCAGGTATGTCATGAGTGTTTCTTTTTTTCTCATATCAATCTCTTTCCTTTACTAATAACCAGTTCGCGCCGGATGACGTGTATACACGCAAAAGTTTGCGGTATCCGGAATGGATGATGGATAAACACGCAGGGAGCGAGGCCGGAAATATCTGTCAGTGACCCGCTCGCAGCGAGCAAGGCCGGAAATATGAGTGTGCTGCCCGAGGGTGATGGCTTCAACCTGCCTGGCTTGAGGTCGAGTGAAAAGTAATCCCGCGCCTCGTTCTGTTCTTGTCAAAAGAATCCCGACGAGAACTGGTTAACTTAAGAAAAATTTCCTTGCTTATATTTGAACAACACAGTTTTTTGAGTTCATGATCTTGTGCTTGTACAAAACGTTTTTCCTGCACTCATACTAATGAAACATACAATTAGTGTCTCAACTTGTCTTGATTTTTTTCATCCAAATTTTCTTTCTTTTTTCTACCCAAGATGTTCATATTACATCAAGTTTTCTTTCTGGTTGAGTTTACTGACAGGCAAATGAAATGGCTGTGTCAATGTTTGTGTCTTTACTCATGTGGTCAGGTTGACCATGGCATAGTGCTCCACTGAAATTTTCTCCTCATCCACAACGTAATGATGAAGCAAATCAGCTCATTCCTTGGACACACCTTTGGTATATGTGACCGGCTCCACAAAAAGGGGTATTAAGTCGCGCCGTGCACTATTGTGTAATGGCCCGCTCAACGTTGAGAGGGTGAAAATTTCATCAAAATGTGATTTTCATTTTTTGTCATGAATGACATCTCTATTACCTAAAGTTTCTGGGTTCATCCACAGAAATGCTGATTTTGATGAATAAAGAGGGGAAAAAACGACAATTTTGAGTGCATCATGCCCAAAACTACAACAGATCCAGCCATTTCAAAGCCTGTTTTCTCAGTTGTGTAATTCAAAGTCCGAGGAAGTAATTAATATGCAAATATATCATATCTCCAGAAGGGGGGGGGTCTATCGAGCTCTATTATATACCAAATGATAGCTTACGTTGTGGGCTTTCCAACCATGTATATAACTCAAATTCACTTTTTTGTGACATAATACCCTTTTTTGTGGAGCGGGTCATAATATTATTATTTCTTTTCCCCCCATTTTTAAAATATGTTTTGTTCCTTTTTATGCAGGCAATGGACAGAGCCCACCGCATCGGTCAGAAGCGAGTGGTCAACGTGTACCGCCTCATCACAAGGGGAACTCTGGAAGAGAAAATTATGGGGTAAATATCTTACCTACATCGCCTATGAGTGTTTACACTGTCTTAAAAACTCTACCGAATAAAAGGTGCTAAAGTTATGTCATGAGGGGAAAATTAAGTATTTTGTATAATTTTGTCCTAAATGTTATGAAAAGTTGTTACATTTGAGTTTCAACCTGAGATTTTGTTTAATAATCTGTACTATTTTTAAGTAAATGAGTTTTTTTTTTCAAAATGTTGAATTCACACAATATCAATTGAAACTTTGTTTTTAACTTAAACAGAAGGCAACTGAGATAATAAAAGTAAAACCTAATTAAAACTAGTTAAAACTAATAAATTAAACCTAGGTTTTACTTTTGATGTCGTCTAACTTTTCATTTCCTGATCCCAAAAAAGACACTTAGGGAGTTCATTCCATAGATTCCGTATGCATATGGTTTCAATTTTACCACAATGATATAATATTTTCTTGACAGATTGCAGAAGTTTAAGATGAACATCGCCAACACAGTCATCACCCAGGATAACTCCAGCCTTCAATCCATGGGGACAGATCAGCTTCTGGACTTGTTTTCTCTTGACCAGGTATAATCAAGACAACTAATGCAATTTTATCAACACTGTGAATTCAGAGCTGTCAGAGAGCTTGAGAAAAAAAAAATCCACAAGTTTTCTTTTAGTGGCATTGAACCACAATCTTAAACACTTGAACACTGAGCTTACCTGTGTCATCTGGCAGTCTGAGTCCGATATAGTGATCATATTCCATCATACAAGACATTGGTCACAGCAGTTCAATCACAGAAGCTATTAAGTTGGAAAAAGTTCCCAGATACACCTTGTCAAGTGACTAACTCTATCAGAGAGGTTGTTCTGAGAACCAGAATTATTAACTCTTCTGAGGTTAAAGGGAATATACAACATTTGCAAATATCGAAAAATAAAACTAACAAGTTTTTACAAAATACCTTACTTGGATATTGGTAAATGACAGTCAAAAGCATCCTGTAAAAGTATGGCTCCTGGTGTGAAGTCATTTTCAAGAAATTGGTATTTTTGCATACATTTCCAACAGTGGTCGGCCGATCACCGTTGGAAAAACCTAACTATTTTTCAACTTCTGCTTCAAATTTACCATTTTTTCAGTCCAAATTTTGTTTGCTATTGGTAACATGTTCATGAACGGGTGCAGGCCAGCTAGACTGGTTCCCTTACCTTACAACTTTCCGGCATCTATAAATTGATCCATTTTATTTTTAGTGAAGTCAGGGAACCAGACTACTTGAACATTTTCGTTTTTCTTGGTTTTTCCAGTATTTTTCGAACACAAAACTTCAAACATGTCAGTGTAACAATATTTGAACTATTATACTAACCCCTCAAATAGTTCATTTCTGAAAATTACAGCAAAAGCCAATGATGTACATTCCCTTGAAACTTCACAGTACCTTCTCTCTTTAAGAGTCAGTCACCTCACAGGTTTTTTTTTACAAACCTATCCCAAGCCTTGCACTCCACCATGCAAAAGCTTTAAATAACAAGATTTAAGAAGAAAAAACACATAGGATTCCTTTTGTTAACTGTTTCAGGACACATTGTGAACTAGTCTTTGGTGGATGGGTCTCCGTGCATCTTAAGAATTCTCAAAGTTTAAGACCCCCAGTTTTGGCACGTATAATCTGCCATTTATTTGACGAGTTTGAAGTACTGGAATTGAACAACGCTATGAACCATTCTCACAAGCTAACAAGATTTAGTGTTCTTCGAAGAGAAATAATACTGGATCTTCAAAATAACAAATTCACAGGTTCTTTTCATCTGAACCACACGACTGAACAATTTCCTTTCTACCACAACAAACATTCTATTCACTAAACTTGCTGCTATGTTTGTAACCTTTATGTGTCACCACCTGATTTAATCTACTACGATTTCCATAGAATCGTCCAGGAGGGTTGGAGGAATCAAAGCAGGAGGCCTCAGCATCGTCGTTGTCATCTGGGGGAGGCAAGGGCAAGCAGACGGCCGGCAGCGTGCTGCAAGGATTGAGTCAACTCTGGGACGAGAAGCAATACGAGACAGAGTACAATCTGGACAGCTTCATGCAGTCACTGTCTAGTTGATGTTATAACTAGCGTAGTTGCGTAGACCCTCTATCTGCGGCTAGACTGAAGAGGGCGCTGTCTGCTGTGTCGCCTGACAGTGAGGGCAAGTGAAGAGCACGAGCATTGCACTGGGTGACACGCAATGTCCGTGACACACAATTGTTAGACTGAGTGTCACCTGGACAGCTTCATGCAGATTTAGACTACTTGGTGTTCTTACTAGCGTTGTCTGTTGGTTCTGTGGCTAGACTGAAGAGGGCGCTGTCTGCTGCGTCGCCTGACTATGAGTGCGACAATGAAACGACACCAGGAGCTGTACAACCTGAACAGCCTCATGGAGATGTTACGGCCCAACTATGGCATTGTCCCAACTATAGGTTGGACGATTACAACTTTAGACCGTGTCTGTGGCTGGGAATCATACACGAGTCTATGGTAGCGGCTGCGGCCACTTCCTATTGACCCGTGTGTAATTTCAAACCATAGCCAATTAAATTGGACACAGTTACAATTAGGATCAACCCAAGTATAGTTTGGAATTCCCCAACTATTTGTTTGGACTGTCCCAACAACCGTCCCAACTATGGTTGACACCATTGCCATAGTTGGGCTTACCTATATAGTTCTATGGAAGTTGTCTTTAAATTAGTTAATTCAAACCTGACACATGTAGGACATTTTCTGTGAATCTAACACAGGTTTTCATTAATTATTATCAAGGAACAGATGTCATTTAGCCCTGCTTTCAAAGTATTTTTTTTAAGATTAACAATGTGGTTATATTTTTCTATAATATTGAACCTGCTGTGTTACATTGAAACTTGCATCTTTATGTGTAGAAGGTTTTGTACAGTCATAAAAAAAACTTTATTTTTGTTCAGTTGCAGATAAAATGAAGATGTTACAAAAGAAAGTGATTATCAAAAACTTTTGACATTAAAATACAAGTTATTGTTTCAATTGATTGTTGTAATGTGAAGTTACACACAAAAGTGATTACATGTAAATAAACCTTCGATATTCGCATTGCATATTGGGTATATGACAAACAAAACCAGGCAATTTGTGCACAATTACCTATGGGGCTGTAAACCAGTTAAAACTTTCAACTGATTCCTCCTCAAATATACATCATTAAGAATTTAGTGATCATTTTTTTTTTTAAACATTGTTGTATTGATCATTTGAAATACACTTATTTTAAAAGTTAGTTTTTTAAAGCGTGTCAGGATTCAGATTTTTTCGGGGAATCCCTTCTTATTACTCATTAATATGAATATTATGACCCTGCAAAAATATTAGCCAATCACAGTCAAGCTTTCATGATCACACCTCCAACTCTGACCAATCACAATCGCTCGCCTCTGGGATTGTTGACTGGTACCCAGAAAGAAATTTCAAGTTAGTTCATCTTTTATTTCAAAAGTTTAAAAACTGAAACTTTGTCAATTATATTTCCTTTTATTTCAGAAGTTTAAAAACTGGATCTTTGTATTTGCAAATGAATTTTTCATATTCTCTATGCATAAGTAGGTGAATTGATCGATTTTGGAAAAATACTGAAGCAAAACATAACTTGAAGGGAATATACAACATTTGCAAACATCGAAAAATAAAAGTACCAAGTTTTTGCGAAATACCTTAATAGGATGTTGGTAAATGACAGTCTAAAGCATCCTGTAAAATTATGGCACCTGGTGTGAAGTCATTTTCAAGAAAATGGTATTTTTGTAAAAATTTCCAGCGGTGGTCGGCCGACCACCGTTGGAAAAACCTAACTATTTTTCAACTACTGCTCCAAATTTACCATTAATTCAGTCCAAATTTTGTTTGCTATTGGTTACATGTTCATGAACGGGTGCAGGCCAGCTAGACTGGTACCCTTACCTTACAATTTTCCGGCATCTGTAAATTGATCCATTTTATATTTAGTGGAGTCAGGGAACCAGACTACTTGAACAGTTTTGTTTTTCTTGGTTTTTCCAGCATTTTCGAACACAAAACTTCAAACATGTGAGTGTAACAATATTTGATCTACTATACTAACCCCTCAAATATTTCATTTCTGAAAATTACAACAAAAGCCAATGATGTACATTCCCTTTAAAGCTTGCATGGTTCACTGCCCCCATATGTTTGTGCATAAACTGCATTATGTGTATGTCATACCCATGACGCAATGGGAATGCCAAAAAGATTTATTGTACAGGCGGTTTTGGTATATAATGTACAGTTTTTGTATTGTAGAATTTATACAAATTTAACAAACAGATAACTTGAAAAATTTGCAATACATTGGCTTTGTTCCAAATAAAAAAGGACAAGTGCATTGACCCTTGTTTGACCTCTACTTTGGTTGTTTGTCAGTTGGTCGTTTGTCGGTTGGTGGTGGGTTGGTTTTTAAGTAAATATTTTTTGATTGGCTCACGTCCAAAAAAAGAAAGGTGTTATTTCCTTTTTTCTTGGGTCAGGAGCCCAAAATAGGGTCGGTCGGAGATGAGAACCAAAGAAATAAAAAGGGAAGCCGATGTCATGCCAATTAATCATGCGCTGAATGCTGTTTGTGACTAGCTTGAAATTTCCAGCTTATGGGGCTATACGCTGGACATTTCAAGCTAGTTTGTGACGGGTCTTTATTATGCACAGAAATACCCCCTCAAAACTTTAACTCAAACTTCCCTGCATGGATAGTAAAGCCAGTCTAAGGGCTTTGCCATTATTCGAACTCGTGACCCAAATTCGCAATTGGGCCCCAAAACACATTGGTATCCGACCGCCACCGTAAGATCACCCATACGTGTGGGCACCATGGCATACAAATTGCTAGAAAACAAACAGGAAATAGCGAATATGGCCAGCGAGTACAGGTTGTATTGTAATATGTATCACAAATAAGCACTCAGTTGACTCACGTAATACACGTCTGCGTCGACATTATCCGATTACCGCACATGCACGTCTTCTTCATTGTCATCTCACTAATTATCGAGTTTTTGCAAGTGAAACCTCATTTGAAAGAACGTCTGCCAGTGCTGGAAAGTGGTCTCTCGCATCACCTGTGACGGTCAACGGCTTGAGCGAGAAAGGAACTTAGCCACACGCCCGCAACAGCAGCGATTCGACGGCCCTGCCCTGCTACGCGGAACACAAACACGGAATATGACGGAGTGAAGTTGGTCATGTCACTTTTTTGTCATCAGCTGGTTCCAGGATTTGACACGACTTCCTGTATCTTAATTTTAGTTGTTGACCAAATCTGTCTGCTAAGTTTTTGATGAGTGTTTTTCCTCTTTGATTGAGGGGCCTGTCTGGTTCTAAAAATAAAGGTTTTCTGCAATTCACTTCCTACAATTCCTTTGCCGCTTTGGACATTGAACTTGAAGGTGTTGGAACTTATCCTGAGAAACTGTTGTTTTGTTTGTGTGAATCAACACGCTTTATAACTCATCATGGTGGAATCCATTGCACAATACAACTTTGAGAGGAGCAGTGAGGATGAATTATCCTTCAGAAAAGGACAGAAATTAGTTGTAAGTGTCAACAAGCGTGTGTTGTGATAAGCCGATTAGTTGCAAGAATTATATTCTTGTAGTACGTTTCCTCATTAGGGTTGAATGCCCCTTTGTATAGCTCCATGAGATGACCATGGAGGAAACAATAAGTGTAAGTGCGTGACCTCAGAAAATCAAAAGTTTTGCTCGTACGTTTGTTGTGTTCAGGTCGTTTTTTTCCCCTCGAATTTTTTGGCATTATGGCAATGCAAGATCCTACACTCGGATGAATTTACAGAAAGCTTTGTGTGTAAGTAATTATAATGCTGGCAAAATGACGGGCCGCGTTTTTTTTAGTGTAATTACGCGAGGCTGGAGCATGGCGTTTTATTGATGCCATGTTCACAGGTCTGTTCACAGGTCTAAGTTGCACCAAATTGTTTGAGGGAACGAATGTTTCATCTTAGATCTAGTCCGAAAATTTGGGACTCTCAATACTGTGTATGAGAGTCCCAAAACTTAAGGAATTGAAAACATGCAAAACAAGTAAATAGACTGGCACCTAAAACAACAGTCCAATACAGCTTCAGTACTGCATCAATCAACCATGCCAAAAGAATTTAAGAAACATGTGGCATGAAGCGGAAACTAGTCTCAATTTACTACACATTTCTCCATAGTCAAGCCACCAGACTATTGACACTGAATGAAGAGGTCAGTCTTTTCAAATAGTTGGACCATGGTTGGACATGTACCAGTCTAGTATTTAGCCTCATTTTAAAATCACTTGACTTCCCTCTCATGTGCAAAATATTGAAGAAAAGTCTCCTTTAAAAATTGAATTGAGTCTGCAAACTTGGTTGGTGAAATACTGAGGACATTTTCTTTGCCCCAGTGGAATTTTTGGAGAAATTTGCTGGCTAAACTGTGAGTAAAGTGGGCCTGATTTAGTTTTGCACGTTTCAGAGCACTCCAGAGCCCTCTCTGTCTTAGATCCTGACGCCACTTTTTTTTATCACATTTATACATCTAAAATGAAAAGCATTCGTTGCACAAATGATGAAAAGATATGAATCTGGGACTGAGAAACATTTTCAATTTTTTTAGAAAGTACTTTGAAAATGCATTCGACTCTTGTACACAACCAAAGAAGTGGCGTGGCATCTGTATACAACATTCTCTGTATGACTAAAACACAAGTGTTCAGGCCTGCCTTGGCCCATGCATGGTAGGACCCTACAAATCTCCATTTTAAACAAAGTCAGGCAACAGTATCCTACTAGGATACATGTACATGTACATGTATCCTCAGCTCCATGGTTCATTTGCCTTAAAAAAAATCCACTACAACCCAACAAAAGCATCACATTTCATCCCTAAAATAGCCATAAATCGCTGAATCATGACCAATGTTTGAAATGGGGATTGGTACATGGATCTAGTAGGACTAAAGGCTTTGTTGTACTTGCACTTTTTTTTGCAGAAATGCTAGTCCATAAAGACTAGCATTAGACTACAACAAGTGAACAGTATCTCAATTCTGAAAAACGGTCACCCATTGCATGTGTATGTCTTCAGAAAGTTGAAAATAAAGGAAATAGCTCAAAATGTGTTCAGTTCACTCTACTGTGCATCCAAAATGGATTAGCTATGCCTAATTGTAGATTAGGCCAAAAAAAAAAATATTTCTTCTGATTACATGGCATTTGAAAATAAGGTAGGTAGGTAGGGAAATAATTTTTTTTTGCCAATTTTTTTTTTGTACGATCATATGGAGGCGTCTGCGTGTAGTCAAGGGTAAAAGGTAGAAATTGATGGTTTTGGGTGTGTTATTCTCATTTTTGCAATAAAAAAATTAGGGTAGGGGCTGTCAGAATAGGGTAGGTAGGGAAACCGGAAGCAGAACTATTTTTTTTTTGGCCTTATGACTCCACAAAATATTAGACTTGATAATTTTGCCATCATGCGAACCTATTAAAAAGTTTATTTGTGCTTTTCACTCAGAATTTATAATTTACTATATATCACACTAGCTACATGTACCTGAAAATCTACCAAGGTTTAACACATAGTTTTGCAGTAGTCTGGTAGTCTGGTAGATTCAAGACTACAGTTAGGAGTATCCCAGCTGTAGTTAAGAATTAGCCAACTAAAGTTGGGACTGTCCCAACTATAGTTTGGAACATTGCCATAGTTGGGGGCGTAACATTAACATTCAGCACCCTGGATCCAGCAGCCACAAATTGACTCTTCAGAGAAAAAAAAATGGTTTGGGAAAGAGATACGAAACTTTCGAACGTTCATGGTTGTCAGTGCCAACCTATTCATGAAGCGGTCTTGATGTTCCAGTTTTGTTTCAAACACTAAGATTGTTATTAAAAGTTGTGCACTTTTGGCAGATTTTGACAGTTTCTTCTAAGAAAAAAAAGCTGAGGGCCTCGATTTTGAATCGAAGAGACTGAAAACAAATGTGAAACCTGCAAGATTTTGTGCAACTGCTTTGCAGTGGTACATGTATCATCTGTTTGAAAATTACCTTCCTTGTAAATATGCAAATTCATTTGATTTTTTTTTTCCCAAAATGTTTATCTGCACCCTAGAAATTGTTCACAAACCTGAGGTCTAGCTAAAACTTCATGGATTAAGGAGTCTGACAATTGTCCTTAAAAAAACCCACCTGTAACATTACTAGGCCAACAAGGTCCGTAGAAATTGCACTAGTCAAAGGACACACTCACTTCAACGGAAATCTTCCAGACTTCTACCCAAGACATCCAAGCTTTGTTAACCCTAAATCCCTAGGCCTTTGTGTTAGGATGTAGCCTCAATCTTGCAAAATCCTCCAATTGGCCTCATGGAAAAATATCACATAGCCTCAATCCTGCAAATTCCTCAATTATTTCTTGAATATGGTCTGTGGAGGGGCGACCACTGCCTGAATCCTGCAAAATCCTGCGGCAGTGACTGTCAATATGTTGAGGCTTGGCCAGTGACATTCTGGAGCAGTACGGAGGATTTTAAGCATAATCCAGACCTATACTACATGGCTAAGCAAAAACAACACAAAGGCCGGCCCAAAACCTTGACAAATTGCATCCTACGAAATCAGTAACGCACTTTTGCCATGTAACCTCAATCCTCCAATTTCCTCCACTTTGGCAAAGAGGATTGTGAATGATTCGGGCGGTTAGGGTTAATGTTTTCAAGCTGCAGTTAAGTTACATAATAGTTATTTCTTCCTTTTTTTTGCATCTTCAGGTATTCAGAAAGGCTGAAGAAAACTGGTTCAGTGCTGCCATTCCTGATGGAGAGAAGTCAGGATTAGTCCCCATGAACTATGTCAAAGTCAAAGAATGCAAGTAAGTCAGTTTTTGGAATAGAACTTGGCCTAAATGCGAAGGTAAACTGTTCGCTCTTTGTGGGAAGAGGGTGTTGAAGCAATGCGGGACTTGTATGCAAAAGTTCAGCCTAATAAAAGTTTAAATTTCAGGGATAGCTAGTAAAATTTGGCACTGGTTATAGGTCTCGTTCAAATGACGTCATTGCCTACAGACCATCCACGTGCATCGACATTTTGAGCGTCAACTTGCATAACGCGCATCAGCTGCATCGTATTTTGAACACATTTCGAGCAACAAGCACGGTATTTGGAACATTTTCAACACTGCGCAATGCATGCTTGATTGCGTAAAATATGCAGGTACAGTTCTCCTACAGAGATGGCCGTCATTGAGCAAGCCCTATTTCAACTGAAGTGGGCAATTCCAGCATCACAGACAGTACAAATCTGAAATTTTTAAAGCTGACATTTGATGTACTGTAAGAGCTCAGTGAATAAACCTGAAAGTGTATTTTTCAAATCTTATACATCTATCATCTAGTAATGGTCAAGGAGATTACAGACTAGGAGTTTCGGATCATTTCTCTGAATCATTAACTAGAATCATGGACATTACATTTTCTTCCATAACACTAGAATTGCCCAAATAGGAATTGCCCACCTAAGGATAAAAGTAAAACACTAGACATTTAATATTTATCAGGTTTTGTGGTGAAGTAAGCCTATGAAACCTAACCTTTTCACATCGTTTGTAGAGAACTTCCTGAATCTTCTAGAAATCCTTTGGAATAGAAGTGCATTTGAAGTTCAAAGTTCAAGCACATGAGAATGTGACATTCAGTTTCTGCAGAGTGGTAGATTATTCAGGAAGTTTTCCTTGGGGGAAAAAAGGCCCTAATATTTGTCTTTGGCATGTTTGGGAAGGAAAAAATACCGAATTATTTAGAAATAACAAGTCTCGGTGTATTTTTTGTACTTAAGCTTCCTGCAGCAAGTCACAAGAAACGGAGCTGAGTCCCTGCTAGAAAGACAGCCTGATGGAGCGTTTGTCATCCGTCGAAGTGAAAGCGACCCAAGTAATGAAAAGAACTTCTCGCTATCAGTCAAGTAAGGATACGTTTAGTCTTTAAGGTTTCTTTTTTTTTTTTACTTAACTTTATTTTCATCATGAGGCACCAAAAAAATTCAATTTATAGTTAGACATACTTGTACCTTTTTAAATATAAAGGAATTATATATAGGAATTGCATAGCCAACAACGGTTTTCACATGGAGTTGTATTGGGCCACACTTTAGTAAACTAAGAAATGAATTGACTATAAGAAAGAAATTTACTTTAGGCTAAATTAATGTCTTTCATTCAAAATTCAGTTGCAGGCCTCACAGCGAAACCTTTAAAAACCTATACTTCAACTTGGGAGCCTATTTTATTTGTTAAAGTAACCTGTATAACCTATAAAAGCTATATACAGGGTGGATAATAAAAAACACGAAACCGACATATTATTGCTACCGTAATTTTTGGAATATAAGCCGCCCGGAGTATAAGCCGCAGCACGCAAAAATGTGCAAATTAAGATTTGAAGTCGACGTATAAGCCGCACCGGCGTATATAAGCCGCACCGACCGCAGCAGTTTCAATTTTGTAAGGCCTCCAAATTCTAGTCAAAATGCTCTGAACCAGTTCCATTTACACTACGAAAGCTATAAAAAAAAAGGCCACAAAAGTTATATCAAATCATTTACAGTCGATACTCCTGCAAACAAATATGGAAATTGATGATGAGAAATAAACACCGGGAATTGCTGCCGGCTGGCCCGTCTGGTTCCCGGTTAGTGCATGGCCCGCGGTAGCCTGCGCCGGCGGATGATAACATTTTCCCCCATCACTTGAGAGAGTATGCAACCCACCGTGTGTCGTCTGACTGGAGCGCTACAAATCCTGCTTTGTGGCAACAGACGCTGATTTGTTTGGTCCTAAGAATAAACAGGTCCGTTTTAACAACAAAACGTATCAAATTGTTGTGATTACTAATGTCGGAGCTCGAGACAGCTTTCACTAGCCGTACTTTTTACCGCTGGGTACCTTTTCGTGGGACGTGCTTTCGGTTTGATAATGACTTTCTTAATTGATGATTCATTTCAGCAGCAGATTTTGTTTATACCAGTACATTAAATATACATTTGAGTATCATTTTTATTCTTCAAGGATCAGCGTATAAGCCGCCCTGTGTATAAGCCGCAGTAAACATTTTCATGGGCAAATTCAACATATAAGCCGCGGCTTATATTCCGAAAATTACGGTATTTGGAATAGAAGTGGGGCACATGTGAATCAAAGGGAGATATCCTCTGTTAGGGTTGAATCTCCTCTTTAAAATGACACCCTGATCATGTCATTACATTCACGGTTGACTGAGCAATGACCAATTTTATGAAAGAGTCTATTTAAAGGCTTTTTTTCAATTGTGGTTTTTGTGGTGTCATTTGTCACAGAGTGAAATGGTTGCCAATCAAGGCGGGTGGGAGAAAAAGTGATTTCACCATGAAAAGTGGCGCAAGCCGCTAAATAGACCCTTGCATAAAATTGGTCACTGCTCGAGGAGATGATGAAAAACACATTTGTGTGGTTTGATTGTTTGTCAGATGCATAGAGCTATATTAAATTACTAGAGCGCTAACTTCGTGTACAAAGTAATGCCTGCTGGGCGCATCCATGTTTGTGCGCAAACCTATGGAGACCTAAAAAAATGTGTAAGGCTTTTGTATGGCTATTTGCATATCTGCGTTTGTATTCCAAACCGGTGCGTTATCGAAGCCAGTACGCCCAAAACCGAAATGCACGATCAGCAAGTGAGCGTGTCATTTTGCTCTACGCAAACAGCGCAACGCGTGCGCGTATTCGCTGCAGATGCTTTTTGCCGTAACGGTTTTTTTAACCGTCAACGACGCGCTTAAGTTGTTTGCGTATGTTCTACTTGCGCGTTGCATGTAGAGTACACTTTCAAAACACATCTAATTTCATTGTGTTCTACAAACACGCACATGAATTCAAAATGTCTGCGCCCAGGACGGCTTCAAAGTGTCTCCGCGCGCAGAATGAGGAGTTAGCGCGCTAGTAATTTAATATAGCTCTATGGTCAGATGCCACTCTTTTGTTGAATACTACTTTTGCGCACTATTTAAGAGGGTCCATGTTGGCTCAAATTTCTTCATAAAAACAGTCAAATATCAGCCATTCCACTACCTGTTCTTTTATTTTTTACAAGCTCTTCGTCAATTTTTGACAAGCGCAGTTGCACACAAATCTCAATCGGTAGCCAGTTTAAGCTGGCGCATGCTTACATGTACATGTAACTTAACCAATGCATTTCAAATCGATTATTCAATGGGTGGACAACATCCGAGAATGGTCAGGGTGTGACCCCAACAAACCGAAAGCAGCAGCACTGGAAAGACGAGCTGTGGTGGGAGCGGAGCCAGTGATCCCAACTGTGTATAATTTGAGGAGGAGACCACGGACAAATGCCTGTCTAACAAATGAATGAATGTTTTCAATTGAATCAAACTTGGAAAATCAAATACTAAATTATTCGTAAATGCCCAGCCCTATCAATTTTTGGACACATGATCACTTCATAACTTTTTTTTTCCTTCTTATTTGTATCAAACTCAGGTATGGCGAAGGGGTACAACACTTCAAAATCTTAACCGACCTCAGCAACAAGTTCTTTCTGTGGGTGGTGAAATTCAGCACGCTGAATGAGTTGGTGGAATACTACAAATCGGCATCGGTCAGTCGGACGCAGAATATTTTCCTGAAAGAAATGGTGAGCTACCGACAGAGCAACATAACAACGTTCCATGAGTGCCATCCACGTATTCAGATGCTGAGATAATTTATCACGTCATGTGGACATGTTGCGGAGAGTAAATTATCCCGCCAAGTCGATTTGCCAAACTCGACTTGACGACTTGTCGGATGTTTCATCTCCGAAAGTGTCCGTGGAAAGTTGATTGTTTAAAGAGGCAAATCATTTGCACAAGATTCCAACATAATTTATCACGTCCTGTGGACATGATGCGGAGAGTAAATTATCCTGCTATGTACATCACATTCGAACCAGCCAACCGATCCTGTTAGCTCGGTGGTCGAGTGGTAAGACATCTGCACTAGAAAGCAGGAGGTCGTGGGTTTGAGTCCCACCCGAGTGATTTGTTCCAACTTTCACTCGGGAGGTAACACACTGAGTATACAGTATTTAAAAACGTCGGTGAATGGCAAAAACCTAATTTGATTTATATCACCGCGATGCAAAATTTCCATCTTATAATAGTTTATGCGGTACCCGCTGCTATGTACATCAGATTCGAACCAGCCAACCGATCCCGTTAGCTCGGTGGTCGAGTGGTAAGACATCTGCACTAGAAAGCAGGAGGTCGTGGGTTCGAATCCCACCCAAGTGATTTGTTCCAACTTTCACTCGGGAGGTAACACACTGAGTATACAGTGTTTAAAAACGTCGGTGAAGGGCAAAAACTTAATTTGATTTATATCACCGCGATGCAAAAATTCCATCTTATAATAGTTTATGCGGTACCCGCTGCTATGTACATCAGATTCGAACCAGCCAACCGATCCTGTTAGCTCGGTGGTCGAGTGGTAAGACATCTGCACTAGAAAGCAGGAGGTCGTGGGTTCGAGTCCCACCCAAGTAATTTGTTCCAACTTTCACTCGGGAGGTAACACACTGAGTATACAGTGTTTAAAAACGTCGGTGAAGGGCAAAAACTTAATTTGAAGATTTCAACAGTCATGGAAAATCCTGGAAAATTTAAAGCTGTCATTGAAAGTCATGGAAAAAGTCATGGAATTTTGTCATTTTTCAAGGAGTCAGGAAAATTAATATTCTAGGAACAAGGTCATGGAAATTCGTGGAATCCTGCACCACACATATGTGATGACGCATAATATTTGGCTGTCATTTAGTGCATATCTGCAGTTTCTATAGTTGAGGTGGTGTTAAGAGTTTTGTTGTACCATGTAATGCTAGGAAGATACTGACAGTGCTCAGGGTCATTCCGTGCCAACTGTCCTAGAGAATTTCAGGTCACTGACTCAAATTTGGATGAATTTTGTTTTTAAAGTTCTGTACTTCTGTGGTTTTTATGAAATTTTAGCTACCAACTCGTGACTAGGTCTCAAAATTGCAGCAATGTACCTGCTTGAAAACTGGTATGTGGGGAGAATGGCATCCAATTGGCAGGAATCTGTTGTCAAAAGTCAATTGTCTTGTTAACTTTTTGATTTACAGGCCTTCAAAAAAAACACTTTTACGATGACTTGAGTAAGTTTTGTTTTCATTTTTGGTCCCCCTGGAGCCCCATTGAGACCAAAAAAAAAAGTTGTTTCATTAGTTGTACACATATCTATACCAAGCAAATATCTTGACATCTGTTGCTTTTTGTTGTTCTCTATGAACTACCTGCAGAAACCTGCGGGAGCCAACGCCGAATTCCACGTGGAGGCGCCGGCGGAGTTCGCCAAGGCCAAGTTTGACTTCAACGGTGAGGAGGACGGCGAGATCACGTTCCACATGGGCGACGAGATCGAGGTCACGCGGAAGCTGGACGAGAACTGGTGGGAAGGCAGGCTTAAGCCCAAAGCCGGCCAACGGGTGGGCATTAAGGGTCTGTTCCCAGCCTCCTACGTCCAACTCATGAAATAACCAAGCACCCACGTAGGAATCGTGCCCAGGTTGGAACACCAGTTTAACGGAGCAAGCCCCAAGTATTAAAGTCTGCCCAGATATCATGGAGTTGCTTAACACAGTGAGCGTTTTAACACAGAAATTTGCTAAGCCTAATTTGCAATAGAAACCCAGGTTACCAACCAAAGTGCCATGCAGTGTATATTGCTTGTGATCGGTACTCGGCTGATTTTTCTGCTAAGCGCATTAAGTTCCGCTAAGCAACTTTGTCTGCTAAAGCGACTCCATGACATTTGGACCCAGATTGCCTTAGGTTAAAAAAAATAATAAAATAGACGATGCCAGAGTGACTGGTAATACCACAAAAACAGACAAAGAAGCAAGATGGGCAGTTGGCACTCATTGCATCATCATCGGACTGGAGGGGTCGAAGGTGTTGCGCTAAAATGCGAATCCCAGCTTTGAGGCTTAAAGAAAGCAGCAGCTTTTTGTTAAAGATGCATTCCCTGCTCTTTTCAAGTTTTATCCTTAATAAATAGACTCCTTTTTTTTATTGTTTTTTGTGGAGTACAAAAGTTACTCACTTTTAACTGAGACATCAATCGACAAAAATTGGCCCATGTTTTAATAGTTATTGAATTATTACTTTACAAATTTTGAATTACTAGCGGCCTGAAAATAATTTTGTTCTCGCAGGTAGGCTGGTGCCCGCCCCACAATCAGTATCGATAATGTACCGACCGGGCACCAGTGTGCTCGTAAGCGGATCTGTTTGTGCCTGGAGCACGGGTTTATCATGAATATCAGAATACACGCACAGTGAAAATGGTATGATGTCTCCACAACACAGTTAGTCAGTGTTTGTTTTGAATGTGGCATCTGTGGTACAAAACCGAAGCAATTGGGGAAAATGAAAGGTAATTAGGTGATTCAAAGTTGCAAGTTGACAGTCGCATCCATCAAACCACCAGAGTTTGTCTTTAAAGGATACTAAGTTAACTAGGTAAGGACTTTTTTTAGTCAGGAGAATGAATAGGGTAAAACATTGGGTGGCATGGGTGGCTTGTGCGTAAAGCGCTCGCCTCTCACCAAGGTGACCACGGTTCGAATCCTGGCCGCGGATCGCATGTGAGTAGAGTTGTGCGTTGGTTCTCTCCTGTGCCACGAGGGTTTTTCTCCGGGCCTTCCGGTTTTCCTCCCTCCGGAAAAATCAAACACTTTCGATCTCAGGCTGTGCTCCGTGGTCATATATGGGTTGATGTGGCCGGCAGCCGTAGGCGCCTTTACGTGCCAGCGGCCCGACCACGTTGTAGCCGCGTCCTTCGCAATTCAGCATACCAGTTGCGAGTAAGGATGATTAGCCTCCCAAATTATTATTATTATTATTACTCGCAAGTAGTGTCTGAACACGTTGAAAATTAAAAACACCAAGTCCAAAATACAAATCCATGGCTTTAGTGCGGCAGCCAATCAGAAATGTTCAGGGCCAGTTACCCACCCAGGGTCTGCTGTTTTGAGACCAAGGTTAAGATGAAAGTATATCCTGGGAACAAGATCAGATACACACCCAAGCTTTCTTATTGGGCACCCTGACACAATGCGGTCGTTTCACAATAGTGCGCCTCCAAGAGTTTGCAACGCGTTGGCCAATCACAATGCGCAAAATCGGTCGACCCAATGCGTGTTTGGAAAAGGTCGACCGATTTCGCGCATTGTGATTGGCCAACGCGTTGCAAATATATTGTGAATCGCCCGTATTCTGTCAGTGGACCAATTATTTTAACGCTGCAAATTATGGAATGGATTGTGGGGAGTGCTAACCGGAACTGTGATCTCAAAGCCTGTTGTCATTGGTCAGTGTACGGTGACTGTTCTTCCGTCTGTGAAGTCTGATTGGTTGATCTTGAACAGATAAGCACACTGTGCACAGGGCTTGTGTGTGCTGCTGTGAATATTCATGATAACTTAACCCCACACCAGAGGTCATTATGATTTTGTTCTGGTAAGGATAGCTCGGATATGGAGTACCGAAGTGAATACGTCATGCGCACAAAATGTGTGTAAAAGACATTAAGCGAATGATTCAGCCCGTGAACCAACATGCACTCGTACTCCATTCGTTTGCACTACATTTTCTGGTTCTGAATGATGTCACTCCGGTACTCCATTGCATGACTGCCCAAAGCTCTGTAGCTTACAAGCCTGTAGAAATCTCAGACCGAAGACAAGGGAAAGTGTCCAGTGTTAGAGGTAGGAGAACAACCCCAGTTACTATCCTGGGGAAAACCCATGGGATCAGGTAGTCACTGGAAATTGAAATGCACATGTCAACCTAGGTAGGATTCGAATTCAGGTCTGTAAAGGGGAAGGTTTCCCCAAAAGCAGGTGTCTACTTGAACCCAAACCCTCCAGGGTATTCTGGGTAGAAACCCTGCTGAACGCAGCAACATCCAACACGTGTCAAAATGACAAGCCTGCTCAGTAAAGCAAGATCCATCAGGCCATCAAAACTCGGAAGGCCAAACTGCCTCAGAATCTGTCGTCACAACGGTAGCATTGTTCAATGGGACTGGCTCTGATTGTCTCAGAAGTGGCCGTTTATGCACTGGTGTAGGTGGCTCAGTGTAGCAAGGTCCCACAGACGTTGACACCTGATGCACTGTGTTGGGGTTAACCCTGACTCTTTTTAACATGTTTCTGAGGAAGCTTCTGGAATCCTCCATAGTCCTCCACTGTGCATGGCAGTCAAGCCCTGTTTGAAGTTATCAAGGCTGGGCTCTACCTTCATCACTTTTGGGAAAACCCTTCCAAAAACCGTCCTGTAGATTTTGAAGGATTTGGGTCAGTGCGTTTTGGTCAAAGTGCTGGCTGGTTTCAGACTTGCATCCAAAGATAAAGAATCACTCTAAAACAAAAACTGATCATTCAAAAACTGTGAACAACCCGCATCCTTTAGCAGGTGACATGAAAAGAGGTCTAGATCCGTTCATAGGCAAAACTATACTGACTGTACAAGTGTACATGTATGGAGATTTGGTCTGGGTTTTCCATCAGATGCTGAATGTGACAGTTTTGCCAATTCTGTGGGTGGCTGTGTCAATATACAGTTGGGTTTTTTTACTGGTTTTTTTTTTGGGGGGGGGGGGTTTGGAAGGGGAGAAATTGCTCCAGTCATCACATTCTGATAGATTCTGTTGAATTCAGCCGAGTACTTGAAGCATATTTGACAATTGAAAATTCAAAAGGAAAACAAAAAGGTGATGATGTTCATTTAAAATTATTACAGTTTTTTGGGGTTTTTTTAATGTGAATACAAAATTAATTTGTCTGATACATATGATTGCTGCAACTTTTCAAGATGTACCATTAGGTCTTTTTAAAAGAAGATTGCTGCTGTGGAAAGAAAAAAATTGGATTCAGGGGCCATTCTGAAAGACATGTAACACACGAGATCGGATTGGAATCTGCTCATTCATAAGATTGGGGCGTATACTTCTTTACTAATAGCTTATTAATAACATAGGTTGAAAATATGATAGTAATTGCATCTATGCATAAAAAAAAATATGTGTACAAAAACTATAACATGGTATTATTTTTTTTTCTCTTCTTGTATCTGTTAATACTTTAATATGTATTATAATGTGTGAGTTAATTACTTAATGGACAAAATGAGGCAATGGAAGAGTGCGGAGAAAAAAAATACCGTTGTGGAATGACGAGTGTTTATAGAATTGGCATGCTTGCTTATTTTTGTACACAGCTGATCAGTTGACGTCTGTTTCGTCTTCTGTTTCTACGGTTTGTGCAGTGTGCAGTTTCAATGTCTGGCTATTGTGTATCATTTTTGTTTGCTAAAAAGGCATTGTGTGCAGGACTTGCTGCTAAAAAAATGTGCCAAATCCACATGAATTTTATCGGTCTTTGAGGTTCTCTATGGTTGGCCAAAAACGAGTGTAGGAATTCGGTCAAGAATATTAGGACGGAAATGAAGTTTGGAAGGTGTTGGAAAAAAGGTTTGATTTTTTTTCGTAAGCCTTTTTAGATTTTTCCTCACAAAGCTGGAATGTGTACGGATTGTTGGACAGCTTCTGTTCAGCGTCGAATCAGTTTTGTTCTAACAAATCTGCCTTTTGAGGTACATGTCGTGGCTTGTCAAAAGTAAAGTTGTGATTGTTTTGGGGCCTCCCAAGATGGCGCCCTGGTGACTTCAGATGGTGGTCTCTATGCACTATCCAGTTCTGTGGTGAGATACGAGCTGGACTTAATATGGAAGTTGACAATGTTGAAGTTGGTTGACACTTCTTCATTGTGTTTGCTGTGACTGTTCATGGTCATGGATTTAAAAAAAAAAAGTAACCGATGGCTCGTCAGGAGATCGAATTGAAGAATGGAAAATGTGTGACAAGGGAATGTGGTTTTTTAACTGAAAGAATAATGTGGATTGTGAGGAATTGATAAACTGAAAAAAGTGGATGGAAATGGAATAAAGTGATATTTATTTTTGTATGTGATAATCATGAATCCGAGGCTCATGTGGAATTGGCGTTGGGGAATTTCGACTGGGAATGTGTGTTGAGCCATTAGCTAGGTAATCAGTGATAATGCGTGCTTTTATATTGTCAACGGTCGCATTGTTTGCATCCAAAGAAAGCCAATAAGTCTACCTACAAAACACTGTAATGTTGGATAAAACTTGCACTGTGTGGACCCTGTGCTCAGTTACGTATTGTCAAAAATCTGTTTTCGACAAACACTTTAGTGTGGCCACATTCAGCCGTATTCCTGTCAAAGATATGAACAATTCGTGCAAATCCAGTCGGAAAGCGGCTGCGCACGCTCTTTGTCAATCACACGCACAAACTAGTGATTTTTTTCTTCCGTGAAGCCCAAAGCGTTGTCCCATTATATATTAACTAGCTATTATATAAATACCATTATACATACATTGGTTTGTATATTATTAGTAAACATCAATTATATTTTGTAATGTTTTACATCTTTGAGTAGAGCTGTATGACGACAATATGCGTTAAGTTAAGCATTACAGTTCTACTCGAGTAAAATATTACCAGGGTTTTTTTTTGTAAAAAAAAACAGTTGTAATCATGTTAACTAATTTTTTTTTTCTTGTATGAGTGTTTTAGTAATTTCATTACCTTACGTATAGCTGCAAAAAAAATTATATTGATAGGATTATGTTGGGCTTTACTTTTGTAACAACAAAAAATTTAAGAGAATCATGAAAAGGAGAGTTCTGGAGGCATGTTATCTAATACTACTTTTTAGTGATAAAAATAAATGCTTATATTAAAACCTTATGT